TTTTTGGTTCCTACCTTCAGTGTAATCAGAAGCTCAACACCCCTGATATAATATTTTTCCCCCAATTTTTCCTTTTCCGAAATGACAAATTCATATCTACACCTACTTCTTCACATGGTGCAGTTAATATATACATTTGAAGTTTTTTTGTTGTTGCCAGAATCAGCGACCTTTAGCTGATCTGTTTTTAAAATTTTCCCATCTACGTTTTAGAAAACTTTGTTTTCGAAAAGAATGACTCTAAGTTGGTCTCTAGTGTCAGCTTCCTTTTCCCCTGGTGTATTATCTAGCCAGAGGCCTTAAATGAACTTTGGACGCAGACGTTTTGGCAACATCCAATTACAATAGCATCTCGTTTTCCTAGGGAAATGCACAGTCACTGTAAACGAGTTTGGCCTTTTTGGTAGACTACGTGTAGCCGTACCCTCCCCTCGCTTCCGTTTCACCTTGGCGGGGGGAGGGTACAGCTACACGTGGGCTATCATTTTGATAATACCCGCAGCGACGTAATAGCCACTTGAAGCGTGCGCAATCAATCAAGTGCGAAAATATTACCGGAAACTCATCTTCAGTTTGCAAAACAAGAAGTAAGACAGAGGCACGTCTACGAAATATTTCGTAAGACATATTCCACCCACATCATGTATGTCACCTCTCTGTGATTTTGTTTATTAAACGTTAAAACGTTGGAACTTTCAAAAATACTGATATAAATTGAATTTAAAATCTGGCATATGTGGGACGTGATCACTAGTAATAAAGCGTTTTAGATAGCAACTAATTTTAGATAGGTCATACGTCTTGGCAAATACAGCAAATGATAACAACCACTTTACAAAAAACTTGCAGGGAGTGAATTATGCTTTGCACATTGCATGGGCGGGAAGGGGAAAGTTAGGATTTGCACTTCTGCGTTTAAGTTGCCTTGGCCAAGAAAACAGAGGAACTTGCGGAATCGTGCACGGAAACCACTAAGGATTAATTTTTACAACCGCCAGCCTTCCGGAACTTACCTAGCAACGCACTGTTTTTTTCAATACACGTGTTGATTTGTAAAAATTTATCAGAGAACTTTGCATGCATAGGTCAATAACTAAAATTGCCAAACAAACCTGACCCACCAACTTTTACTTCTTTCACAGCCAAAGTAAAAAAGACCTTTAAACACGAAGAGTGAAGGCTCTGAGAAGGAAGAACTGAACTCCTACGGTGTCAAAGAATGTTTATATCTTAAGAAGTCTTTTCAATACACTAGAAGGCCATGATAACCTTACAAGATATTAATATTTGCAAAACTATTGAGCTATGAATCGAAATCGGTCACTTTTGGGTTTTTATGTGGGTAGAGTTTACAAGCCTAAGCTACTTTTGAGCGACTGAACTGGTAGTACTTGATCTCCATCTGCACAATCATCATTCAACAGTTATTCATACATTTCTAAACGCGAAAAATATATCCAAATGAATGGCTAGAAAACACATTTATAAAGCCTATATGCAATGAGTTACGTTGCTTTTGATTGAAGGAAATCCGTAGACTTCAGTTCACAGATGATTCTAGTTATCTGCAGTAAAAGCTACCAACCTCTTAGTCATATACAGCTTACGAGCCTCAAAGTCACAACGATAAGTTACTAATTATTTCAATTCAACACGAGGAAAACATCGAGTCACGAATTAGGAAAGAAAAATTTTGGTAACTGTCAAAAAATATAGCCGATGAAAGTTCTCGTTTCTTTGGTATGAAGAAGTCCTGTTGGACCTGGGTGGTAAATTACAACAGATAGCTTTGTTTGGTCTGGGTGTTCTGATTATCTTAAGCAGGAAGCATTTTGGAACTTCTCAAGTCCATCAGGCACATTTCTTTTCAAAAATGGATTGGCCCGCCAGTGACCCAAGCACAAAGTCACAAGGATCTCATTCGTTAGCCTTCCTTTATTGAACCATGTTTGATGTCATGGCTTGTGAAAAAGCTAAAAATTCAACCTTGCCATTTGCAATCCCCGTACACAATATTCTTCCTTTATATCAGGCTTGTATCGGTTAATTACGATTTCTTTTCTTCCTGTCTTTTGACAGACCAGTTATAATTTATTGACTCCATCAAGTTCTAGCTGCTGATGTTCTCTAGGTAAAGGGCAGTCAATTGTCGAATTTGGAGAAAGAATGACCCTAAGTATCGTTTCCTAACTGTCTCAGCAGATCTTTTTCTGGTGTAAACTTTCGCCGTATAAAGTCTCCATTTAAAACGTGCTGTAGTCAAATCTTATTTTTTTCCGTTAGAGAAGCAACTAAATCTGATGTAAGGTGTAACCAAGCGTCTTTAAAATCATAGAGGGTCATCAAGTCTATTCATAGATCAATGACTCGAGCGTGCATGTCTCAAGAAAACGGAAATTCAACTTTTCTTTTAACAATTTATCCCGACTCCTTGTACTTATGAAAACAAGAATACTTACGCGAGGCAAAATTAACATGAAGTCACAAGACTCAGTGTTCTAATGAAGCTAGTCAACTCCCACTGTTAACATGGTGTCAGCTTTGCTATTTCAGTAGAACCCAACGGGTTGGTAGGATTCCATTTTCTCTGACGAAGTGCTACGTTCGAAACGTCAGCCTTAGAACCTAGAATTTGCATTATCAACTCAGTCGATAAAAACGAATCATCTTCCATTTTTATCATGTTTATGAAAGGAGTCTACCTACATCATATCACGGTGTTTAGCGGTACAGAAATAACTATTGCCTTGGGCGAGTAAGTAATAACAAGTAAAATTTATCTTATTAATTTACTTCATTTCCGTTCTTTTAACATAAGAGTCTTAAAATGAATATCATATGTTTTGGAAAGTGCATAGGTTATGTTTGCCTAAGGTAATTTTATGAGTTATAATTTTCATTGATGTCTTGAGATGCTAATGGTGTCGATAAATTATATTTTTTCAAAACTGATTTTCGCTGACATAGGCGAAGAGCCTTTCATATCTCGTGTTTCATCCGCAAGCGAGAAGGGTATGTGAATTTGACGAGTATTATGTGAAAGCTTTCAATAAAGTTCTTAGAGCAGTGCAATGGTCCCTTTTTCGGGTTTCTCGTGATTAGAGAGGATACGACAGTCTTAAGGTGAAATCCCGGAAATACGATTGCATCGTCATGTTTAACCCGATTAAATACACCAAGGGTACAAATTATCAACTAAAAAACCTGTGGAGTAAAAAGGAAGGCTTGTCAAGCCACATTGAGAAAAGAGCATCTATCTGAAACGTTAAGTTCAGGTTTTTCAGCGGCGTTGTTAAGCGGAAGGTTGAAGTAGCAGAGTCAATCAAATTTAACTACTACAGTCATGCTGAGCGTAAAGAAAATAAATCAGTGTTTTCAGAGATAACAACCAAGAGCAGAAAGGAAATCATCGGATATTAAGCTCATAAAGTCTTGAAGAATTTCCGGTCACATTGTGAATAAATATGTGACGCAAGTAACACAGGTAATGGAAATGTTCGTGCCTCCGCGCGTACGACCACCACGAAGCTTATGTTTTTCCATCCTTTTTATTACAGTATTCAAGTGGAATGTTTCATCGCCAAAAACGAAGTGTCAGCACTTTCCGATGTCGTGAGCTTTGCGTAACTACCTTTCACGTTTCTTTTGTTGAAAACGCTCCCGCAAGATATGAAACCTTCACATGCCTGGACCGTCAAAGTTGTTTTCAATATCTTCTTGGACAGCGTTTGAAAGGGTTTCGTTTCAGAGAGGGGGTGGTGGATGTATCTGATAAAAGGTAATGTCTCTCACATGAGGTTTATGGCATGATTTTTGGGTTACGCTTATTTTCTTCTGTGCGAGACGAAACTTGATGGGAATATTTCCCTGTTCTTTTGTCTTCAACGTATAAACTGATTTTCAACTAAACAAAGGAGAAAAAGAAAACACTAAAGGAAATCTCTACAGACATTCAGATTGTCAGACACACTCCTCCCCCCCTTCCACCTGTCCTCCGATACTGATGTTTACTGGAGTATCTCGTTTTCTACAAACGGCCTGACTTGAAAATGAACACGCACGAGCGAAAAAGAAAAGCGTCACCAAACTCGTTGATCGAAAGCATTAAGTTCTTTTCTAAGCCTCTGATAAATCAGAAATGGTTCAATCTTATGACCACATCTTTTTGGATAACATCTTCCAATATTTACCGTGCAACTTGTCAGGTTTATTTTAATATTTTCTGATAATAATATTTTCTGATAAGATCACTCATGATGAAGCATGATCAAGGGGCGCGTGAATTGATTTTCTTTCTTTGTTGAGCTCGTATTACCCTCAAAAACCAATATCTGACTCTTTGACCTCACAAGATTTTTATTCCTTGACTTCTCTGTACGAACAGCACTAGTCTTTAGCGAATTATGATCGCACCGTTATACTTGGATTAAATTCTAGACGGCCCTTTCCTGACTTAACGCCACATGAGCATGGTTGCTAAACGAAGCGCTCCTAAATCTCGCATTGCGTCGCAGATTAAACTTTCCTGCATCAGCACATCTGCTTTAATATTTTGCAATTTTAAGGGTTTTCGTCCCAATATTCTGTTTTTGAGACTGTGGGTGGTTTTAAAAAATATTTCCTTTAAGTCTAGAAACAAGATCCTTATAATCCCAATATTGTACTTTTGGACTCTTGTTGTTGTGAAAGGATGTAAGATTATTATTAGATTTCACTTTGCCGAATACAAAACCCTCGTCTTCATTGGATGATTTTCCGCAAAAGAAAAGATTTGAACTTTGACTTAGTTTCGTAAAACAACGACTCTGATTGGCAAATTTTTATTGTTTTATTTCAAAACTGAGCGCTGATTGGCCGCTTTCAGTTCGAGACGTCACTCATCTCCGCTGGCGTTTGTTGATCGGTAGCCTTTTGTTCTCACCGGGGGTGAGGAGTGGCTCTGTAAAAACGAAGAGAGGTTGCTTCTCTTCTGCAGTCGCACTTTGGATCTACAACGCGATATGAGATCCATTTTATTCGTGTTGTTGGCCACAGGGGCATTTGCGGGTACGTGATTTTATCGCTTTCATTTTACTTCAAGAAGGTTTTATTCTTTGACAATCAGATCAGGATTTTGTACTCAAAATACCGAGCTGTATCAATTTTGCATCTTTCTTGATTGCAGCATTTGCCTGCGTGTGCACTATTTCGACATGATTTGGAAATTTTTTCGCTCGGTCGATTTCGCTCCTTCTGTATTCTTAGTTGCTGTTGCCCCTTAAATCACTGAGACGTAGATCGATTTGGAAACAATATGCTGTCAAATTGTCAAAATTTGCCCTTGTGCTGAGGGAAGTTCGGGTAAAATTTGCCCGAGCAAGCTAAGAACACGAAATCCATGGATACCTCGGGGGCACATCGGTTCTTTATCGTGTCGCTCTGGTTCTGTCCCGAAAGAACTTAAGAGAAAAGATCTATGTTAAATGCTGGAGGGACACAGAAAAATTATTGGCGATTGTTCTTTTTATCTTTGGTTGATCTTGTTTCAGGGTTCTCCTGAATCGTTTATTGTTCCTTATGTTTTCTATTATGTCACAGCATCTCTGTTCCTCAGGGAGCTCGATGCCTTGATTAACGTGTTACTTCTGTACATTTCTTACAGCGCCCAGGTCTCTTCATAGAGATAGGCCGCCGGAATGCGACAAAAGTAAGTAATGATTAAATTTTCTGCGTTAAAGTTATCTTTGTCTCGAATTAAATTTAAGCGAAGTTATCGAGCCTCGAGAAGTGAACGTGTTCGAAAATGGCAGATTGCCACGGTATTCTGATCAGTGGGATTTTGCCTTTTGAGATCACAAGGTCCTGTCATGTAACTTTACAATCATTTTAACGTATTTTTTTGTCAATCTTGCGTTTTCCCCTTGCATAATTCTGAGTCATGGGACTCTCGCGGTAGAAAAAAAAAATTCCGGAAATGACATCGAATCTCCGACGGACTTGTTGACAATCAATTCCACAGAATGCATGGGGTTTGATTGGCTTGCAGCACGCTGGAAGCACGCGTGGGACAGTGGCAAATGTCACGGGGCACGTGTGTTGTGTTACATGTTTTGCTCTCTTTCCAGATTGATTGACCTTTCTTTCTGCTTCTCTTTTACAAAGGGTCGAACAGATTTCACCATTTAAAGGAATTTCCTTACAACTATGAAGGAGAAACAATAAGTAGTGTTACAGGCGCGTCCTCTGCCCGCTCAGGGTTGAAAATCCGCGCACGATGTGTCGTCAAGTCTGTTGCACCATGTCAGCATGTCTTGAAGGTAAGTTATTTTATAGACCCTCGAAACTCGATGCTTGGTGATTGATAGGGGTATATTTGCTCTTCAATCACGAGGTTGTTTTTGTTTCGGAAGATAGCTCTTTATGAAAACTAGTCGACCTTGATAAGACCACCATAATCGAAGAAAGCAATCTTTGTAGTCAATCGTCAGTTTAAGAATAATTTGCAAAGTGATTTTGGTTTCGTGTGAAATGCTGCTTTCCTTGGTTATTGGATATAAATTTTATCCAATCCTATAGTAGCCCCTCTTTCCGGTCTCATCTCGCCTTCTAATCCACTGTTAGACTCATTCCTTTTGTCTAATGAGGTTCTCAGTTCTCATAACTTCGTCAAAGTTTTGACCTATGCTGACGAAAACTCGCTTTCTTTGATGATATAAAATGTTAACTAGCCGCAGCGCTTTCCCAAACATTTCGTGTTATCCTACGTACTCAGTTATTCCTGGGGTAAATCTTTCGGACTTTACAAGATACAAAGAGACGTAGCGAAGGGAATCTGCGTGTTTTCATAAGACGTGATGTTGCTAATCAGCTTATTGGTCTACAAAATGAATACTTTCTTGAAGATTAGGTATGAAAACGACTATCCTTTTTTCCCTCGACTCTTGCTTCGCACAATTTATTTTGCCTCTTGTAGTGCGTCAAGCTTCCCCGCCCCCATCCCACCCTACAAGGATGAAAATTGAATATTGATTCTGTCGTTTCAATGTACAAATTTTGGCATCCCTTCTCTTAAAGCATTTTTCTTTCTTTATTACGTAACGTTTCAAGTTATTTAGTGTTACTGATACATTGTCTGAATGGTTAATTTACCTCAACCTGGCGGTACGCAGAAGCCTAGTGGATAATCTATGGATTTTAATTCTTCGGAGCTATTGTTTTACAAAACATGCCATCATTTAATGAAGAGAATTGGCGATGGCTAAATTTTTTTTCGATTGCTAGTGTGTGTCCACGGCCAGTCTAAAATAGGGTAGTAATATTGGTAAAAGTTATTTGCTTGTAATAGAAGACGAAAATTGAGACAGTTTATCTATGATGAGGTCAGAGGTGCAGGAATCATGTTAATGAAAACCGGGCTAACCGGTCCAAAGTCGAGTTTCACAAGATTATTTTTAGCTGGTTTTGAAAGACTGCGCGTGAGAAAGCGCGCGAGAGAATTGAGAACCTACTAGAACCTTACTTTTTATGTCGCATTAACTTGTCTACGAATTGAATATTTCGATCTGGAAATACCCTAGAGGATTTCTGTAGCCATTAGATAGACTCGAGTGTTTTTATCTTATTCACCGTTAACCTTCTGACTGAAAATGCATCGAGTACTAAAATTCCCCGTATCGGAAACGTGCAGCATTATGTGATGAAAAGATGAGGTTGACAGGAATCGATTTTCAACATTCACTGATCATACAATTGCAGAAAACTTATGCTTAGCTTAGCGAAAATTAAAATACTTTTGTTTTCATCAGTAAGAGCGAATGTAACTGTGGGAAAAACGCAACAAATGGAAGTCTAGGGGATTCATTACGCAGCTAACTGCTTGCCGAGTCAGATTACATCCGGCGTTTTGAAAAAAAAGATAATTATAATGCTAATTTGTCTCTGATTTCTTCAAGGTTCAATGTTCAGTTGGTGGTGATATCCAATTTTAAGTCATATCCTGTATGCAATCGGACCTTCCACAAACATATCGCTTCCCGTAAGAATTTTGACCTTGGAAAGCGCCTAGGCAAAGAAATGTAGATTCCACTAAACCGCAGCACGAAACTTGTTGCTGAAAGACTAAACAAAAACTGTGTAATCCATATTCTTAAGTAGCCAATGACCACCTCGAAGGTTTTCAAGTCTTGAAATAGTTCATTACAAGCAAAGCGGAAATCTCACAAAAGTTGGCGAGCAATATGTTAAAAAAACATTCCTCACACTTGAGACCCGAGTAGTCATGTGCTTCTTTTGTTGGTTTAGAATGAGGTTTTTCATTTCCTTCTCAAACTGTGACCAATCAATTGCCCGATGAAACAGCTGTATATCAGTGTACCGTCACCTCCCACTCAACGACGCTGAAACGCAAGAAAATTGGGAAAAAACCTTTTTAAGAGTGCACTTTGTACCCCCAAAATTCCCTCATATTTAACATCTTGCGTGTCAGACCGCCTCTTCGACGAATACCTCACGTTTTCCTTTGGTGATTAATTGTCATAACATTGTAATTTGTGGACTTGACTCATATTATCAGACGCTTTCTTCGCGCGTTGAAAATAGCAAAAAAAAATATTCTTTGGCAACATGCTGGAGCATCCAGAAAAAATTTTTTTCTAAGGTGGGTGGGACGGGGGCGGGGGCGTTGGTTTTGGAAAAAATCCAAATTCAAGGACTAATGTATTCCAGGTTTAGTTTGCTTACGACAACTTATCTCTTATTTTTAACAAAATACAGGGATCTAAAGTTGAAATCCACTTTGCCCACTTATTACAGCCAAAAAAAACAAGGTTCTGCTTGAGGTTAAAATCTTGTCAAACCTGTTTATTTTCCAGATCGACACAGTTGAGCTCTGGGAAGCCCAGAGCAAGAACCCAGGTCCCTTGGATTATCAGATATCCCAGGGATCAACAGCTTTTGCTGAAGAGCTTCAAGCTCAAGACCTTGTTTTCAGAATGGATGCGGGACGCATCACAGGGATCCTCGCCCATCCAGAGGAGCCCTCTCACGTCTTGAACATCAAGAGAGGTATCCTCAGTGCATTTCAGGTGCAGTTTGTTGACGACCATGCCACCTTAGAGGAGGTAAGATCTTCATTATGCTAATTCTTACAAACAAGTCGCGCTGGTATCGAATCTGACTAAATCTACTTTTCCGCGTTTCTCCCAAATATTTGAAAAGTTAAACTTTCAACGGTGAATTATATCAGTTTTAATGGGGTGTAAGCTTTTACACGAAACTGCACACCATTAAAGAAATAAATCCTAAGTTGAGTCCTTGCACCACCAAAATCTCATTAGTTATTCTCCTTACTGTCTGCCATACAATTGTTATGATTTTTATTCGGAGAATTTGGTTTTGGATCAAATATTGATCGCTTGAATTACATTCTTCCTAATTCTCATCACTTGCCTGCTTGATATTGTATTCATGTGGTGAGGAGAAATTCTATTTTGATCACTCACGAGAGTTGAATAGATAGATTATTGGTGCATTTGTAGAGGATGATCCTACCACATCTTTATTATCAAATTTTTTTACTATCTTTGTATGTGTTTGGCTGATTATTTATCCTTTGGTTGCTCCTCTTGTACTTTCGTTGAATCGATAATGTTGTTTGAAAATATCGACTTCCCGAATGAAAGTTTCTCAGTTGGCCTAAAAGCTTAGAGGACGTCATGGCGCATCTTGTGAAAGGGGCCCTGTTGTCTTTGAGAGATATTGTCCCCAAGGCTTCCCTTCTGATTAAACTGTATGTATAAGGGAGATTAACCTTTTCAGTTCTTTGTCTTGTATTTTAGGACGATGTCGTTGGTAAGTGCAAGGTGCGCTACGAGATTAAATCTCGGCATCTGAGCAGACGCCCGAAAGTCGTGTACAAGACGCGCAATCTTACTGAGTGCACAGATCGTGCACAGACCGACATCGGCATTCACGTCCATTCTTACGAAGAAAAGGTAAACAGAGAGGTTCTTCTGTCATTGATTTCAAGAGGTCAAGTAGAATTTAAGGCACTTAGAGACAAGCGCAATCTCGAAAGTCAGAAGGGATTGTTAAGTTCAAATTCAGATCATGATTAAAGGAGGGACAATTTTACGTTACAATAAATATAATCATAGTTAGAGTAAAGTCACGATCGTTTCTCAGTTACGTGAGCATCTTGGCAAAATGACGATGAAAGTGTGATATGGATTGCATAACAACCGAAGGAATACCGTCCGACGTAGAGTGTCTCTTACCGTTATAGTCACGCAATATTTAAGGAAACTTAGAGACGCTTATGGTTTAGCCATGTATTAAATACCCTTTCTGTGACCTAGCATAACCATCTCCTTTGTTTTCAGCCCATCAGCTTACTGCATTCAAACAGTACATGCAAGCTGTACCTGACCGCTAAAAAACGCACCCAGAGGGTAGTGTGCGAAGAGGAACATCTTTTCCGTCCATTCTCTGGTGGTTACAAAAACGCTTCTGGAGCAATTACCAGAACAAGGTAGGAGATATTTTTTGTGATACGAAAATACTTAAGGTACAATGGACTCGTTTTGTTTTGTCTGAGATGTAAAGCTATTCCCAATTTGTGCATGTACTTCAAAATGTACGATCGACAAGAATAGTCAATTTTTTTTTTCTTCTGATTACTTGTAAAAAATCCTCCTTCTCTAAAATAAATAAAAAGAATTTTCGAGAGCTGATATATTTTCTTTCCCTTATAGACAGGTTTTGGAATTGCAGTCTATCCTTCCTGCATCTGAAGCTAACGTACCTCTCGGTAGGTGGTTTATTTTGATTTTTGTACTTTCTGTTTTCCAGCTCTGTAATTAGTATGCAATACTAAGTTCATGCACGGATTTTACGTTAGAAGTTGGTAAACATGAAGTAGATGTGATAGACAGATGCATGAAATCGTGATTGTTGCGATGAAGTTTTCCTTTTTCCTTTATTCAAAGCCATTATTAGACGAGCAGACTTCGTTTAAATGGCAACACACATGGTGAAGAATCAAATACTTAAAAAATTGCAACTTCAAGAGTGGCGTTCCAAAGAGAAAACAAATGCTAATTGTAACAGTCTCCTCTATCTTAAACTCTCAATCACATTTACAAAACATAAATGTGAAAGGTTTATCTTGTGCCTTAAAATTGGACGTCAGGTTTTGCCTTCTAAACAAAATTGATTTCATTACATTTTAGAGGGACTTCGCCTTGTGTCACTGAAGTATGCGCATGCTCAGCCACAGTCTAACCAAGAAGCTATTACTGATGCTTTTTACTTGGCAAGCCGCCTTAGCAAGGAGTCAAAACACTCCACAAAACCTGAGTCGGCCCAGCACTTCTCTAGCCTTGTTTTCAGCATCCGCAAGCTTAGCACGCCAGCCATGGAAACTTTGTGGCAGAAAATCCACAACGAGGAAGATCCTAAAATGCAGTAAGTGTATTTGCTTCTTCGCTACGGGGAGATACGGTCCATTGGCTTGATCTTGAAGTTTCGGCAGCATCGTTAGATAAAGAAATATCACATGGAAATGCTTTTCAGTAAATTGTAGTTGAGCGATCACACAACTCCAAGCTTATTCATAGAGGCTTTTGTAGCCGTTATCAAATCTCAATAAATTTTTAATTGAATATTCTCCATATTCAGAGGACTTGACTTGCAGGCTTAAGTTTTCTTTTGTAATGTGACAAACTACAGCATGATCACTTTCAGCTTGATGCGAGATTACAAGACAGTGGCTTTTTCATTTTTGTCAGTCGAAGCTTCAGTTACTGAGACAAAAACATGACGATTTTATTTACTGACGTGACCTTTTTTTTTCTTTCAGCGAATACTTCTACGATGCTCTGCCTCACTGTGGTACAGGAGGATGCGCAAAGGTCATGAGTAATGCCATCAGGAACAAGCTGGTCAACCATGAGCGTGGTAACATGTTTCTGGCGGGATTGGCTATGGCAGCAAATCCCACAAAGGAAACAATTGAGCACGTGCTAGAGCTGTGTGAGGAGAACCCTGGAAGAACCGCCATGTTGACTCTTGGAACGCTCATTCACAAAGTTTGCGAGAGCAAGCCGCAGGATTGTAATGATCAGGTAAAGGTTGTGATACTGTACCAGTCTGGTAAAAGCTTTAACCCTTTAATTCCCAGATATAATAATCAATTCTCCCCTCCAGCCACTAAATATTTCCTTTTAAACCAATTGCGAGAATTTGGTGTTAGACCAAGACAACAACTTCTATTTGATATGTTCGAGTATTCTCACTACCTGTTGGCTGGATAACGTAAGGATATCTCAGGGAGAAGTTAGATGTTTATCACTTCTGGGAGTTAAAGGGTTAGAAGATTTATACGCAAATTCTCCGAGCAATTTCAATAAGTTATCATGTAAACAGTTTATGATGACAGACCAGCTTATCAGCTAAGGGGCGTTATTTTGGAATAAGACCATCTTCTCCTGTTTAATTTAGCAGTAAGTTGGGAGAATTATTAAGTGGATCATGGGGATTAAAGGGTTTCAGTTGAGTTTTAAAGCATCCCTCAAAATGTGCACTCTTAGATTAACGTATGCGCAATACTTATATTAAGTTGGTTTCTTTTTTTAGCTTTGGTTGTCCTTATGTTTGCTTTATACATCTAAACTTTACTGAGACTTAAATGTTATTGAAACATTTTACTTGAAAGCGCGTATTCAGTTACATTTATTATTATTATGATTATGATGATGATTACAACTATTACGATTATTATTATTATTATTATTATTACTATCGAAAAGCTTTGATGAAAGAGTTCTGACATAATCAATTTTAATTTTCCTTATAGGATCGAGAAAACCCCATCACAAAGGCTGAAAACTTCTTCCTGTCCCGTCTGGGTCAAGAATGCAAGGGCAAAACACCCGAAGATTTTGAAAACTTTATCATTACCCTGAAAGCTATAGGAAACGCCGGTCGACCTTTAAACGCTGAAAATGTCTTGCTCAAATGTGCCTGGAACTTAGAAGCACCCGTGAACATGAGCATCGCAGCTCTTGAGGCCCTGCGTCGCTTGCCTTGTAGTAAGCAGATGACAGACCAGGTCTTGCAGATCTATGAAGAGTTTAACGTGGATGTCGAGATCCGTATCGCAGCGTATCTTGCCCTCACGAAGTGCCCAAGTCCAGAGGTGTTCAGGAGCATCGCCGAAATCCTAAAGCGTGAAGTGAACAATCAAGTTGGTTCTTTTGTTTGGTCCCACATGACTAACGCCATGGATTCCACTGAGCCAGTTCATGGTCTCCCTCAAGCTGAAATAATGAAAGACGCCCTCAATGGAATGAGGCTTCGAGAGTTCAACTTGAATAGGCTAAGGTTTTCACGTGCCTGGGAAGGTTCATTTTACAGCGGTAAGATCATTTTGCATGTGTGAAGAAGACAGAATTTCTCTCTAGAAAATCAAGCAGACAATTGACGAAAGTAAAGATAGATATCAATCGGATAAATCCTTAACACCCCAATATTGGTATGCGTGTTCTCCATATTCTTTATACATTTTCTATGGAGCTTGCAAGGAGAATTTGTATAACAATCGAGAGCTTCTTGAGTTTCTGATCATGTCCCTTATTCTCATGAAGTTAATGTTTGATTTAGGGGTGATACTGTGAGGAGAAATTAGATGCTTATCACTCTTAGGAGTTAAAGGTTTAATAGAAGTTGTTCCAATGCCAAATACTCCAAACTAACACGTTCTCAGGCGTTACAGCTGTATAAAGATGAAGGTTCTCAAAACTTTGCTAACTAAACATAATTTCAAGTCTCTTGTGGTTATATTTAACAGATGTCCTGAGGTTCGGTGGATCGGCTCAGAGCCACCTTATTTACCACCCTACCAGTTTCTTTCCACGCAGCGCCATGGTGAACGTCACCGTCGACGTCCTCGGTGCATCCATCAATGTCCTGGAGGCAGGTGCACGTTTCGAAGGGTTTGAGATTCTTATCGAGCAGTTTTTCGGAGAAGACGGCTATTTCCCTGATGACCGCATTATGCAGATGTTCAACCTGAAGCCCCACGAGGAGAGGGATAAGAAAGAGAGAACTGTTAAGACTTCGAAACTCAAACGAAAGAGGAGCTTGGACGAGGACTTAAACAAGGTGGAACATAACTTAAACAAATTGCACCGTATGGTAAGTTCGTGTTTTTTGTTATCATTGTATGAGAAGTAATGTGGTTTCCACTGTTACGACTGTGAATACGGCCACAGTTCTGGTTTTTTTTTTTTTGGTTAAAGATTGATTGTAAAATTTTGATGGAAAATAATGTTTATAATGTTTTCATCGGAAGAAAAGTGAAAAGGAGAAAAAAAGCTCGAGGAACTAAGCACATTGTGGTCATGCAGGGTGCATATTAATGTTGAGATTATAATGCTGGCCTGTCAGTTTTCACCTTCTAAGGACGTGTAGAATCGTAATAAACACATTCAACAAAATGTGATATGAGATGATAGCTTAGAGATTGACTACATCTTAACCCTTTTCACCCTAACATCAGTATGCTTATTCTCCATATGGTTCTTTATACATTTCCTAAAGTGTCGACAAAGAGAATTTGTTTACCGATCAACAGCTTCTTTCGTTGGTGATCATTTCCTTAATTCTCATGACCCTAATGTGAGAATCAAGGGTGATATTGTAGGGAGAATTTAGATGCTAGTCACTCTGAGGGTTTAAAGGCTTAAGTCCATATACCCAGTTCATATTTCTTTTTTTTTTTTTCAGTTTTCTTTTTTTCTATGACTGCGTTGTAGTGCAAATAAAATTGTGCCAATAACATCGACCACTTTTCGTAATGTTTCGTCACCCATCATCTTGTCTAAAGCCTGATCAAACTTTGGATTTTTCATCTCAACTGACTCATATTTCGTTACGTGTTTGTAGATGGATAACCGTAAGCATCATCCTTCTGGGGCTGTTTCTGTGAAGATGTTTGGTAACGAATTGAGACTTCTCAGCTTTGACGACATCAGCTGGTTAAATGACGAAGTAGACAAGATCAACGTGATCGACATATTAATTGCTTTAGCCAAGGGTGGCAAAAAGAGCTTCAGTAAAAGCATGATGTTCTTGGACGCTGAGACTACAGTCCCTACCATCCTCGGTCTGCCGCTTAAAATGAGTGCCAAGGGAACCACGGTGGCCTCTGTAGAACTCGCCGGAAAGTTTGACATCAGGAACATGTTCTGGGGAAAGATGCGGTTTGATATACGTGGCCATGTCAAACCCAGGTAAAATTATTTAGGACAGAGTTTAATGTTTCTGTTATGACGATTGGAGTTTAAAAGTAGATGTGTTAATTTTTGATAACCGAAAGCGTTTTGGTGCACAGAAGCTAAACTTAGGATCGGCCTGGTAAACAGCCAAAGAGTTGACCTTAGTTTATTGTATTTACTTATAGATATATACATTAATATATATATTTATATATACATACATACTATATATATATATATATATATATATATATATATATATAACTGCAGACTGTACTGGTTCAGCCTTCTGGGCCTCACCAGTGCAGTGCTGATGCCAGGAAGGAGGTGTCAGCACTAAGCTACCCCGAATGATGCCACAGTTGTGGTATCATCTAAGCTATATTTATATATTTTTCGGATTTTCTCCCATGTTGTCATGGTTAACAACGAAGGGAAGCATAAGAATGAGGGGAAATAAAAGGGAATTGCTCATCCGACCTGGGAGTAGAAGCCACTCTACCTCAGCCTTACGGTAGTACTGCCATTATGCAGTCTTCTTTCCTTAAGCGTGTCTCACTTGTCGATGGCGTTTTTATTTTTCAGTGCTATTGTGGACGTGAGTGGTCGTATGGGAGTGAGTGCAGTGTATGCTGAAGCTGGCGTTCTTGTCAATTCCTCTTTGTACACGGTTACACATCTCAAGGGAAATGCATCCTATGCTCAAGGAGAAATCTTGAAGTTTGAATTGGGTGTCCCAGAGGAGCCTGTTCAGTTTGTCAACGTATCGTAAGTAAAGCCTATTATTATTAATATTATTAAGAATATTATCAAAACTATAATATTCTTTTCGTTATTTCACTTTTTCGAAACGATAACTAGGTTAAGTGAGATTGTGGCTAAACAGATCGTGGAAACTTTATTAATTCTAATAACAAACTTTCAAGTGCTTCTCCGTTTTATGATGTGGTCATCGTGGTAGGAAACGCAATCTTACTTGGTGACGATTGTGGTGCTATATGTTAAGTATTTCTTAATTTTCTTGTAGGTCATCGCTTTTCGTTACTCTCAACAACGAGAAACTAGCTATTGATGGAACACCGAGGAGGATTGAGGTGAGCACTTAAGGACAGGGCTAATGCATCTTAACCTATATTTGAGACGATGCAGACATGCCTTGAATCAAAGCGGAATTATAGCCGTTAGGATGAAACTGTCTCATGAGATGGGATAGGAACAAGCTGTTTGATCAAGAATTAAAGCTCAATCCAGCACACTTAAAGAATTATTTATTGTGGTTGGAGTTCAGGAAAAAATTTCGCCCTAAACAATTCGAAATAGCAAATTTCTGAAATCATTCAGATGCACTAAAAAAAGGTTTTTTATTCTTCCCTTTTACTGTTTCATTACATGATTAAAATCTAGTTTTGTGTTTCCAACAGCCTGCACCTTGCCTGAATTTGACACGTGTACTCGGACTTACATTCTGCAGTCAGCTGTCTGTGCCCTTGGCTTACCGTGACTACGAGTCACCGTACTTCCCATTTTCTGGCCCATCCTCCTTCAGTATTTCAATGACACGCACAGACCCTAAGCTCACTAAATATCAGTTGATAGCAGAACGCTTGCAAACTGAAGACGATAACAAGTATGATGTGATGGCGGTAATGTCCACACCTGGAGCAACGTGGGAGCGAAACCTGGAGGCAAACGGAACTCTGTGGATTAAGAAGGATGGCAAACTTCTCAGTGTGACTACTGCTGCTCTTGGCTTAAATTTTGGCAAGTTTGAGGCAACTTACAACAACATCACTCACGCAGTGAATCTCACATATTCTGGAAAAGACGCTGTTTTCGGACACCCAATCGTTGTTAATGGTCACTTTTTCAACAACTCGGAGGCGGATAGCCTTTATCGAGATATGGGTTTCCAGTTGTCCGCTTCATATAGAAATTACACCATTAAACAGCTGACGAAGCTCTACAACAATTCTAATGCGTATGGATATGTTAGCAACTTGACGTACTGGCCAGGCAAGTACCTGTTTTCCACTGGAGAACTAAACGTCCCAAAGAAGAGCATTAGTTTCCTAGCAAATCATACTTGCACCCAAACGAAGATCCGCTTCAATGGAAAACTTGGTGAGGAAGAAGATGATTTTGTTTTAAGTTTCAGCAACAAGCCAACACAGGCAGGAATCGAGCTTACAGGAAGATATCTCAAGGTTCAGAATGAAGGGGTCCTTCGCCTGTTTGCCCGCCCATGGCAGCAGTCCTTTACTCTACGTGGATCATATGTCAAGGCGGGACAAGAGAAAGGTATTCAATTCACAGGAACGCATGAAAACAAAAATCGTGTCATCAGCTGGTACACAGGTATTGTAAACTCGACTAATGAGAAGTCCATGAAAATAAATGGCACCGTGCTTGGAAGTAAAGCAGAAGCTATCTGGTCGTATCTGAATCTGACACAAAATAAAGGAGTGAAGTTTCAGGGAGTCCTCCTGAACCAGTCCGTCGACGCCGTCTGGTCTTACGTCAACGCTGGGCAAGAACAAGGGCTGCGATTTAATGCAACTGGCCTAAACAAGACCCTTGAGGCAGCCTTAACGTACCTCAATGTCACAAATGATCAGAGCTTGAAGTTTAATGCAACAGCCCTTAACAAGACCATCGAGGCGGTGTGGTCATACGTGAACCTCACTACAGAGAAAGGAATGCGATTAAACGTCTCGGCATTGAATCATAACATCCAAAGTGTTCTAACCTTCCATAATTTAACACAAGAAAAGAGCATCAAGTTCAATGCGACAGCTCTGAATCAGACTCTGGAGGCTGTGTGGTCATACGTAAATGCAGGGAAAGAGAAAGGATTACGAATGAATGTCACCGCCTTGAACAAGACCGCCGAGATCATCTGGTCATACTTCCATTTCGGCGACAAAAAAGGAGTACGTTTCAATGCTTCCGCCCTGAACAGAACAGCGCAGGCAAGCTGGACTGTCATCAACCGCCACACAGCGAGGAGTTTAGAGTTCCAAGCCTCCGCTTTAAATAAAACTGTCAATGCCACATGGACATTGGTTAGTTTGAGAAATGAGAAGACTTTGAAGTTCAATGCTAGTGTTGGAAACAACACAATCAATTCTTTTTTGACCTTCTTGAACTTGGAACATCAGAAGAGCTTAAATTTCAACGCAAGTTATGGAAACAAGACCTTCAGCTCCACTTGGACGTTGTTGAATCGTCCAAACGAAAAACGCTTCACATTCAAGGCAAGTACCGGAAGGAAGAATTACAATGCTACCTGGGCCTTCTTAAACTTAGGATCCAAAAAGACCCTAAGATTCGAGTCTCACTGTGGATACAGGATGATGAACTCCACCTTGACTTTTCTGAACATGCAAAATGAAAAGAGCGTGAAATTCCAGGGAATTGCTTTCAACAAGAGCATCGCTTCTTCCTGGACCTTCGCAAACGTGGAAAACGAAAGGAGTCTGAACTTCAAAGCTAGTGCTCTCAACAAGACCATCGATGCCACATGGACCTTCCAGAACCTTGCCAACGAAAAGAAATTGAAGTTTAAAGCCAGTGCAGAAAACAAGACCATCAACTCGTCTTGGACTTTCCTTGACTTCCCCAATGAGAAGAAGTTGATTTTCAACGGAAGCGTCCTGAACAAAACGATGAACGCCACATGGACCTTGCTGAGTACGGACAGACAGAGGAACCTGAAATTGGAAGCCAATTTTGCCAATAAGAACATAAAAGCCACGTGGACGCTTGTCAATTTAAGAACTGAGAAGAGTTTGTTGTTCTCAGGTAGTGCTCTCAACAAAACTGCCGAGGCCTCATGGACTATCTTCAACTTTACAAGTGAAAAGGGATTGAAGTTTAAAGCAAACTGCCTAAACAAGACTCTCGAAACAACCTTATCATATTTGAATTTCGTCAGAGAGAAGAGTTTGAAGCTCAACGTATCTGCCATGAACAAGACGATTGAGACAGCATGGACCTTCGTTAACTTCACCAATGAGAAGCTCATAAAATTCAATGCCACTGGATTCAACAGAACTGCTGAGACTATCTTTGGTTACGGTATCGATGGAAATCAAAGATCCATCAAGTTTAACGCATCCGCCATGAACAAAACTATTGAAGTTGCCACGAGTTTTGTGAAGAGTGGGGAGGAACGTGCTATCAAATTTCATGCCTGCACCTCAAACAAAACTGTAAAGGCCGTTTGGAGCTACCTTCGGGGTGAATATGTACATTCCATTAAATTCAATGCTTCTGCTATGAACAAAACTGTGGAGGCCACCTGGAGTTACATGAGGAGCGATGACGAGAGAGCGATCAAATTTCATGCGGCCGCCTCCAACAGAACTGTTGAAGCCATCTGGAGTCTCAAAAACAGCGATCACCAAGATTCCTTCAGGTTCAATGCTTCAGCAATGAATAGAACCGTAGACATTGTCTGGAGTTATTATAGAGCTGAAAAAGAAAGAGCCATCAAGTTCCATGCCTCGACCTTGAACAATACTGTTGAAGCAGTTTGGAGTTACTTGCAGAGTGAGAATGAGCGATCCATCAAGTTCAATGCGTCAGCTGTAAACCAAAGCATGCAGGCTATCTGGACACTGTTAAATTCTGAGACTGAAAAAGGACTCAAGTTTAACCTCGCAGTCAAGAACAAGACCATGAATACTACTTTAGTGTACTTCCGTAATCCATCCAACTTGGGAGTACTTCTAAACGTGAGCTCCTGCAACAAATCTGTCAGCCTGTTGAGCAAAGTCTTGTTACAGGGGGCAAACAAAAAAGTCGTCCTACAAGCTGCCTATCAAAACTACAGTGTTGCTCTCGTCGGGTTCTTCAAGAACATGAGTTCTCAGAAAACTGCATGCATCTATCCTGAATACCTTGGTCGGTCGCATGGGAAAATCTGCGCTGTTTTTTCAAACAGCTCGGTAGAGACCAGTATGTCTCTCAACTTGACGATCCTTAACAGAACCGGTGAACTGAAGACGCAGTGGTATAAGAACCCCACAGAATATGCTAACCGCCTAACTGCCAAGTTCCACAACACAGTTTTCTTTGAATCCTGGATGAGCTACATAAACTCCACTGAGCTGAGAAGCATTCATTTTAACACAACAGTCTTGAACAGATCCGCCGATACTACTTTTTACTTCCGTAACCGCACTGTAAAAGCAATTGGATTCAACGCCACAGTTATGAAGAAGCAAGTTGGCTTCGAGGGAGCCTGGCTGAATGGGAAGATCATAAAAGAAGCAGCTGTTCACTTGTTTTGGAACAAATCTACTGTAGCGAGGTCATCTTTGATTTTCTTGAATAACACTCAACGTAAGGCGCTTCAGTATCGTGCACACCTTGGCCGTTTCGTCGCCGAATGGGAAGGTACATACGTCACCCAGAAACCTGGTGTAAAAGAGTTTCTGACTTTCCGCATGCTCCGAAATGGAAGCCAAAGTCTTTTCGTTGATAGCGCAAAATTGATCTATACAAAGACCGAAAAGACTCACGAACTTGGATATCAGTACAATCTTCGAGCGATGGGCCTCTCCTTTGAGCATGGCTGGGATGCTTCTTATTACAACTTCTCTAACGTCGAGGATTCCTATCACGAAGGAAGGTTCTCTGTGATTTATTCTAAAGGCAAGAAAGTTTCAGTGACAGGAATTTTCAGAAACACTTCTAAAGAACTTTCTAACACTCTAGTCGTCGAGTATCAGCCCGAAAAAACGGTGACTCATTCTTTAGTTTGGTACAAGCAACGCAAGTCAATAAATCTCAGAGCTGAATTGATTCCAAGCAAACCTTTCACGTGGACGACTACCTGGAACAGGAATAACGGCTTCTCCTTCAACAGCGCCTTGGATATTCTTGGCAAGAAAATCGAAAATCGATTTGACTTCAACAAGGAGACAGGCTACTATGAAGGCTACTTTGAAATTTTCCCAGTTTATCCACTGAAAGTGAGAGGAATGTTTATTCAGGACCACGGCCTGTATTTCACGACGGAGATTTCAGCCTTCAAGAGGACGTGGAATCACATAATCGACTTCAACGAAGAGGAACGAAAACTGGCAATTTCTGTCGATGTCTTGCCCGGAACAGCAGTGGCTGCTGACGCTAGTTGGAAGAGTATGGACGACATAGGAATAGCTGTCTATTTGAAAGGCTTTGAGAAGTCACTTCGGGTGGTCTGTGATTACGATAAACTCACTAAGACCTTCACCTCTGGCCTAACCATCTTCAAGCGAACACTGACCTTCACTGAAAGGCTGGACACAGAAACAAGGACCCTTTTCTTGACCTTTTCTGCCTTTAATCGTACCGCTGGTTTTACAGGAAGGTTTGACTGGAAGAACTATGTCGCCAGCACGTTCGTAAGCTACCAAAACAACACCGCAGGGTGGTTTATTAAGTTTAACCCCGCCTCAAGAAGCATTGTTTTTAACGTTACTGCCACGCCTCGTGTCTCTGGACAAGTGGTGGGAGAAATGCAGGAAACTAATCACCTTCAGGTCACGATCCAACGCAAATTTGGAGAAAATGTAGTAAATGAATCACGCTTGATGTACCTCCTGAATTCTGAGGCCAGTCGTGTTTCGTTAACGTGGAATACCTCTACCATAGCGACTTTGGTCAACCAAGCCCAAGTTTTTAAGACCCTCCTCAGGAACGTGACCTTGAGGTTCTACAACCTAACTGTCCTTATGACGAAAAACCTGACTAAGGAGGTTGAGGTGCTTGTTAAGAAGTTGGAGGCCAAGATCAAGCCCACCGTTCTCAAGTTTTACGCTGAATGCAAGGCTTTCAACTACAAAGGATTGATGGAGAACGCCACAGGCATGGCACAGAACATGTCACTTCGACTTCTGAACATCACTCTTACATCATTGAACAATACTATTAACAACCTCACAAGAATGATCGGTAACGCCAACTTTACACACATGATCGGTAATGCCTCGGAGTTTTACAAGACGATTCACCAGAATGCCACGGTTGCTTACAGACGTTTCCGCAGAGAGGTGCTTCCTCCCATAGTTGGAAATGTAACCGTCCATCTCCAGAACATCAGCCGGGATTTACAAGGCTGGGCCAAAAATCTATCCATCATGGCGAGTTCGGTTATGGTGCGTGGAGAAAGAGTCGGTGATATTGCCAAGCGTGTTTCCAAAAAGGTTCAAGTTATTACCGCGCAACTCATGGAGAGAGTACAGATGAAAACTCGCGAACTTATCGAGAGGCTTCGAGAAGTTGAGATGCGTGGACGGCGGCTTGGTCCCATGTATGACCAGTACATGCTTGAGATGAAAAAGTTCACTTGCAACTTCAACGCTTCCTGTACACTTAGGAATGTAACAATATTTGCTAAGAACCTGACAACAAGTGTTCGCAACATTACCGTTTTCGATAAGACGATCGAGGAGCATTTCAAGCTACTGAACAAGACTTTCCTGGAGAATTTCGAACAGCTTAACAAGACCGTGCGATCCAAAGTGGAGGTCCTCTACAAGAGAGCTTGTCTCGCGCATCAAACAGCGCTGAATTTCACGACAAATTTGACAAAGGTTTTACCCAAGCTGATAAGGAATGCCACCATTCAAGCTATCCATTTGGCCGAGAACTTGACAAAGGAATTCAGAAACATCACCATCCAGGTTAGGAAGGTCATTCTAACTGCCTATTCAGATCTACAAAAGACTCACCGCCCTCTCATTAAGTTTGCTAAGGACGTCTCCATTTCACTCGAAAGGAAAGCTTATCCTATTGTACTTAAGATTGTCCATCAAGTGCGGAACTTCACCTTAGATGTAAAGAACAACGTTACGAAATACTTGGAACCAATTGTCAAATCCCTTGTTCCAAAGGCATTCGAAGTAATGCACAAAGTGCGCAACATCACCATCCGAAGTGTTCCTATTGGCCAAGTCGTGGATAAAGCTGTTCTTGTTTCCCTGAACATCGCATCTGAGACACTGAAATTAATCAACCACACCGTTTACACGAACGTCTCCGCTCTTATTGCCTTTATCCGTCACAATTCACAAAAGTCGGCTGAAGAGATCTTGGATTTGACTATCGAAAAGGGCATGGAGTTCTTCAATCTGTCAAAGATGATCTTAAACGAATCACTTAGTCTGGGACTCAACCTGAGCCGACGAGCCATTGTGGTTTACAACAGCTCGGTAATGATCCTGAATAAAACCTTGCAGAAGCTTCTGAAGATGCGTCCTGACGAAATTGTGAACCTCTCTATTAAGAAAGTGCAAATAATTGCCCAAAATATCACGGCAGAAGTCTTTAGTATTACTAAACAGTTGCGTGCTTTAGATATTTCTGGCAAGATCAAAGCAGCATGGGCCAAAATGGACGTCATAGCTAAATTCGAAGCTTTGCAAATTACAGCCAAATGGCATCAACTTGTGGAGCACATTCGAGCATTCAACATCAAGGCGAGAGCACTTCGTGTAAGAGACTTTATCGGAAATGCCTCACTGAAAGTTGCGAAAGAATTGGAAGACATCGCCAATCTTGCCAATCGCGTTTTGGCCTTAGCAACTGATCTCGTAAACATGAAAGTTTCAGGAGAAGAGTTTATGAAGGAAGTGACTTTCCTTTCCAAGGAAAGTAGGCGAGTTTTCACCAAGTATGGAGTCATGGCCAAGAATACAAGCCTTCACTGGGAAAGTAAATTGCGAAATGCTTCGTACGAAATGGCATGCCTCTACAAAAACATCACAATCAACAAGACCCTCGTAGCTTACAACATCTTGAAGAAACACGGTTTAATCCTGTACAATGAACACCAACAAGAAGGACTTAGGCTGTACAACCTTTACAAGAACCTCCTGATTAGGATATATGAAGACTTCAAAGCTAATGTCATCCAAAGTCTTGGGATCCAACGGGAGAAGCTATTGAGTGAATTGAATGTCCTGATCACTAAGGCTAGAAAGCTCGAGAACATGACCTACGAGGAGATAGTTGTGAAGACCTACGAGTTCCTTGGGAAGCACGGATTGGCCATCTACAACAAAATCACCGTACGCGCACTAAACCTGTACAGCAACATTTCTACCCATGCACGTGAATTCTACGGGAATGCAACTTTCCACGCAGTGAGACTATACAATAATTTCACCACACATGGACTTCAACTCTACAAAAATGTCACCCTACGTGCAGGGCAACTCTACAACAATGTCACGGTACGTGCGATGCAAGTCTACAAGAATGTTACTGCCCATGCTCTGAAGCTTTACAAGAATGCCACACTGATTGCTATAAAACTCTTCAACGAGACCAAAAATGTGACTTTGAGAGCACTCAACCTGACCTTAGTCCTGGTCAATCACACTAAGATGATGGCCTTGCAGTACTACAATGCAACTCTAAACCTGACTATTCACTACTACAACATGGGCCGAAACTACTCCCTTCAGTACTACAACCTCACACGCAACTTGAGTCTTCAGCACTTGTTGAAGTACTCTAATCTGACGCGCAATCTCACCCTGCATGTCTACAACGTGACACGGAATATCAGTTTACAAGCCTACAACAAGACCAGAGCTCTTGTGCTTCAAGGAATCCGGTACGTAAACCTCACTTTCGTCCCCTTGGTTAAGGCCAACTTCATCAGAGGAAAGGTTCTCGTCCTGATGTATGCCAATGAGGCTGTGGTTTTTGTCCAGTCGACCGCACAATCTATGCAAAAGTGGTATAGTGAGAACAAAGAGAAGACTCTCGAGGAACTCTATTTCGAGGCTTTCGATCTCGCAGAACGCAAATTCTTGGAGAACAGAGTCTTCTTAGAGAACAAATATGAAGAGTTCAAGGAGATGGTTGAAAAGAAAATCAAGGAGAAGATTAACGATGCCAAAGTAAGATTCACAGCAAAATTTGAAGAGTGGAAGAAGGAGCTGCACAAGCTGAACAAGACTGTGATTAACATCACTGGAGAGGCGATCGCCCTGTACAACCAAACCGCTAACATCACCTTCATTGCTGCGAAAGAACTTCTCGCCGTCTTCCATCCGTATATGAGAGATATGGCTAATAAGACCGTCTTCTACCTAGTAAAGGCCAAGAACGTCTCTCTTCCACTTCTGGAAAAGGCCGGAAATATCACTTGGCTAACACTCAACGAAACACTAGAACTGTTGAGCGAATCGGGGCAGCAGCTGAGAAAGAGCTATGCAAAATTTATGGCCCTTGAAGACGTCCAGAGGCTTATCCACAAATACCAGGTAAAACAACGTTATGCAATGGTTGAGAAATTCGTCATGGAGAGGTATAACGAGATCGTGGAGTACCTGAAAGTGATGAAACCCACAGTTGCAGCCAAAGTGAAGGAGGCGATCTTCTATCTGAACGTAACTCTTCCAGCCGAAATCAAGGGAAGATATGCTATGATGAAGGACATGTATGATGAGATTGAGAAAAAGATCCAAACTCTATTGGCTGATCCCCAAATGCTTTTCGAAAAGGCTCTTGCAAAGGCTCAGACTGCCATTAAAGATACATCTATTGAAAGCATGGTGCATCACAAACGCGTACAGGAACTAATGGAAGACTTCCGTAACCAGCAACTGATTGAAAGTTGTCAAGGAGTCGTCAAGAACATTTCTGTAAACCTTGGAAAGGCCATCGAGTTGGCATTGGAGAAGGTCAACGAATTAATGGAAAATCTTAAAACTAAGGCTGTAGTTATGGCAGATAAGATTAAGACGAAGGTACAAGAAACGCGCCAAACTTTGATCGTGAGGTTTGAAGAATTCAAGACAATGAAGCTTCGCGAGATCGTTGAGCACAATTCTGTGTTCAAGACTATCGAGCTGGCGAGAAATGTTTCTCTACAGATCAGAAATATGACACTTGAGGCCAAGAACATCACGAGCAAGTTTGTGGCGATCGGAAAGGTCTATTACACGAACTTCACTGCAAAAGTTCAGAATTACACTAGGATTTTGAAGGCTAAAGTTCAGAACTACACAAGGTTCTTGAGAGAAAGAGTTCAAAATTATACGAAGATTGTCCAAGCGACTGTCCAGAATTATACAAATGTCTTCAATGCAACATTCCAGAACTACACAAAGATCCTCAACGCTACTTTACAGAATTATTCAAGGATGCTGAATGCGACAATTCGCAATTATACAGCGATCCTTACTAGTCATCTAAGGAATTATACCGTAATTCTCAAAGGCCACTACGAGCGCATCTATGCCAGCCACTTGGTCCCCTTGCACAGAAATTACACCTTGTTTATCAAGAAGTACCAAGCCTTAGCTGTGGACTGCATCGGCCGCTGTAAGAATTTGACTTTGAGAGGAATTGCCATTGCTCGCAACTGGACAACTGCTTCGGTGAATTTCACTCGAATGTGGATCAACAAGACCTTGGAGGACGGTATGAAGTATTACAGAAAAGAACTCGAAAGAGGCATGAGGTACTACAGAGAGGAAGTGAAGCCTTTTTACCTCAACAAAGTCCTGCCATTCTACAAAGACACTGTTCTACCTGTGTATCACAACTACAGCAAGCTACTGATTATGTTGCAAAAGAACATCACAAAGACGGCTCTTGAACTTAAAGACAGTGCGTTGGACCTGAAAGAAAGGGTAATAAATGTGAGTAGACAAGCTCTCCAGATGGCACTTGACATCGAGTCTTCTCTCGCGCTTCGTGAATTCGGTAAAATGACCATTCGTGAGTCTGTTCTTAAAGGACGTGTCCTTTGCATCCGTGCCTATAACTTCACCTTGAACTTGACTCGTTTGGCTGTGAACTTGACAAGGGAGACGTATAATATCAGTAGGGTACGCCTTGCCTGTGCCTTGAACACAACAATGGCTGCCATTGATTCAACTCTACTGAACTCCAAACCTCTCTTAATGCTCTTCAATGATACACGAGCAGAGTTGATCGAAACCGCTGTTTTCGTCACCAAGTACTATGGAATCGACGATGCCGTCAAAGGGCGAATGCGTAGAAGTTTTGACTTCACAAGGAACGTCACCATGGACCTTGTCAACAGGCATGGGCATTATCTTAGAGGGAAAGCGCAGATGACTATAGAATTTGTAAATGCCTCTATCCAAACTGTTAATGCTCCACGATTCATTAAGGCATCAACGCTCACAGCTCTAAAATTTGTCAACACCACTATGAGATATGTTAATCGCACTATTGGATATCTGAACGCCACCTTCGTAGACGTAACGCAAAGACTCAACAAGACCGTCCATTTTGCCCGTTCTGTCATCACAAAGAAAATCCTGGATGCCCGTGTTGCCTTGAACAAAACCGTCCAAGATTTCCATGTGGCTGTCAATAAGACAATCGTCAAAGCTCTGGTGTCCATCCGCAATGCTCGTATTGCCATCAACAAGACCATCACAAATGCTCGTATGGCCATCCGCAACGCTGGTGGAACAATCAACAAGACCATCACTGACTTCCGCTTGGCTCTTCCCCAGTATATCCAGGTTACTGAACACGGTGTCACTGTTGTTATCCCGAGATTTGACGGAAAGATCAAAGCCTTAGCCTTAGCCTTAGCCTCAGTAGAAAAAATGAAGACCTTAAAACGGGACTTCCTGGAAAAGATGCAATCCCTTAAGGAGACAACCTTAGTCGAGGTTCAGGCGCTGAAACAGCAGGCTGCAAGGAAGATTGAGTCACTGAGGCAAAACGCAGTGATAAAGATACAGTCTTTAAGACGGGAAGTCTTGGAAAAAATGGAGAAACTGAAACAGGAAGTACCGGAGAAGATAAGGCTTTTCAAACAACATGCTGCTGCGGAAATCGCAATGTTGAAACAAAGGGCAGTTGAGAAGTACAATGAAGTGAAACAGAACGTTATTGTCAAGTATGGAGAGCTGAGACAAAAGTCAGTTCAGAAGTTTATTGAGCTTGAGGATAGGGCAAGAATTATGTCGGGCCGTGTCAAGACCATCAGTAAAGCATGGGTAGCAGTAGCTATGAATAAGACGGTGCTCTACCAGCAAAAGGCATATGGTTATGTCATGAAGGTTTACAACTTAACCAAGAATCACCATCTCACAAGAAAATACATCAACATCACCCTTCACTACTTCAATGTTACCAGGGATCTTGCTGTGTTCTACCGCCAGCAGACTTACAGATTTGTGATAAGCGCTTACAACCTGACTAAGAACCATCCTCTTACCCAGAAGTATGCAAATATCACTGTCCATTATTTCAACATCTCTAGGAAACTTGCAACGGTCTATCGTCACAAGATGGTGAGGCTCCTACGAAACATTTACAGGAGGACCAGGTATCACCCCATGACTGTGAGATACCTTCACAAGTCTGCGTATTTCTTCACCGTCACAAAGAACTTCTTTAGGGGTTTGAACATGACCTTGATAAAGAACGTCACCATCCAATACACATCCCGTGCTTTGAATTTGTCCCGCCAGTGCTACAATGTCACCAACAGATACCTTTCACGTGCCTTGAACTTGTCGCGGCATTGTTACAATGTTACCCTTTCTCGTGCGCTGAATCTGTCACGTTATTATTACAATGCTACCAACAAATATCTATCGCGTACCTTGAACCTTTCTCGCAACTTGTATAACACCTGCATGATCCGCACTCTGGATATCTCCGTGCAAGTGTACAACGTCGCTCAGAACGTCACACTGGATATCTTAAATTCAACCTGCCCATCAGAGGCCCTGGTGAAAGCCATGAACTACTCCAAGGTCGCCATCAATGCGACCGTGAAGCTTTACAAGAAAGCTCTACGTCAAGCCAGTAATTGCTCGGCTACAGCTTATAACCGAACAATCGAGCTTTTCCGCGATGCCAAGAACTTATCGACGATAGCAGTAAACAAGACGGTCAAACTCTACCGACGAGGATTGCTGAAAGCTAAGAATCTCTCGACGATAGCTTTGAACAAGACAGTCAAGATCTATCAACAAGCTTTGCTAATGGCTAGGAATTACTCCGCAGTGGCTGTGAACAGGACTCTGAGACTTTGCCATCGTCTATTCAATAAAACCGTGTTGGTCGTTTACAATACAACCTTCATGAAGACGTACATTCCTATGGCCTTGAACCTTTCACGTCAATGTTACGGTATCACCAAGAATTTCACAGTCGAGGTCTACGAAGTAGCTGTAAATGTAACCCTCGATATCTACAATTCCACCTGTTTGTTAGAGGCCTTCGGCAAGACGAAGAATTATTCGAGAGTAGCTTTCAACGAGACGTTCAAACTTTGCACCAAGGCACTGGGTCACGCCGTGAAATATTCAACCATAGCACTGAACAAGACCGCCAAGCTCTACCGAGAGGCAGTGGCTCAGACTAGGAACTACTCTGTTGTTGCTTTGAAGAAAACCATAAGGATCTACCAACGTGTGTACAATAGAACTGTTCAAGCCGCTTACAACACTACTGTGATGAAGAAGTACCTTCCAATAGCTCTGAATTTCTCACGTCATTGGTGTAGTGTAGGATTTAGCATAACTCGAAACTTCACCGCTGGTGTTTACGAAGTTGTCCAAAATGTCACCTTAGATATGTGCAATTCAAGTAGCTTGCCAGAACTATTCGGAAAAGTCAGGAACTACTCACGTATTGCCTTCAACCAGACCGTGAGGATGTGCCTTGAACTATATGGCGAAGCTTACAACTTAACCTCTCAAAGATATGCCGAGCTGAAAAACTACACCTTGACGTTGTACAAGGCCATTATCCAGCACGAAACCACTGTCTTGTATTTGAACCACGCCCATAAGTACCTGTACTACACCAGGAAAATGATTACAACACAGGTCCGTAACCTGCACGGAGCTAAACGCTACTGGCAGAAAAGGATGAGTCACCAAGTGTCGCAGATGTCCTATTCTCTGAACCCAATTAATTGGATTCCGCCGTTTAACAGTAAGTTCACTGAGTGAACCTTGTTCTAATATTTTCATTTGGATCCTCAGGCACCACGCTATCTAATTAGCGATCTTTCCTTTTCACTTCTACCCTTAAGCTTCTTCTTCCTCCTGCTTTTTAGTTATGAGTAATACAATATTTTTACGTTTCGATAAGATTCACGAAATTATCATAATTATCATCTACTCTTATATGCAGTTAATTTGATGATAAATTGGAATTTGTTAGAGGCTGCGTCTTATACTGATGGCTATTTTGTATCCGGTTCATTTAATTTTTCTACTCTTACCAATGATGTGTACACTATTTGTTAAAAGGTACGGCGATGATCTTTGGTGGACCCCACGTGTACACGTTCGATGGTACCTACTACAAATTCCCAGGTTACATGAAGGCTGGCTGCATGTACGTCTTAGCAAGAGATGTCCGCGACAACAAGTTTACAATCCTGAGTCAAGAAACAGCCATCATCGTGATCACGGAGGACTCGAGCGTGAAGATACATCAAGACGGTAGAGTTGAGACAGTTGTCAAGGTAACTTCATCTGGAAAGAAAGTCTCCGACGGTTATAACAGCGAGCTTCCAGTGGAGAGCTTCAGCACCACAGTTCAACGACAAGGATCTTTCATCATTTTCCGTCATGACATGGGCCTGGAGATCGTCTGCGATGTCGAGCACTATTTGTGTACTTTCAACATTGCTAGGTGGTTCCATGGACGTATGGCAGGTACGAAATAGATCGATTTCCAATTTTCTGGCCCTGGCAATTTTTTTTTCTATTACATTCGTTTTTCTAGTAAATTCACTGCAAATGAAATTTTTAATACTTTTTTTCCAGAAAACTCAACTACCCTTCGCCATTTTCTTGTTAAGTCAGTTCTGTCCCCTTTAAATATGTAACTCGTTTGTTTAGGTCTCCTCGGAACAAACAACAATGAATTCCATGATGAGATGATGACAAGCTCCAACGCCCAAACCAAAACGTTGACCGAATTTTTGGACTCTTGGGAGGTCACTAAAGATCCAGAATGCCAAGTATCAAAGGAGAAACCGGAAAAGCCCAAGTGCAAACAAACAAGCTACAGCCGACGCTGCCGAGCTCTTTTCAAGGACAAGAACTCTCCACTAAGTCGCTTCTTCTCAGTTGTCAACCCAGAACCTTTCATAAAGGCCTGCGAACAAGATTACAGGGAATGCGACTCGAGCACTCCTAAAGACATGAAGCACTGCAATTCAACTGCTGCTTATGTTGAGCTCGTTAGAATGAAGGGACTGTGGGCCGAGTACCTGCCAGAGTGCGGTAAGTGAAGTTATTGTGTAGCCATTGGCGTTTCATCAAGATATTTCTGGTCGTTTGGTGCGACGACCTTTCATGGTTAGGTAACCCAAAAATTACTGTCTTGCAAACAAACAGAAGGAAAGAAGAAAGAAAGAAAGAACAGTATTAGAGTTGACTAACACGAATTACAAACTAGACACTTGAGGAAACTTCAATTTTAGGAGAATTTTCTTAGCACGCATAATCAATAACGCATGTCCTTCATGGAAAGCCCGCGAGATCTCCTAACTGACCAATTTATGTAATCTTTTTCTTCTTAGGTCGCTGCGGCGATAATAAGATCGGAAAGACATGGTTCCAGAAAGCAGACAAAGCTGTAGATGTTGTTGTTTTTGTACACGAGACTTCCATCCTGAAGAGCTATGCTGAGAAGCTCCCGACATTCCTCTCCAGTTTGACTGAGTCCTTGGGTGAATCCAAATTTTCCTTCCGCTTTGGAGTGGTTGGATTCGGTGGTCGCTTGATACACAAAGGTCCGCACACAATCACCCTTGACGGTCAGCTGATGAATGATATTGATAGCGTTGACGAGGCTTTTGAGCATCTGAAGTTCTCCGACGCAGATTCAGACAACGACAGTAGTAATGCTTTGGAGGCTATGGCTTACGCAGCCTATAAGTATCCGTTCAGGCCAGGTGAGTAGTAATGAAGAAATAACAATGGTAACTGTGAAAATATAGGAAGATGAAAATGTTTACATTAAGACTTGCATTGGTAAAAATTTATTTTTTTTCCTTCAGCTGCTACGAAGATCTTCCTGCTATTAACAAGCACTGATCGTCATTCAATGGCTGACTTCGCTTCTCTCGAAAGTATCAGTAGCATGTTGGAATCAAAAGACATCATCTTGAACGTTATCGGAAAATACCGAAAGTTCCGCGGCGAAGTTATCGGTCAAAACTTCAGAGGAAATGTGTATTATAGAAAGCGACCCGAGGCTGGTTCAGGTGTAGCTCCCCTTCCTGAAGGCGAGTACGTGTCGTTAATGAAGTCCACCGAAGGATCTGTGTTTGGCCTCCCGTTCCTAGGATCAGATAACAAAGCTAAATTTGGAGCATTACAACAAGCCAGTGTCAGTGCGTGGCGAGAGCAAATCAAAAGAGATCAGTTTACATGCAAAGAGTGCTTCTGCGCACGCGGAGATGCTGGTCAAGGCAAAACCATCTGCAAGAAGAACTCATTCCACACCAAATGCTGAGGAGAACAGGAATGGTGAGTAAAAATAGGACTTAGCTTTGGTAGGAATTTTTTTAAGCAAACATAGTGAAACGGAGAGCAGAACCGAGACGTTCTAGTGGAGGAAGACTGGCATCTTAACCACTGGGGAGTAGTAATACCCCTAATTGTTTATGCCAAGGAAACGGTAATAAGCTCCGACTGAATTGGGGCACTTGGCTTGAGTACAGACTGAGCCTTACCCATTGTTTCTGGTCATTCCTGGTTACGAAAGGGTTTACACACTTTCAGTTTAAATAATTAGCTATCAGATCGTGGCAGTGCGAGGTTTAGGTCGTAAGTTCCCAGAAGGTTTAAGGTGGGCTATTTATTTAAAGTGGCTCTTTCTTTGTTAGTGGTTCATTGTGAATCTCACTTACAGTTTTCTCATGTTTCCTTTCGTTCCAGACGATTCCTGAAAAGGCCAGTACAGTAGAAAGCTTAGCTTCGCCCACGGAACTGTACAAAAGTCACGCTATCTGTAACTTGCTTTATTGTAGCTCGAAAATGCTTAAACAAGTATATGTAGTAGTTGGGTCACGTTATCGCAAAGTATTAATAATTTATAACAAAAGTTAATTTTATTTTATTGAGAAGTTCACATCGTTTCAATAAACAAAGCAAGCCTTAGCGTGGACGATGATTTATTGGTGAGAACCCTGTTCTCGATGTTCGAAGAGTAGACTTCATGAAAATATGTGATATAGTAGTTTTGGGCTAACTGATGCGGGTGACTTTCTGGCCTTTTCGTAACTCAATTCTTAGACAATTTTACAAGTGATGAATAACATTATTTAAGGTTTCTTAGTTTTATGGGACGGCTAGCCATCGATGCTTGCGAAAAGAAAAAACAGAGACATGATTTTATTTTGAGCCCCAAAACACACCAGAGGGCAAATGATACGTATTCATTAGTTTAAGTTGTTAGAAAGACGATAATTTTTTTGTTAAATTTTTTTGTTTCACGGTGCCAGAACGTTCGTAAATGATGAAGGCAGGAAAAAGCATCTCGCAGCTCTATCTTCTGATGAGAAGAACGTAAACCGACATCACAATTTTGTTTATTTTAGGGGGGTTTAGTTTATTGTTAATAAAGACGAACATTGAAAATGAAATATGAGGGTTCTTTGTTTCTTTCAAAGAAATTTCTGGCCTCCAAACCCCTTTTTGTGTTCACCTACTCCTCCCTGATTTCCTCTCGTGTTTTTTAGACTGAGGGCATAGAAAGAAGTTCTGAATTATTTTTTTTTTCAATCTGTCCTGACCTCCTCTCGATCCACCCTTTTTTGTGATTATCTATTTCCTCCCTGGTTTTAAGGCTTGGGGCAAGAAAGGCGTTCCAAATTTTTGTAGATCTATTTTGACCTCGTATTAATCTAATTTTGTCTTAACCTAATTCCTCCCAGGTTTTAGGACTTGCGGTAAGGACGGTCACTCTTTTTTTTAAATTTTTTTTAATCCTTTAAAAAAAACCCTCCAATTTTCATTTGACGCCTTTGTTATCCATGGTATTCAAAATAACGAAATTGCAGTACGCACTGAGAAAGCCATGAGGCGGGAGCACGCTCGTTTATTCACAACTCGTGCCACAAGCGGGCCGCGGCTTGCCGTATTTACTCAGTTTCACTTCGACTTCCTATTAGCGCTAGGGAAAATCTTGACGACCAAATAAACACCGAAGCGGTTGATTTAGGCCCTGGTGTTTGATCAAGGTTCGGACCTTCATTTTCGGTAAAGCTAAGACCTAGCTGTTAATTAGGAGCGCGAAAATTATCGTTATAGACCATGCGACAGTTTCTTGCGACTGGATGAGGTGAAAATTTGGCTGTCCTCACTAATCCTCTTTGAGTCTCGGAGAATGGGCTACATATATAATCAACTTAAAATGCGATGGAAATAAACATGCGCCGCTTGACACTTCAAATCGCCGGCTCCAAACCTGTAAGTGAGAAACAGCTAATTTCTTCTCACAATGCCACTGTTGAATAAAACATCACGAGAGTAGAAACGAGAAGGAAAAAAAAAATCGCTAACTAACGGAGCTATTTACTGTTTAACAAATTCTCCTTGTTAGCGCCATAGGAAATAGACGAAGAAAAGTATGGAGAATAAAAGATACTGATGTTAGGCCCTAAGCCGAGTTGTTTGATCCGGATTAATCACCATGGCAACGTGTCGATGGGGTTCCGTGCACTCCTGATCTCTCAGTGTCCCAGAAAAGTCGTGAGATCCATTAACCCTTCACACCGTTGATTTTCTATCAACTTTTACTCAGTGTCTCGAACCGTCAATGAAAATAAGCATCTTGTGTGACTGGGTCTCAGCTGTGAATAGATTTCCTTTCGTTTCGGATGCGACTGACAAATATCGATATTTTGTCCCGAGGCCTAACGCCGGTCTGTTCCCGTTAACAGTAGGGTGGGGTAGGCGTTAAATTGTTTTGGGTAGCTAGGCAGTTGTCGGTGCGACATTCTGCTTACATGATAACTGAAAAAAAAGAAGTTATCATGTCGATATCCGTACAGAGAGTACGGAAGACTACAAGAACCATCTAGAACTGTATTATCTGTCGTTCTGTAATTAATATTTTCGCGCCAATCAATGCTTTAATTAGCATACTGCGAACAAAATGCGTGATCGCAGTAGCCATCACTTATGGGCTCCTGGTGTTCATTAATTACTTTACTGCAACACCATAGTCTTAATTAGAAATCTACCAAAACTATTCTGAATAAATCAAGACCTTTGAAAGATTCGATTACACGTAATTATAAATCAACATTGTATCGACATTTTGAGAAACCGACACTTTTTTTCACACTTCCGGTAGATTTGCCTTTCCGGTAGTGCACGGAGAGAGCATTAAAATACTGAATATTTTAACAACGGAAGTCAGTTTTCGCGTATCACTCTTAATTCAAGTATAAATATTTTTACACAGCGCTGTGTGTCAGTACGATCGCCATTGTTTAGCGCGCGAAATTGGGTATGCAAATATTCCTCTTGTTTTTGCAGACATTTGCATGAAATGTACATGCAGTCACCCAACCAGAACGGCGTGTCAGAAGTTGTCACTGAAGGCAGATTCGTTTACGATGCGCTACACACACAGTGTGTATGAAACCTTTCCGAATGAATGGTTAGTGTAGGACGTCATAGACTTTTTAAGCACACAGTTTTTTTAAGCTTCTGTTTTGGGGGATTTATTTTGGAGCTTTCAAGCGAAAGTTCTGGCATTCACCGAGTTAATCGTGCGTGAGTATGCCTTCTCAGAAGGACAGTGTGAAAACTGATCGCCGAGACATGGACGATGCCGCCTCGGTTGGGAACAGCGAAACGGCAGATCTTGAGTGTAGTGAAAGTTCAGCGATTTCGCCAGGAAGGAATCTGTTGAGTTCAATCAGAACCTTCCTGTGGTCGCCGTCGAAAGACAGCGAGAAAGATTGCTCTGCGAAGCGTAAACGATCTGACTCGGACAGCGAAGACGAGGAAGATGCAATAATAACATCCAACCTTCTCAAGAAACGAAAATTTACAACCGAGACAACGGTTGTAAATTCTGTTGCTACGAAGTCTATCGTCGATGGGGAGTCCTCTAAGCGAAAATCGCTTTTGGGAACTTTGTTTTCGCCAGTCTTTACGCTTTTTGGAAAGAACGGTCATTTCCAAAATGTAGAAAAGGAAGGGAAAGTTGTTGCCAGTAATTCGACAAGTGGATCCAGGATTTGTGGCGCGACAAATGGCGGTATACCTGAAGAAAGGGCATTGTGGCATCAAGGTTCATCGACCATAAATAGAAAAGCTTTAGCCGTGCCTAATGGCGACGTCAATGGAAACGTTGGCGATGAGACTTCCGAATCTTCGGAAAACGAATGGGAAGTTTATGATCCGTTTTACTTCATTCGCAATCTTCCCCCGCCAGAGGAAGGTGAAGACGCCACAAGCCGTGGTCCTGTTTTACCCTTACAGACCAGAAGCACTCCAGAATTTTGTCTTGTTCTTGATTTGGACGAGACACTTGTTCACTGCAGTCTCAACAAGCTGGAGGATGCCAATTTGTCTTTCCCTGTCCTTTACCAAGACATTCGTTATCAAGTGTTTGTACGTACCAGACCGCATTTGAAGCGCTTTCTCGAGCGAGTCGCAAGTATGTTTGAAGTTATCCTCTTCACTGCCTCGAAGAAAGTTTATGCAGATAAGCTGTTGAATATCTTGGATCCCGGTCGAAAATATTTCCGACATCGCCTCTTCCGCGAACACTGTGTTTGCGTTCAAGGGAACTATATTAAAGATTTGAACATACTCGGCAGGGACTTAGCTAAAACAATGATTGTGGACAATTCACCTCAAGCATTCGCTTACCAGATTTTCAATGGAATTCCAATCGAAAGTTGGTTTGTTGATAAGTCGGACAGAGAACTGCTCGAACTTCTCCCCTTCTTAGAAATGATCGCCGCTAGAAAAGACGATGTCCGGCCACACATTAGAGACAGATTTAGAATGCACGAAATAGCTGGTTTTAGGTAATGGATAAAACATTCATCGAGGATTTAACCACAGGCGAATCTATTTTAACCCAGACAAGTTTTGTCGGCGAGTATGTTAATCGATATGATATTTGAAATCTGTTTAGTCCAGTCGAGACCTTTTTAAACTGGATTTATCTTTGTATGCGGGTATAAGAAAGTTTCATTCGTGACTATAATGGCGAACGAATCGCGAAATATTGCTCGTTCGTAATGTCATACACACATTACAGACCGCTATAATCTCTTATATATGGGAGATAAATATCGGAATCATCACACATTTAAAGTGTTTTATATATTTCAAGTATAGTTCCGGCATGATTTATCAATGTATATTTTAGAACAAGTGAAATCTTTTTCCTGTGTCAAAATATATTGACGTCGAAGACAAGACGTGAAGTTGTTTCCACTTATACAATTGGACCGTACAGTTTTAGAAGAAAAATTTCAAAATTGTAAAGATTTTATATTCCACCAACATTGTACGCATGTAAGCTGTATTATTTGTAAATATGAATTCAAACAGATAGTCAGCATTCTGTAAGTTTTATTTTTTCACTTTTAACTGTTAAAGTTTTACAATCTCATTCTACAGTGTACAGCACTTTTCAAAAATTTGTGTAAAATAGTAATTATTTGATGAACACAAAGTTAGTTAAGTAACTAGGGGATTTGGTTTTCCGTAGACCACACATATCTGTGGATGATATGAAACGCCTAATACAGAGCTTAAAATATTTTTCACCGATTTTTGGTGGGTAAATTTACCTAATAACTAAATAGGGGGAATGTGTTCTCATCTTTTTAAATTAATAATTATGGGAAAGGAATAGTCTGTTCATGTGTCTTTTAAATAGATTATGGTATATTTAGAAAGACAGGTTTCTGTTTATGGTACTCGAAGGAGAAGTCAGTACTATTTGTAGAATAACACTTGATGTCTTCACATGGGAACAGTATGCAAAAAAAATAAAAAAAGTTGACTTCATCAGTCCCTTCTTAATTTTGAACACCTATGCAACAAAATAAAGAAAACTATAGACAGTGAGAACCATACTTGTATGATGACACAATTGCATCAACACAAAGACATAATTTTTGCAACAAAGGAAAACTTAAACAATAATATTCATAACTATTTGCATAGTGTCAGGTCCTGGCGCGTTTGTCAAGGATCTTGGTAACTCAACAGACTCCAAAAGCAGTTCTGTTTTCATTCAAGATGGGGTGTTCAAAAGTTTTGAAAAGTATACACTCAAACTCTTTGCTAAAGAAACAAAATAGATGCTTCTGTATATTCTTTAAATTTTGATTGTAAAATATAGCTTTGGGCCTGTTGAGTCAGCAGAACTGACAAACCAACCTCAGCCACTCACAGCTTTGCATGACTAAAGCTAAACCCATTCCACTGTTTTATTGAGCAATCAGAGGCAAGCAGAAATTTGTCTTTTAACACTTTTGTTAGTCTAAGGTGATAATTCTTATTATTTTACAAATATTTCCTTACTATCATGTCAAGGCAACATTATTGTTCTGTTTACACCACACATTTGTAATAACAGAAAATAAAAATGTCAATTCATGATCCTAATAATCCCTCCACTCACTTCTGGAAACTCATAAGTAATTCTCCTTACGGTCTGTCATAAAACTCTTATGAAGTTAGTGCAGATAATTTTGGAATAAAATCAAATAATTATCCCCTTAGTTATCCTTTTCTTTCTTCTTAACACTTGCCTGCATGACATTGTAGTAATTTTGTGAGGAGAAATTCTCTTTGTCTCTCATTGGAGTGGAAGGGAAAACAATTTATTTTATTCCTGAGTTAATCAACCTAGCTACTTTTAAGCTTAAAAGCTTGTTCATGTATCACATTAGGGAAAAATTTCATTGCAGGTTGTTATGTCTTTGTCAGAACCTTCAGAGTATTGTTGACATTTGCACGACCTTAGGAAGTATGAAAACCTGCATGTGTTATAATTTGGTTTTAAAATCTTTGAAGGGAAACTTTGGAACATTATCTTTGGGATATAAATTTTGAACAAAGTATTTAGACAGGAAAGTCTTGTAAAACCAAACAGTCAACATGTCCTGATAGAATTTTGCGAAGCACACAAAGTTCAAAATTGTTTGGAGGAGAGACAGGGAAGGATTCAATTATATTATGTGATGCAAAACTTTTAACTTCCATTGTATTTTGAGTAATTTGATGGGTAACGAGGTTTGAATTATTTAAGAAAAATTGAATTTGTTAGCAGGGTGATTGAATAGTCTTGAAAATGAAGGGAAATTAGAATATTAAGCCAGCACTACCCTATACTATGGATAAACTTAGTCAAGTCTCTAATCCCTGAGTGACTTACATCTAATTTCTCCTTACAATATCACTGCCGAATTACATATTCAGGTAATAAGAATAAAGGAAATGATCACCAACTAAAGAAACTCTGGACTGTTGAAACAAATTCTCCTTGTCAGTTCCAAAAGAGATGAATGGATCGGTGTGGAGATTATGGATATTGGTGTCAAGGACTAACATTATCAAGGCAATGATCTCATTTGATTGAGCTGTGCTGAGGGGCTCTCTTGTTTTCCTTCTGATCACCCATAATTTAATTGTTTCTCGTGGAAGAGTGGTACCAGGATTAACTTTGACATCTGCCTGTTGGGGTCATCGGTAGCTCTCATGAATTAGTGCGTAATACTATCTGCGCATAAGAACATAAGATGGCGGCGAAGATGTGAAATATTAGACAGCAGACGGTGCAGACTGATATGTTGTCATGGAGTACGGTTGAAAACTAGCCATATCAAATAGGTGCACTGGGGATAAAAAAAAAAAAAATGAACAATACTGAAGAACAGCTTCAAGCGCTGCTCTATCAATGCGAACAGGTGAGAAGGTCACGATCGTAAGATGAACGAACAACTTTGTACAGGTTTTGTAAATCTGCGCTCTTTTTCTGCATTTTTTTTTTCTGGAGATCGCATGACCGTAAAATGACTGTGTTGCCGAAGGGGAGGAAAGTTAAGAAATTATATGCTTCTTCACTGAGTTTATCTTTTTTTCCTAGCTCAGTAATGTGCGGACGAGTTCCTCTATTTCTGTTTATTTTCCTTGACGGAACAGGGCAAAGAACTTGATAGATTTTTGAAGGAGATTTACGTTGTTTAAACACCCCTGTTTTTTTATAACTGTTTTTAGATGTTTACCCTCAGTTTAATTCCCGTTTCTGCCTATGTTCGTTTATGAACGTAATCAACGCGGCATATTCAATTCTGTCATTGAATCAGCTACACTGTACATATACTTCACAAGAGCTGCGGGAAGAATTTTTCTCGAAATGGGGTTTGACCTTAAAAGTGGCGTGCTAGGATAGTTTAGGCTAAAATGCTCTATGTACACCCAACAGAAGCAAAGACGGATAAGCTTTTGCATGTATGCACCTATACATTTGTAAATGCATACAGATTGCAAGAGCACAGTTGTACCTCTTCATAACTGTCACCTGGTGAACAGAAGAAAGTTCTGCTTCCAGCAGTGAGGTGGCTATTACAGTGAAGGATGAGCATAACATAACACCTATTTGAGGGAAGAGGTCCAACCTTTTTTTTGTCTGAAGAATGTGTATCAAACACATGAACTGCTTAAACTGTGGCAAAACAGGGCTAAAAAAAATTATACCTTGAAGAGAAAAGTTCTAAAGATACCAAGTCAGTTACTACAAGTAGATCAGCTTGTTTAATATTTCATAGCGATAACTAAACCTGATTTGATGTTGTGACTTTTAACACGTGGATATTTTGTGAGTTGTATAGTTATTTTCCAACAACCACTCCTCTCAGCTTGCCTGTCTAACATTTCCTAGGCACAATTCCCTCAAGGGTGCAACAGTGGCTTGAAGTAATAATGAAGTCAGGTTAACCATTTTAATGTAATTTGTCAACAGGCCTTGTTTACACTGTATAGTGGACATGATCAGACAAACAGAGACACGGCTCACAAGTGGCTGTTGACAACACAGAAATCACATCAGGCATGGCAATTGTGTTGGAGACTCATGCAGACTGATAAGGTAAAATCTTGTCAATTCTTGAAACAATAACATATTTAACCTCAAGAATTTTATCCCAGGCACCAAGATATTGTGAGTGTCCTGATTGCCTTGTCAACAACCTATCGTTTATTGCACCTGTAAATCCATAGTTATTTCATTACAGCAATAGACTGTACATTTTGTTGTTTGTTATAATAATCCACATGGGATACTTCTTCATGAGTTACAAACTTTTCTTGTCTTCTCCCAATATCCCACATGGGTTAACATTATTACCCTGGTCAGTAAACTGATAAAAAGTGTGATCTATAGCTTATTTATAAATAACAAGGGCAGGTTATTTAAATAAAGGTTAGCTGTTGTGTAACAAAACTGTGTTCTAAACTATCTTGAATTTAGCTGAATCTTTTATCTAGACATTCATTCTCGTGAACAGTGTCAAGAAAGCTAGCAGTAGAAGGACATTTATTTCATGAAAACAACCCTCTTAAAACTAAAAAGGCAGTTTGGGTCAAACCTTGTTTAAATTACTGATCCTAAGTGTTCTATACACTATTTATTTCCCAGATTATTGTAAATGCCCTATTTCTTCCTCCTTCTTTATCAGGTTTCAGTCTCTTATAAACCTCTCATCTAAAACTTAACCCTTTAACTTCCAAGATCTCATTAGTAATTCTCTTTACTGTCTGCCATACAGTTCTTATGATGTTAGTTTGGAGAACTTGGTATTGGATTAACTAATAATCCCCTAATTGATATTTTTCTTTATTCTCATCAGTTTTCTGCTTGATATTGTATTGATATTGTGTGGAGAAATTCTGTCTTGGTCTCTCACAGGAGTTTAAGGTTAAACCTCTACACCCTAACCCTCTTCCCTTCTCTAGTGAAGTTCAAGATTCTGAGAAGTTTCTTTCTAAGAGGATCATCTTAGGGTTTATGGTATATCATTCATGGTTAAGTTGCGAATTCATACCCTTGATTTATTGCATTATTTTATTTGTCTTTATTTGTTATAGCCTCCAGAAATTCAGTTTTTTGGTGCTTCAATGCTTTACTTCAAGATTGCCAAGAACTGGTTAGTTATTAAATGATTCTTTTATGATTAGTTTTTTTTGAAGCACTCAAACTCATCCATTACACTGGAAACTCCCCTCCCCCCTGTTTTTCTGGATGTCCTAATGCTTTGTTCCTACCTTATGGGTATCTGATTTAACCATTTCACTCCCAAGATCTTATCAGTAAATTCTCATTACTGTCTGCTATACAATTCTTATAAAGTTAGTCTGAAGAATTTTTTATCAGATCAACTAATGATCCCCTAATTGATATTTTTCCTTATAGCCTGCTTAATTTTTATTGATACTTTGAGGAGAAATTCTGTCTTGGTCACTCATGGCAGTTAGAGGGTCAAGACTTCTGGGTACACATGTACTTTTTTTTTGGAACCATTATTTTGTTTATCTTCAGGGGGGAACTTCAAGAAGAACATTACAATGACTTACGATCAGAACTTTTTAAGCACATTTTCACATTTTCCCCTGGACCAAGGATTGTTCTTACAAGGCTCTGTGTTGCCGTAAGTATTTAGGGATCGTTTGTCAGTACCAATTTCTACTCCGTGATAGAGAAAGGCATTGTGAGAAAGATATTTTCAATCAAGGAACACGTGGCTTTTCCATCTAGAGTCAGCATTTCTTAGAATGCAATTCTCTATGAAGGAGTAGAAATGGGTAACAGTGGACTATAGTATATAAACCAGGCTCTGGTTGTTTGAAGGGTGTATAATGCTAGCCACTGCACAAATCTTGATCAGTTGAATAGCAGAGTCCACTTTCAGATTAATACTTATCCACTGGATAGCAATTTATCTGTAGATACCGTTATCCACCCTTTGAAAAACTGGGCTTAGGATTATAAATCTTCAGCAGGCTTAAAGAACTCATTGAAAGACATGCAAAAACACTTTGTTAGAGGGAGGAAAATTTCTTTCCTTGAGCCTAGTGTATGCCTAGATTTTACCATTGTGATGACAACTGCCTGAGTTCAGTCAGATACACATGTACACTGTTGCTCAATTCCTAATTTTGCATGAATTTCTTTTCTTTTTCTGTTAAAGCTTGGAGCGTTTGCCCTCAATACAATGCCAGAACATTGGTCAAATGCAATAAGTGATATTATTACTACACTACAGAATGCAAGAGGCTCATCACAGGTACGTTCTTGGTAATGCCAAGTATTATCATAGTAGCACTTGACCCTTTACACCCGAACATCAGTATGCATATCCTCTACACTGACATCTATACATTCCTATGGAACTGACAAGGAGAATTCATTTAACAATCAAGAGCTTCTCTAGTTAGTTGATCACATCCTTTATTCTCATGACCTTTATGTGTGAGTTGGGGGTGATATTGTAAGGAGAAACCAAATGCTAGATGTTGACATCATCAATGCATCTATCCATCACTATAGTTCATATATAACTTCCATTCAAGACGCATGCATGTATAATTCAGCCTAATATTTTACATTTACATGCACCTCATTTGATGTTTTAACTTACATTATGTATAATAATTATGCACAGATCTTTTGTGAGTTATGTAGTATTTTTCCAACCCCATAGGTGTGAAAAAATTAAAAAATGTCCCCTCTTATTATAATTATGTGAAACCACCACTGGGGTATTTTTCATTCCACTATTATTTCAGTTTTTTGTCTTCTGGCCTCAAGTTTTGAAAACTTTGTACGTTCTCATCTGAGCAGTGTACCAATTGTATAAGGCTTGCTTGAAAGTAGAAAAACACAAAACAAACCAGTTTAGTGATTTTGATGACTTGAAAAGAATTCTTGTTGGCTTTGAAGTTTGTTGCTGAAAAAAAAGTGTCTCTAAAATGGAAAAGAAATCAAAGATTGTGTGGATTGTTTCTGCTAGTACTTTTGCACTGCTACACAGTATATTGTCGTGGTATATTCTGCACATTCCTTTGCCCTAATATGGTAAAATGACATGATAGTGATATAATAATTGCATTTAATTAAAAATGAATGAACAAACTATCCTTATCAATGCTTTCAGAATGGAATGTGGTCCATGGCTATGCTGGAAGTTCTTACAGTGTTACCAGAAGAGGTTAGATCTTTTTAACAAATCCTTATCAAAGGGTGATTTTCAATTCAGTAGTGAAAGTAGTAATAATGGTAATAATAATAATAATAATAATAATAATAATAATAATAATAACAATAATAATAACAATAATAATAACAACAACAATGATAGTAATAATAATAATAATAGTAATAATAATAATAATAATAATAATAATAATATCTTGATTTGCATCTCAATCTTGTAGCCAAGTGTAAAGCTTTACTAATTGGGAGGACAATAATTATTTCTGAGTAGTTGAGAAAGCCCACACTCCTTTTTTCAAACCAAAGTGAGTCACACCTTAGTAAAGGGGCAAAGTTTCTAAAGGAACTGTGGTGCTATGTCAGTGGGGGTATTAAAAGACAATTTGATTCTATCATCTGAGTTAATTGGCCACAGTAATTTTCCTTAATCTGTTGTTTCAAGTATAGCCCTTCATCATAGCAAATTAATAAGTGATTTTCCTTGTATAGTTTCACTCAGGAGATTTTCCACCTGGAAGAAAATTAGCTCTTAGAGGAGAACTGCAGAATGGAGTGTCTCAAGGTACCATTCAAGGCAGTTTGAAAATGTAACCAGTCATACTATTACACATGTGTGATTATAAGTACAGTGTATGCCTCTGAATGTTGTGCAATGGTTAATGCTATTATGTTTTTTAAAGTATGAATTATACCTTGCTCTGTGTTACCTTGTGTGTATGATAGTTACCATTGGAATCTACAATGTATTCCTGGTTTGGTTCCAAATGATATATTTTTTGCAGTTCTTCAAGTCATTCAGCATAATTTGTTATCATCTCAGCCAGTACAAGTTAGACAACAGGTACATTTATTTAGTTATTTGTAAACTAAAGCTGTTTCAGAGATGAAATCTCCAACCAGGCTTAAGACAGGAAAAACAGCAGAGCCGTTTCAAGTTTAAGTGCTTAATTTTAATTGATTTGGATGCAAAACTTTTCATGTGCTTGCATGTACATGTACATGTGGTTCAAATTATTAGGTTCCAATCATGAAATGTTCTGCATCAAATGGAGCTGTAAAATTAACCTTTGAGGGCCCAAGCTTCAGCCAGTTTCAATTTGTGGTTGAACACACTTTTAATTGTGCCATCAAGAACTCTTTTATAAGCTACACCATATAAACCCTTCAACTCCCAAGATCTGATTGTTAATTCTCCCCTCAAGCCTCTAGACGTTTCCTTGTAAATTTGTTATGAGAATTCAGTATAACATGTAGATGAAGATAGCAACTTCTACCTGATAAGTTCTAGTATTCTCATTACTTGTTTGCTGGATAATGTATGTTTTAGGGAGATGATACATGTTACTGTAGTCACTTCTGTGGTTAAGTTGTTAATCCTTAAACTCCTAGAAGTGACTAACATGTAACCTCTTCCTATGATATCCATATGTTTTCTGGCAAACAGTTCATGAGAATACTCAAACTTATCAGGGAGAAGTTTTAATCTTGATCTTACACCAAATTCTTGTACTTAATTTACAAGGAAATGTGTAATAGCAAGAGGAGAGAATTAACAATCAGATATTGGGAGTCAGAGGGTTAAGTGACAAGCATTCTGCTTGATAGTAATTGACCAAACTGACTCCCAATGCAGACAGTAGTTCATGTCTACTACAACATTCTTTGAACAAATGATTTATTCATAATTATTTGCATTATTATTTCACAATTTCATGTTTTTATTTTCCAATTTTTTTCACTCCTTGTTATTCACATTTCACCCATCAAAGACTGCAGTGTAGGCAGTCAAAAATTCTTAATTTTTTAATCATTTTAGCCAGAGATTTTTCTTAAAAATTTGACCATGTCTTATCCTGGCCGCAGTCCTTCAATATTTTCATTCTGCATGATGCAACAATTATGGCAAAAGTATACTTTTGGATAATAGAGGTGGTGAAGCTTGAGTTTGTTAAAGAAATGTTACAAATTATGTTTGACTGTTTTGTACAACACAGGCTCTGAAGTGTATGATCAGTTGGGTCCAGTTTGGTGTAACAATCTCTGACCTTGCTGACACTCTGCCTCTTGTGTTTGAATCAATTCACAATCCTGAGTTATTTGATACCAGTGTTGACTTGATAGTTGAAGTGGCCACTCATCCTTCTGGAATGAGGTAAGCAAGCACTGTAAAACTTTTCTTAGTGTGTCCAGCGCACTTAGGTGTTACTACTCCCCCTTGGATGGGATGTCAGTCCATTGCAAGGATACTCCCGGCACTTCATCAGGGTTCCCTGACAGTTGGCCAGTACCCATTTATACTCCTGGGTGGAGAGAGGCATGGGGAGAGGAAAGTCTTTTCCTAAGAACACAACACAGTGGCCTGGCCAGGTCTAATGAACCCAGGCCTCTCAATCCAGAGTCTAGTACTTGAACTGCAAGCCGCAGCATTTCCCACTGTTAATTACGAACTGAAGTGTAGAGTTGAGCCTGTATTAAGCGGTCAACCACAGGGAATTTATGGGTGGCCGCTTGACATGTCTGCTTCATACAGGTTCCATAGAATAGGGGTATTTTAAAAACCAATAAAAATTGCTGTTTTATGCCTTAATTGACCATGTTTGGCTACTTAATGTACAAAAACTTGCTCCAAAATACTACTAACATTGATTTCTGGAGATAAAAATGGATTAAAATTTACTTGAAAGATAATTCTCAATTTTATTTGAGTGGTTCTGCTTTAAGTGACCATTCAATACAGGTGGAGAACAATACAAAAAAAATGTTGGGACTCAGTTAAGGGTGACGGCAACCGCTTAATAGAGGTGAAAATTATGTAACAACTTCTGGACTTTGAAAATGGACCACCTAACAGGGGATGACTACCAAATTCTTTACACCCTAACATCAGTCTCTATATTCTCCATACTCACCTCTGTATTTTTCTTTTGATATGGACAAGGAGAATTTATTTGAAGATCAATGCTTCTTAGGTTGGCAATCATTTCCTTTATTCTCATGATCTTGATGAATGTTTTAGCAGTAATACTGTAAGGAGAAACTAGTTGCTGGTCACTCTTAGGGTTTAAAGGATTAATACAGGGCTGCTTAGTACAGGTTTGACTGTAATTTTATATGTTTTTTTTCTTAATTTAGATATCCTAGTTATATGTGGAAATTTGTGTCAAGTGTTCTGACTCTCGGTGAATCTTTAAGAACAGCTTTGCAGTCAGGAGATGTAGTAAGTGCATTATTTGGTTTTAATGTAGATCTGAGAGTAAACAACAATTGATTCACATATAGCTTCCTAATTAATTTGCTCTCTTTTTTAATTTCTCCAGGATACATCTAGAGGTTTATGTCGGGTTATGGTGTCATTAGCTGAGACACATTTAAAGCTGCTCTTGTCAGCTGATAGTGAAGAAAAAGAATTGCAAGGATTCACACTTGTGCAGTTATTATTGGTGAGGATAAGTACATTATTGAAAGAATGGCAACAACTGCAGTCCTCATTATGTGGTTTAAGTTTCTTGAATTACATTGTATAGCAACATTTTGCTACTCTGTTTGTAAGGGAATGCAATGTAGAAATACATGTACATAGCCAAGAAAATAACTAGAGATACTCTGAAGCAGAGACAAGGGGCAGTACAAAGTCATCTGAGATGGCCTATAGTCATAAATGAAGTTCTTACTTACAGCTGTATATACTTGAAATAGGACTATAGTATAGCTATACATGTTTGTACAGCTGTCTGTTCATTTTTGACCCTGGATTTACCAAAATAAAGTGAAATTAGTTATCATTATCTATCCTCAACCCTTTCGTTTCCTGGGCCCAGTTGTGAAAAAGGGTGAATAACATTATCCAAAGGATCAATCACTATCTCAGGGATAAGTGGTAGCAAAAGGTATAGTGTTGTCCCCCATATAGCGATTTATTTAGTGCATAGTGTTATCTAACCTTCAAACATACAGGGCCAGATTGTTACTTCTTCCAGCTGTTACACATTTCCTCGTAAAGTACTTTCAAGAATTTAGTGTTAGATTAAGATCATAACAATTTCTACCCAATAAGTTTGAGTATTTGCATTACCTGTTTACTGGATAGTGTTTGGATATACATGTAATAGGGAGAAGTTACATGTTAATTGCTTCTAGGAGTTAAAGGGTTGAATGGAGATAAGAACTTGCATTACTGATGGAGATGTAATCATACCCTCAGAAGCTTCTGTGCTTCAATCTTAAAACCTTCAGCCTAAAACTAGTAGTATTTCATTTTATTATATGATTCATAATTTTTTTGGGTGGTATTTCATTTGTAGGAATGTACAGGTGCCCCAGGCTGGTATCCTGTGGATGAGCAATGTAGTGAGATCACATTCAACTTTTGGTATACTCTACAGGCATGTCCTCTTTCACTTTAAAACGTCGTTTTTTACATCTTATTTATTTGTATTGATAGAATACATGACGCATTCATTTGAATGCCATAAGAGAAATGTGTATTCCCAAACAATTGTCATGAGAGAGAAATATGTTAGTACCTGGTTTGGATTTGATTCAGCCAGGTCTAGCTGAATGCTCTGTTGGAGATTTACAAAGAAATTGGTGGCAAATGTTAATCTTTCACTTTGGACACTTTTCTGTATGTTCAGTTGCCTTCTCCAAACCTGTTGGGTGTAATTAATAGCATACCCTGAAAAATACCTTTAAAATGATATGATATAATTATGGTCCAATGGTTCATCACTCTCATTATAGAAAAATTTGGCATTTCCCATGTGCAGTAAAGGTTAGCCTGGGCTCAGGCTTTTGTGTTTGGGTTATTCCTAGTGGCACAGCAGCCTTTTACAGCATTGGCAGCCACTGATGAAAAAAGTTATTGATACCCCTGTCATAGAAGATTCACATGTTACAGAGGTCTTGCATACTGCTAGGATTATTAATGTTCCAATACAACCAGTGTGGAGTTGACTATCATTCTCCTGTCAACTTAACCCTTTAACTCCCATAGTGACCAAGACAGAATTTCTCCTTACGATATCGATACAATATCAACTAGATAAGTGATGAGAATAAAGAAAAATATCAGTTTGGGGATGATTAGTTGATCCAATACTAAATTCTTTGAACTAACATTACAAGAATTGTCTGGTTGAAAGTGAGGAGAATGACAAATTTGATCTGGGAGTTAAAGGCTTAAAAGCTTAAAAGCTTCATCACCAAGAAGGATAATTGAGTGCAGTGGTTTTCCAAGCGTAATACAATGGAAGATGTGATCCCTCTGTGCTTATCTTTGACTTGGGTTCACCAATCCACAAGTTAGTTATAAATAGGATGAAGGAAAAATATGATTGAGTACATGTAACTTTTCTTCTTGCTTAAAACTTTTTCTTTCTCCACTTTCAGGATGACATTAGTTCAGAAGAACCTAGTGCCATGGAGAAACACAAAGCCATGTATGGACCTGTCTTGTTATCTCTGTGTCAGGTCAGTATTGTTGATTACAACCTCTATAAAATTGCTGTGACTCAGAAATCATTAGCTGCATCAAGTGCTTGTGTCAGTTTTTTTCCATTTTTCGGAAGTGTTGGTCATGGGGTCACCAGCAGGGTTATCCTTACACGCCTTTGGAAGACAAATCAATTAAATTCTCCAGTCAGGCTGAAAGATGATGACAATTGAAAAACTGTCAAACAGAGAATACTGTGTATTTGATTTAACTGTAAATTCTTAGAAATACCATTGCAAAAAATGTGTTGCAGACAGTGATATGTGGCCCTGATTTTAAGCCTTTAGCTGAGGTCATTATTGTGTATTCTCTGAGAAGACACTTTGCTCCTGAGCCTTTTACTCACATTAGTGACTAAGACAGAATTTCTCCTTACATTATCAATACAATATTAAGCAGACAAGATAAGAGAATATAAATCAGTGGATTATTAGTGGATCCAGTACCAAGTTCTCCTAACTTACCTCATATGAATTGTATGGAAGACAGTAAAGAGAATTACAAACGATATCTTGGGGTGAGAGGGTTAAAGTATTTAACTCCCAGATCAAATTTGTAATTCTCCTTTCTGTCAACCATACAATTCTTATCATGTTAGTTCAGAGAATTAAGTATTGAATCAACTAATTATCCCCAAATTGATATTTTTCTTAATTCTCATCAGTTATCTGGTTGATATTGTACTGATATTGTAAGGAGAAATTCTGTCTTGGTTACTTATGGGAGTTAAAGGGTTAAGTGTATGATGCATGTACATCCTTATGAAGTGTCAAGGTAACTTGTCTTGACAGGGTAAGCTGACATTCCATTTTTCCATTTGTTATACTGTAAACATGAGCTGTCGCATAATAAAACGCATTGTAGTTTGGGTTTGTAAAACCAAACCTAAAGTGTTAGGATAATTTAGAAAGAAAAACCTGCCGACTGTTTGAAGCTCAGGATTGACATTGTATATCTGATTGGTTGAGGGTAGCAAAAGTTTTTTAGAATTAGCTAATCAGATTCAAGTTGAACAAAGCTTACCTTGGATTACTTTCAGTTTTCCATGAAAAATTTTTCCAATTTTTCAATCCACACAAACTTGTTATCAAAGTAAATTTTACTTTACATATTCTTTTGACTTTTTGCTCAAGGTGTTTATGAGGAAGGTTCAATATCCTCCAGAAAATGTCTGGCAAGGTTTTTCTTCAGGTAAGAAAAGAGAAAGGGATTTTTATCTTTTTTTTAAGTCTTTTGAACAACAGTTGAATAAAGGACTCTTTTCTGTGTTTCTTAGCCTGTTTAAAATCTGAGAAAATTTGGAGAGTTTGAGAGAATTTGCAAGCATGGGATGCAGTTGTCAAGACCTTTGTTTATGTTATCCACCTCAGTCTTTAGCCCCAGCAGATAATATGAACTTTGGCCTTGATAATTCTCACTCTCGTATGCAGTTTCTTTGAATAACTATTAACTATTGGTCCAAGGATATTTGGATTAATGTCAGTATCTGAGCAACTACACACCTACCTCTCCCCTAACCCAACATTAACCCTGACTTGTTATCAGTTGACTCATTTGGGTTAGGGAAGGGGTATGTGGACAGTTGCTAAGGATACTGATGGTGATCTGAATATCTTTTGGAAATTTCATCTCTTTTCTGTGCTACCGGATCTTCTGAGGACAACAGCAATGTTTGATAACCCGTTAAACTCTCAGATCAAATTTGTAGTTCTCCTTACTGTCAACCATACAATTCTTATAATGTTAACTCGGAGAATTTAGTATTGGATCAACTAATTATCTCCAAATTGATATTTTTCTTTATTCTCATCACTTACCTGGCTGATATTGTATTGATATTGTAAGGAGAAATTCTCTCTTGGTCACCCATAGGTGTTAAAGGTTAGAGGGAATGGAAGAACAAGGAACGAATTGCTACTAATCGGAATAAAATTTTAAACATTAAGAAATATCAGAATTGAGATATCTGCGCAATGCCATAATTTTGGTTGATTTGTTGTTTTTATTAGACGAGAAAGAGCAGTTTAGATGCTACAGACAGGACATAGCTGATACTTTGGTTAGCACATGTTACTCTTGTTATTTTTGTATTTAATAGCATTCCGTCCAGGCCCGGTTTGTTCAAAGCTGGGTTAAGATAACCTGGGGTTAGTGTGAAATTTGATTTCAGGTCTGAAAGCTTGAAAAGAAAATTCAGTTCAAATCTTTTTTCTTGCAATTTGATCATTGGATGTTATGAAAAGAATAGGGAAAATTTTCCCTAAATGGTTTTTGAACAACGAAATAATGAAACCTGGATTAAAATTTAATCGACCTTCAAACAACTGGGCCCAGTCTAGTCACTTTGTGTAATGGGAACTGGATATTAAAACTTCGAGTATGTGGGCTATACAGCATCTCCATCTGAGTCTTTTGTGTTTAGGATAATGATCAGAGAATTGTTTTGTGTAAATATTGACTTCGTATGATTAAAAAGAAAAGTTAAATCAGAATGTGGAATTACTTGATTTCTTGGTCTTGAGGAGGAATACTTTAACAGACTTTTCATGTTTTTTTTTTTTAGATGTATGTTTATTGTTTACTGAGAGGTCACTGTTTACAACAACTGTACCATATGCTGTCAGAATTGTTAGCAGGAGAGACACAGCCTTCTTGGCAGGTTTGTATAAGTGCAGTAAAATTAATTTTACTTTTAATTTTTAAAGCAAAATTTGAGAGAGCTTCAATAGGCTCAAATGCAATATACTCGAAAGTGGCTTGTTGGTAACTTCTTTCTTCATTGCGTAATCCTTTCATTCCTAAGATATGAAAATTATAAGGAGCTCTATTCGTATGTCTCACAATAAAATTATGGTCACTTTTGATGAGATTCGTGGTGTTTGGACTGCCTACTACGGGTCTTCTCCAGACGATAAGGTCGACTGAATACACGTCACCTAGCGTCTAGTTGTGATTGGCTTGTTCTCTACAGCTGTGATTGGTTTGTTTGCTACAGCTGTGATTGGCTTGTATGCAACAGCTGTGATCGGTTCATTTGCTACAACTGTGATTGGCGCAACGTCGCGATCCATAAGGAAAGTGACTACTTTACGAGACCAAAAATTATTCCTCATTTTTGGGTTGCTGTATTTGTGTAATATTGTGGATTGATCGTCCGGGTGAGTGTAGTCCTGAGAAGTGAATATAGGGGTTAAATTTCTAAAGAAACTGTGGTGCTGCGTCGGTGGGAGAGTATAACAGGTAATTTAGTGTTAACAACTGAGTTGAAAACGTAAATTAGCCACCGCAAAGGGTAAAAAAGCTGAGGAATTGTGGAGCTCAATTCGTCCAATCGCTCTGAAAAAGGGCTAACGCTCGAAACGTCAGCTTTTTTACCCTTTACGGTGGCTAATTTATGTTTTCAACTCAGTTGTTAACACTAAATTACCTGTTAGTCCTGAGAAGGACTGTTGTAGCTTGTAGTGACTGACGTTTAAACAACCTTAGGGGATGGCATCATCACTCCAATCATGACTTCCGCTCAGGTTGTTGAAACGTCAGTTACTACTACCCACAACAGTTCTTCACAGAACTGCAGCCACCCGAACGATCAGACTACACTATCAAAGTTTCCCCCGCGTTCAAACTATTTACGGTGTTATACTCAAACCTGTATAAGGCGGTCACCCTTTCGGTCGGTCGCTTTCGACAGAAACTATGTCCAAGGGTTTATCTTCATTTTTGGTTGTTTCTCTTCACAGTCTGTAGATGCTACTTTGTATTTGATCCAGTCTGTTGCTGAGTATGTTGAACCCACTGAGGAGAGTTTCATTCCCGCTATTCTGTCATTGTTACCAAGACTACCGTCCCATTCTTACGTTTCTCAAACAGCGCTGCTGATGGTTGGTATGTGTGGATGAGGTTTATTCTGGTATAAAGCCTGATTCTCCTCCTTGGCTGCTAGACATTTATTTGAATGTGAGATCTGAGGAACTGATATTGCATCAAGTAATATCTTCTCCGAGCAGTCAAACCTCTCTTCAGGGGCACGCTTGGGACATGAAGCAGTGTCCCGCAAACAGGGGAATCCTTTCAATAAATTGAACACATACAAAGATTATGAGACCATTTTTTTCTCTGACGGGACCAAAGTTTGTGTTCCTTGATTAGAGGTCTCGCCCCGAATGGAAATTTTTTTAGAAGAAAATTTTCCATTTTATTTACCTCATAATTTTCACCTTTCTGCCCAGCAATTTGCTCAGATTATAGAAGGTTACATTATTACAAATGCTGAGCGTCAAACGATAAATCTTGTAAACCCTCTTCCGAGAGAGCCGTGAGAGAGCCGTGAGACGACAATTATCGAGCAGAACGAGAAAACGAAAGACTGCTTTGTTTTTTACGACTCTTAATCGAAATGCTTTCTAATTTATTTTACAAAATCACATTCTCTTAGGTTCCTACTCAGAATGGCTCAAGTGTCATCCCGATCATCTTCGCTCAGTACTTCCTGTATTACTCGGTGGATTGTCTCAAGTGCATCTCGCCTCTGCTTCTACCCAAGCCCTGCGTGGCATCTGTGAAGAGTGTGTCCAGGATTTAGAGCCCGGGTCCTTAATGGAGATTCTGACGCACTGTCAGGTAATCAGTTGCTTTGTTGTTATGTTACGAGAGTCCCATTTCTGTGACCCTCAAATACTCATTTTTCTAGCGGTATTTAATCTCAATATTTCTGTTACTTAGCCACATTGTTATTACACCCATTTAGACTGGCCTATCAGGAGGTGTGATGAAGGTAAGAGTAAATGTCTTTGTTTTTGTGGAATCATTCTTTCGTGAAAACGTCACTGAAGTGGGGAAAAGTTAAGGTTTTGTTGAGGTAGATGTATCTTTATTGTCTGAAGTAATCTGAGATGTCGTTAGACTCTTACTACTTGAAAACTTAACAATTGAGTGTCTGAGAATAAAAACGGACTTCTGTGTCCCTGCAAGGAATTAAACCCCAGATCCTCGTTGCTCGCCGATGATCTACTGGTGAGCTGCTTAGAACTTTATCGTCAGTTATTCTATAGAAATGTTCATATTTGACAGAAGTCCTGTATTTTGCTGGGATCAGCAATGTAGAAAATGTCGTGTATGTAATAAGAGAAGGAAAAATCCTCTAACAAAATTAATTTTTGTTGAAAGGAGCGAGAGCGAATTCGCTGTGTTGAGTGCATTGGACATGTGCTGTCAGTACAAGACTCCGCTAGTGCAGTGGAACAAGTGAAGGCGGTATTCACTCCTTACGTGGAAGGCTTGGCTCAGATAGTACAACAACAGGTAACATCATTTCGGACTGTCATGTACTCTTTGAAGCTTTTGTGACACATTTGTTAGTCTTCACATGAACCTTTGGTTGATTCTCAACATTGGTGCTGAATTTTTCAAGGTAGATAAACTACGAATAAGCAACTTTTTTCCTTACTACTTGTTGTTTCAGTGTTAAGTTCAACAAACATTATTTGGAAGAAAAGAGAATGGAGCACTAACGATTTTCCGTACACATCGTTGTTCATCCATTTATTTTGATGAATACTTTACCTGCATTTTTTGGTGCTAACACTGTTAACGTGGTACAGTTCTCTTCTCCCTCCAGCCCACTGCCGAGCTAAAAGCTAATCTTCAGTTTCACCTCCGGCTCTTTGTCGTGTTGTTTAAATGCTTGGACCCTGAAAATGAGAACATTGGAAATAAAATTCATCCGGTAAGTAGTAAAGGTAGCTTTAGAAACGAGATAATTTTCTTTTTCCCCCTAATCACCTATTCCCTCAGTTCCCTCATTTCCTTTTTTCCCTATTTTCCTTATATTTCCCACATCCCCCACATTCCTAACGTTCCCCACATTTCCAACATTCCACATAAGGGGTAACCATACTCCCTGCCACCTCATGGTAACAAATTCAAGTTGAGTTCTCGCAGTTATGCGAATCAGTGTTGTCTGTAGTTTGAAGCTAACCTGTTATGTCCCTTATTTCAAAGGCTGCAGTTGTACTGAACGATATCTTACCCTCGTTGAAGTCCATGGCTCCTTGGATGCAAGATAATGATGTTCAACAAGTGAGTGAACTTCTCTTTGTCGAGAACGCGTGGACGATAAATATGTAATAATACTTCACTCCCTAGATGTTACTCTTGTAACTGTTGTCTACACCTCCCTGTAAATAATGGAAAGAACGCAATGTTATTTCAAGAAAGCACCTTCCAGCTGACAACGTTGTCTATTGTCATGACATGTCAGGTTCGTTTTGTGCTGATTTTGCAAAGAGAAGTGTAATGTGAAACACTGGAAGTTGTTTAACAGTTGAGAAGAAGGTTTAACAGTTGAGGAATATCCCTTGGGGTATCTCCTCGGATATTCTCCTGTTTTTGCAGGGGCATATGCAGTCTCGTAATGTGTTTAGACCAATCGTATGCAAGCAAAGATATGTGATGGATTATGATATGGTTTATGTGATTTTTTTGCGGCGATTCTGAGTATATTCCTTTCACAGCGAAATTGGCTTCAACCTTTTTCGCGCTTCGGAAGACTGCGGAACAACTTCGTCATGTACACTATAGGTGGCGTATTAATCTCCATGGAAAATTTTTCTGGCTGACAAGTACCTTTTGTCTAAAAATAACTGAACTAGGAGTTTTAGAGTAAGTTCTTTGTGGCCTGGGGAAGTTAATCTCAAAGCTTATCTTCTCTTGAAAGCTCTGCTAAATCCGTTGTTTTCGTTTATTGTTTGATCTTCGGTGTCACGTCACCGCCCGTGACGAGTTCTAATAAATTAGAGGGTACGTAGTAAACTTAACCAACTGGAGCTCCGCTTTGAAGCTTGACTAAATCTTTAGTTTACTTAATCTCATTACCTGCTTTTAACATTTTACATACGGTGCTGCTGAATAGCAATTCTGCCTGTGCTTGGAGAGAGCCATAGGAACAATAAGAGACTACATGGGCGGACTTGTGTCCGGTCTTTCTGAACTTGTGGTCGGATATTTCTCCGTTTCTCCAACAAGTGGAATCCTGGATATCGCTTCCACGGTAAGAATACCTTTACCTGGCAGTCAACCCTTAAACTCCCAAAAGTGATTCATGCGTAACTTCTCCCTTCAATATCCATACATTATCCAGCAAACAGGTCATGAGAATACTTAAACTCAATAGGTAGGCGTTCTTTTCTTGATCAAACACCGAATTCTCATAATTAATTTCCAAGGCAATGTGTAGCAGTTAAAGGAGAGAATTATCAATTAGATCTTTGGAGTCAAGGGGTTAAGTTGATCAGTTGATCAAACCAGATTAGTTTGTCATAACCCCTACTGACGCAGCACTACAGTTTCTTAAGGTATTTACCCCCTTTATTCATTCGAGATAAAGTAATTCTATCAACGTTTTTTTTTATATCTTTATGTACCTCTACATATCTTTACGTGAAAACCTTATATTTTAGTCGCAGAGTGCTCTACACTCGTGGAGCTAAATAACTTTTAATTGAATAAAAAAAGGGGAAATTACAACATTGTTCTACAGAACTGTTTCGAAAGGGCCTGTTGGTCCTCTCTCGTCAGGTGCATAGAACACTGACTAAAAGTCCTATACCTTTATATATATTTTTATCTTTAAGCTGATAGGAATGTACGGTATGGTGGACGAACATTACCGCACCATACTTCTAGTATTTCAAAGAATCACCACAACAACATTGCAGCTTCTGCAGAGCAGTAAGTGTGTAAAGGGTTATACTGCAATTTATTAATTGCGTGACAATATCATCATCTATGTAAATGTTTTGTGTGACAACCGACTTGATGCTTTAGTCACACTCTTTGAATTTGAAGAGTTTGTTTGGAGGCTCGCTGGAATTTGGTGATGCAACTTTTGAACTACTTCTGGCCAGTGCCATGTAAAGGTCGAGTTACGCTAGGCTTCTATTTTGAACGTTTTGAGATTAACTCAGCAGATATTACAGTAAATGGTTTGAACTTGGGGTAACATGTGATATTGTAATCCTGTAAAGGACTGTTGTCGGTAGTTGTCACTGACGTTTCGACGACCTGAGCGGAAGTCTTCATTAGAGTCAAGTGAACAATTGTTGTTAGTCGAATGTAGTTAGTTCACCTCATGTAAACTGGTTGGTCAGTTTGGCCGTGATGTTATTGGCCGTGAGACTGAAGTGGCGCAAGTTGGTCGTGGCTGGTCAGCTTCGATCCGTCGGTAAAGTTAGGTTCTGTTCGGTGCGTTTGTAATGTTGATGTCGTGAATAATTATCTTTTGTGCTGGTCGTAATTGATTCTTATTGAGGGGAGTGTGTTCTAAGTTCTACATCATTACTTAGCAGATATTGAAATTTACGAAAGGGTGCCTGTGGCTTTGGTAAAATTATATGATGGCTGGGTGCTTTAGTAGAACACGATCTTTTGTAGCACTGGACACTGTTCTGCTAATTCTAGTGCGTTCATACTTGTAGTGTAAGGTCTTCATGATCTTTTTCTATTTTACTCATGTTTGTGGGACAGATTTGCGCGACTTTCCAGACATTCTTCAGTCATTTATGCAGTTTGTTTGCAGGGTAAGTTTCTCAGGAGAACTTTTAAATCGTTTCACTCCTATCAATTTCTCTTTTTTGATCGTCATTGCACGAATCATTCAAGTATCTTCTTAGCTTCGCTTTCCGATGGGTAGTTTACCTTGCCTTTACAAACCACGGCCAAATTTTCGCTTTTCTTTACTGCGCAACATATCCGCTCTCATCGAGAACTAAGAATCTCCACCACTTTTGAATTTCGAGTTTTCTATTGTAAAATCCGACATTCCTGTCTTTGTTTTTCGTTTATACATTTCATACAAAATTTTTTCAACAGGGACTGAAGGCCAATCCAAAACTGGTATTTGAAGGAGATGGATATCATGTGAACATATTTCAGTGCGGTAAGATAGTAGATGACGAGGGAACGTAAAACACAGGAGAATCTTCTTGTTTTACGTTGCTTTACACTGTGCTAAGCGATCTTGTGTTACTGTTAACGTTCCGATGAACCCTGTTGGTCTTTTTTCTAGCTTTACTCACTAGAAGCTTAACCCATTCCGATAAAAAATTTGATTAATTGATTGACTGATTAATCGACAGGACTCGCAGCCCTTGATGTTCAAGAGAGTCACACTGTCAGAGCTGCCTGTACGTTCTTTGTAAGTATGGTGTAAATGCCGATAACAACAATGGACGTTATAATACAACCCGCCCCAGTTTCATGAGATATGTAGAGGATAGTACATGGTAGCTTGCGACCAGGCCCTCATTATTAGCACTGCGGCACAGTCATCTCTCTGCCCGCTGGAAACTATGGGTCTGGCACCGATAGTGTCAGATCCCCGGCAAACCTCTCCCCAACTCGTCCCCTGCTCGTAGGCTCAGTGCATGGCCGCTTGGATACGAATTGTATCTTCGATTGTCGATAAGATCTGTTACTCTTGAATGTTCTTATCAACACGAGAGAATAAATTCGTATCCACAGATGGACATGTAATGTTCCCTTTATTATATGGTCAATAGAATTTTAAGTTCTTTCCTTAGAGAAACCCCGAGATGATATTTTTCTTAATTATTCTCATTATCGGTCTTAAAATTAGAATTTGTAAATATTTCGAGGAGTATTTTCCTCGGCTATCGAAGAGTTATAAACGCTTTTCGTGTTTCATGGTTAGCCCCAAAATGTGTTCTTGCCCTGCAAAGTGTGTTCTTGACTAAACTGTTAGCTGCGTGCACAACGTTCGTATTTGAAAAAATGAATTTGACTGTTAGGAAAGCAACAATAACTAACTTTGTTGTAAACATAATACATTTTTGCCACAGTCGACGTTCATAACTGCTTGTGAAAATGAAGAAACTGCGAAACGTACGCTACAAGAATACGGATCCTACCTAGTCAGTCAAGTTATTAGGGTGAGTCTAAGTTTCATGTCCAGCATTCTTTTCTGACACAGTGTCTTGGACAATAATGGTTATGGTAGCAATTAAATTTTTTAGTGCAAAATGATAAGTGTGAAAAGTAGAATCTTAAGGGAGACATCCGACCTTTGATGAGGAGTCAACGTGATCAAATCGTCCTCACTTTCTAAGTTTTTCGGAACTTCTCTCCGTTTACTTTAATGAGCTTCGTCACGATTTGAGGATCACATATCAACTTTGTCATCTACTTAACAAATAGATTCCAAGTCGCCATGGGTCTGTACAGTAATAGATCACAGATGACATCAAAATGTGCGAAGAACAAGGAAGTGGTGCGCGAGGCGCTACCGAGTGATGTTCTACCACATTATGAAGTCTTCTGTCATCTACTACTTTATAGACGTCCTACGGCTTGGAATGCATTTGTTTTATGTAATAACAAAGCAAAGCGTTTTAAGTGGCGATTTCATCTATGCGTCTTTCCTCTATTTGTTCAGAAGTAAGAACCGATTAAAATGTATGTAGGATCAGTTTATCATATAATGACTACTTGCAGCTAACTATGTGTACTCATTGGTAGAGGTAAATATTGTCCCTCCCCCCCTAGATATGAAAAGTGGGGATTCATCCAAACCCAGTAGATGAGGCAAGGGACAACGCATTTAGCCACACTTTATTCATAAAATAATTGTTTAACAAATCAGGGTCGAGCGAGTGAGTGAGTAAGTGAATTTTAGGTCCATACCTAAAGCTCAGAGCATGACTAACGTCATACCATGAGGTAAAAAGCATTCGTCTGCGAAATCAGAACGGGTCTGGGTTCGATTTCTTTCGTTGAAAATGTGTAAGACGTTTCTGTAAGGAACTCATTTGCTTTCTTCTAGGGAATAGCTGGCGGAGTTCCTCGTCAATGTACGGATTACATGGCGGAAATCTTGTTTGCTTTAAACAGACATAACGTGACAATGCTGTCGCGTTGGATGCAGGTACTTTATGAAAAGGACTCTGAGGCTGCTCGATGCCACCTTGCTACGATTTTTCTTCACTATTAAAATATTGGCATGAAACAGATAGCGGTATGCTTTTAATTTCTCTTCGTTTATTAATTTCTTTTTTCGCTTCAATATTTGTGAAGATAGGATAGGAAATGTTTTAGCTTAAATTTGTTTTACTACCCCAAAAAACCGTAAAGATGCCTGCAAAAAAAAAATTAAAACAAGACGCAGTTTTTTGGCGCACAATCAGCGACCAGGTTTTCATAAGTGAAGCTTTTTTGCCTTACGCGACAAACAGGACGGGCTCGTTGCTTACAAGATTCCTTATATGACCTGTCAAGTGTTTTTTTTGGTGATAGGAAGTGATGAAGGTTGAAGGATTTCCATCCAATCTGGTCACAGTGTCTCAAAAAGAACAATTCTCTAGTGCCGTTTTAAGGTAAGAATGGCTACTGCCTGCGGTGTGTAAAGTTTTCGATTGTGAGTGAAGACGACTTCTGATTCGCTCTTGTTTGCCTCACGACGCTCTTGGGTTGGCGTGAAAACTCGCGCCACATTCCATACAAATCTGGTTTGAACCGATCGTGATATCTGGTTACCAGCCTCTTCCTGTACCTAAGCCTGGTTCTGTCTGTCTTGTAGTAAATGCAAATGTTACTTGTTTTGAAAGTTTGACTTTTGTAAACTGTGTTGGCCTTGAAAACTTTGTTTTGTGGACTCTGTACCATTTGGTTCCTTACAATGTTATTAATTTATTCCACAGGGATAGAGCTCATAGAAGACGTGTTAAAGAATCTGTGACACAGTTTTCGTTGCTCTGTCGAGGGCTCTACGGGACAGCTTATGCTAGTTAGCAAGCTGTTTCTGCGCTTGCTCTAAGGCACAAGAAAGTAAACAGGCTTGTGGTCTGGAGCGAAGATGGAATTCGCATGTGTTAGAGGCCTGTGACTTCTCTGCGCATGTTTTAGATCAGTAAACAAGTTTGTTAAGAGTGATAATAATGTTATGCATTACACACATGTTGCCTAGACTGCTTGAAATTCGTGCGCAAGTAAAGTATACTGTACGCAGTCTAGTCATAATCTACGTGTGGTTCCATTTTTGGGTACCATTTTTGCAACTCATGCAGTTCTCGGAGTTATTTCACAGCTAGTCTTCTTCGGAATATTTTGTTTGAGAATGATTCCATGGGATAAGGCGTAGTTTAAAGGAGTGGAATATGAATGTGCCCCTTCTCATCCAGAGGATTTAATATTAATAACCAAGTTGAGAAGGTAACAGTGCTACATATTCAATAGTGTCCTTTGCAGACTTTGTTTGGTCTTGCAAAATAACCCGAGGAATTTCAGTAACTTTAACCTTAAGCAGCTGCCGATGGTGAAATGGGCGGCTGCGCAGAAAGGCCCAAGAGTCTGCTCGCAGGTTAAATAGACCGTGAGGGATTGGGTAGAAGAGGATGGGGAAATAGGCAGTAATAACAGAAAAGTCATCAACCTATGAGTTACTAAAGCTTATTTCGTTTCATTTAAATTCTTCAGATGCTTTTTAAAAAGATTTAATCACGAGTGAATTTATATCACAACATATGAGAAAATAAAGCTTGTCCTCAGGAAAGAAACACTGATACGAAGTCATTTGGGTCATAAAATAGGGGTGATGTCTTATCCAATTTCTACTGTAAGCTTTGTGCACAAATAAAACAACCATTGAGAAAATTGAAACGTTCAGGAAGACAAGGAAAGCAACCTTCGAGAGAGAGAGAGAGAGAGAGAAAAAAATTAATTTAAACCGTGTCTCTAAAATATCCTTCTGCCACTTTCCTGGCAATACAGTTCTGTCAACACTGAGAAGGTGAAGGTTAGCACTAGTTGTAATCATTTACATGTAAAACACTCATTGAGGAAATTGAAAATGTTGAAGGCCATTTGAAAACAGTAGACACCTGCGCTGCTGCTGACATTTTTGAAGTTTTCTGGTCGAAGGAGATGAATTGGGTACGCAAGACCTGGGTGGTGATAATTGTGGCAAAAGAACTGAATTAGGAGATCAACGCCACAGCTTATTACACTGTGGGGCATTACCAAAGAACACATCGTCAACAGAGAAAACTTGCGGACGTCTTCGAGAAATTTTTGATTTTGGCAAGCCCAGTTTTTTTGTTGTTGTTGTTTTTTTTTTGAGCACGTCCATCTCTTATGTGAGATGACGCCGTAAATTGTTGATATTTTCGTTTGTTTGAATAGTACATTTTACAGTTGTGTGCTTAGTTGCCAAGCCTTTCAACAAGAATGAGGCTAAGGGTGACCTTGTTATGATACAAACCTTGCAGCTTTTCAAATGCAAATTACTTTGTTATCATGCTAACTAGATACTGGTCTCTATCACGGCAAGGTCACCTTCGGCCTCACTCCAAATCAGAGGCTTTGCAACTAAGTACACAACTGTAAAATGGCCTATTGGTTACGATAGGAACAGGAGTTTGCCCCGGGCTCTTCTTTGGTCTGCCCAAACCAGACTGATGAAAATTTATTTTTAATGTCAGGAGAAGTTTCTTGTAATCTCTCGTAGGGTTGAAGGATTGACTGTGAATAATGGAAGATAAAAAGGACAACACTTCCCTTCGTCCTATTTTCTTTATTGCAAAAATTTTCAAACACTGGTTATAAGGGTTGTAAGTTATCGTAGAAAACCAGGAGCCTGGGAAAACCAATTCATTAATCGCCAACTACCAATTTCAATTTCATATCTGTACATATTTGAATAATTTTGTTTTTAATCCTTAATGCAGCGTTATCAGATGAGAACTAAAAAGTTCCAAACCATAAGGGATTGCAAGTTAGGGGTTTTTTTTTATTTAATATATTTTTTTAAATTAGCAATACATACAAGACCAGCATTAATATCAAATCTGGCGTTACTTAAAGTATTGACATATTTATAACTGTAACATAACTGAAAATACTCACTCTATCTAAATGCCAACATTATTGGCATTTGCTTATTATTATTTTATACATTTCTTCATTTTCTTTGAAGCAATGGCTACACAGGGAATTCTAAAATTCTTGACGTTTTAGAAAAATCCCACGTATACGTTCACACTTACATACTTTTACACTCAGAGCCCGGTTGAGTAATATCAACCAGGGAAGAGGAGTTTGAGTATTTTGTTTGGGTAGGAATAAGATTAATACAATCCTCCCGAAGGATCTGTGATATGCTAATTAAGCTTCCGCATTGGCAGCCAATTTTTTGTAGAGCCCCTTTTTATATTGTAAGGAAGACTGAACTTCTTACAATAACAATACAATATCAAGCAGACGTGATGAGAATAAAGATAAATATCAATTAGGAGGTCGGAGCATTTGAAAAGTGTTAAGATGAAATTTATCTCAAACCCCTCCCCCCAGTTGATTTGCAGTCAATTTTCTGTAGTTCCTCCTCTATATTCCCTTGGCAACAACTGAACCCCCTCCCCCGTTTCCCCTGAAACCGTGCTATCCCCCCTAAATCCCCCGCGATAAATAGATGATTTGTCCCTAATGTATCTATTTTGAAGGTGTCAAACAGGAAAAGAGCTCTTCCCTACGAGCTGTTATTGGCACTTGAAAAATGGGCTCATGAACAGAAAATTAGGTTCCACCGATGAAGTTGATTACACCGTCGAAAATTTAGACGTCCAGCTCCAACCTCATTTTTTCTCACATACCGTAATTTCCTACCTCCATACGTTTTTAACGCTTAAGATTTAATGTCATATGTTACAATCAATGACAGACGAAACAGTCAGTTTTTAAATGATAAAATGAAGCTAAAAGATACATATATATATATATATATACAAGAGGGTTTCTTACCTTAATTATCACAGTATGGAAGCTCTCCCAATAACGAAAAGTAGTCAGATATGCACAATGGATTGTTAAGGAGAGCGACAATTGAAACGAGTATCATCTTAGTCAAAATAGGGTCAAGAAAATGAAAAAAATTACACCTACAGTTCCTCAATATTTCATAATGTCTTCTCTCAGAAGTAAGTGTCTTCCTCGGACACATGAGGTTCCTCCTTTGACTCGCATTCCGCTGGATGATTGACACTGATTGCTGATTCTGACACGCCGGTACCATCATTATCGTCGTCTGGGATATCCACAGATTCATGGAACGTTTTGTTAAAGAATCCCATCGCTTTTCCACTCTTAGACTTTTCAGCAACTGTCAAGACGTCAGGTACAGCATTAGATGTGTCTACTTTGTCATCTTCAGTCATGCTGCTGGTTGGGTTACCTGATTCTGCCGCAAGGACCCCATCGTCATCACCATCTGAGGCGTCGATGGAGTCGGAATGAAAGGTTTTGTTGAAGAATCCCATGGCTTTTCCACTTTTTGACTTGTCAGCGACTGTCATTTCCTCTTCCCGCTTTGGGAATACGTCGGTCAACGCTTTGGGTTGCGCTGTTTTATCTCCAGCCTCACCTACCGCGGAACCACTTGAAACCGATGCGCAGCCGCCATCACTTGCATTATCAGTGAGGTCCATGGATTCGGAATGAAATGTTTTGTTATAGAATCCCATCGCCTTACCACTCTTTGATTTATCTGCCACCGTCAGCTCTTCACTTTTTTTGGCAAAGACATCATCAGCACCATCATCTTCCGTGGAGTTGTTTTTAAATGTTTTATTGTAATATCCTTTTACTGTGCTCTCGTCAGCCAAGGAGGTTTCGTCGAAGCTCGTGTTTGGTGAGACCGTGCGGGAATAGTCGAGACCGCTATCCATAGACTCGTTTCTGAAATTTGCATTATAAAATCCGATGTCCTTCGGAGTTGTTTCTCCATCCTCTGAAACATGCGGTACGTTTCGCAAGGATTTGTTGTAAAAGCCTTTCGGTCGCTCCCGTCTGAGGTTACCAGCTGATCCTAGTCTGCCGTTAGGCGTGCTATGAAATTCTCCTCCGACGTGCATTTCGACCGATACCACCTCTGGTTTTGACTCTTTTGTGTTTGATTCTCCATCTGCAAAGCTATTGTAAAGAAGATCCCTCGATAATTTTCTCGTTTCCATGCGTTGTTGGGCATGAGGATGGGTAACCGACGTTTTGTTGTGTCGTTCAAACTCCTGCTCCGAAGTTTCTGGTGCAGCTTTCTTTGTGTTCTTTTTTTTTATCAAAAGATGAATGACCAACAACAATGATAATACGGCAACTGCTAATACTGGCATCAGCAGCGAAATGTTTACACATCCAGTCGTGAGAGGAACGCTTTCTGGAAAGTAAATAAACGCGGATCAGAATTAGGGTATCCTAGAATAACTTGGCACTCCTACACATAATTATCAGGGAAACTTCTTCAGAACGACGTCTATGTTCTATCGCCCTGCTCATCTACAAATTTTGTTAATTATCAATGTATCTACGCCATGTTGCATACTAACATTGAGAGGGGCAGAGGAGGCAGTTGGTGTCCCAAAAGATGTGTATGGGTGTGCAGTTGTGGGTGGAATGGTTTTCTAGAAAGAAAATACTGCGGATCCAAATTATCGTTTCCTGGAAAAATGTGGCACGACCCAAGAGATCAGTTTCGAGACTGAATTCACCACACGTGTCCTAATTTTTGATAATTCTCACTGGATATGGTTTTTTAAGAGTTAAGTTATGATGCTGTAGAAGTTTCTTAGTATTTTTCAAGGCTTTTAAACATAATCAAATTGAAAATCACACTTTCTAGGTGGTAGTTCAAATGATTAATAACTTTGAGAGTGATAAAGCTAAGCATGAATGTATGAAACTAACCCATCTTTGTCCATCCTCGCTTCAGTTCAATACTACATTGAGTTCTAGAGACACCATTTGTGACGTTACACCGGTAGGTGCCAAAATCTGAATCGTCTTTTGGAGTTACAACTAAGACACTGGCGCGATCGCTTGAGTTGTTGATCCGGGTTATGATTTTGTTTTCCTTTAACCAGACATAGCTAACAAGAGACGAGGCCTCAGTCTGCAAAGACTTAGCATAGTTTTTTTTGTTCACGTAGCATCCAAGATTAACGGGACGTCTCAAGATGGTGGTGATTTCTTTTCGTGTTAGATTCGTGTCCAACGAAAGTCTCTCTGTTTGAAAAAAGAAAATATTGTGTTAGGTTTAGAAGTTAGAGTGCCAAAAAACTGACTGACTAATTGAATGACCTTTGACCAACTGACTTACTGACCGACTGCTTGGCTACCAACCTTCGGAATGATTTATGCGTAATGGGAATCACTGTTCGTAGTATGATAATGACTGAAGTGTTAAGTAATACTGGCACGGTTGATGTTTGTGAGACATATGATTAACAATTATTTACCGAACCGGAGGTGAATATTCATCACTTGAAACGACACAGAGGTGAATCATTGTTTTAGTATGTACCACACAGAAACCAAAAATTTATTTATTTCTGTCAATGAACCGAGCAATGGTTGGAAATTAAATTCTTGATACACGATTTTGTCTCTTCGGCTGCCCGGTGGTAAATATTCTCGAACTAGCCAATCAGCTCGTAAAGCACTATTCACCTTGGCCAAGTCGTCATAAAGGGCAGATAACGCCATCCAACGGATAAACCGCCATCTGGCGGATAAGTGAGAGAAAACGTATAGCGTTATTCAACGAATAGAGGTTTATCCAGTGGATAACGTGAGCTAAGCTTCGAACAAACAGTGCCTGTATAATATATCCTAATTTTGAATAATTAGTATTTGGCATTCAAGCAAAAATATAACTATGATGTTTAACATTTCATTTCCCAACTCGTCGTCCTTATTAAATTCTGACAACTTTAAGTCCAGTCCCGCATGACCTTAAATTTAATCCGTCTGTAGCGATGTGTGCTAATCCCAAAAACTGTGGTTAGACTTGTTGCTAGGTAGTTTTTCCTTGTTTTTCATTGTGTTTATGTCAAATTCGTGACGAAACCAGCATACGCCAGGCATAAGAGTTCCTGTAAAGATTGTAGCAATATTTTCAATTAGGTCATTTCAAGAAATTGAACTTAAGGCCATGATGTTCTTAGCAATGTTTTGCTTGATGGAAAAAAAACTTATCATGATGAATTCTAAACTTATCGCAGTTGAAAATGAAAACGTGTCTGATTTTTGAAAGATACGGAACTTTCTGCTTATGTAAAGTTGATCGTGCTCTTCAGCCAGTATAAATGGGAATTTGCGAATTCAAATTTGACAGAAATATCGAATGACTATCGACAAGACGCCTTGCGTTTCGAACTTGGCCATAGGTCTTTTGTTTCTTACAACCTTTTAAAACATTTTAATAATGAAACCGGCAATTCTGATTTGGCGTGTCCAAAAATAGCTTTATTTTACGCCATACATTGGTTGTAAAACACGGAACAGGCTCTCTAAAACCCTAATATCTTTGATATTTTATTTCACAATTTTACCGATTGGTTTTAAGTTTTAGTCTTGAGTGAAAATATTTCACCGGCAACACATTTTGAACAGAATAGATTAAATGACAACTTAATCCAATGCAATCAGCTCGTTAACGTTTAAATTTGTTTATCGTGCTCTCGCCCGGTGTCCAATTAAACGATAAAACCGCTTGATCTGCATGAACGACATAATCTGCAAACTTATTTTGAAAAAAGATAAATTCGCTTCTTTTCCTCTCGAACAAATCACAATTAGTATGATAACGTGTTCAGACTGTTTTGTGAAGTGAATCGTGTGTCATACAGAACTTCTGACTTCAGTTTCCATCGATCTCCTACGAAAGCAAGCTTGTCGAGTTAATTTCTAATCAATATAATAATTAAAGCACTTCGTTTTAGCAGCATTATGCGCTTAAAATTGCATTTCCTCTTAAAAGCAATTGATGAAAATGATAGCTTTTCTGTGATCTCACCGTTTGCTGCTGCGAGATGAACAATAATCCACAAACATGGAAATAAACGAACGTCGAAAACTCTACCGTCTGCCATGATGTGTCCTCTCGTTGCTCGGGGTTAGAAGTGCACAATAATATTTTTATATTAGCCAGAGTTTTGCGCACTACATGACGCGTGAAAAGTATAAATATATGTCCCAGACTAACAAACTGTCTATAATGATCGGCAGAGGTCTCCAGCATCTACATAATTTTGCATATGAAAAGTGTCTTCTAATCCTACTCAATATTGAGAGGTTCGATATTTCGCTCAGTTAGAAGTTGTTCTGAAGCGAGCTCGTTTCATACACCTTTTTTAGCCATGAACGATTTGACATTTATTTCTCTCGCATAGAAAATAGACAGAACAGAGGTAATCAGACAGCTCTTTTCAGTCTTCGTGTCAAAACAGCGAGATTATTCATTCAGTTCCATTGTAATACAATATCATAAAAGCTGTTTAATCGATATGATAACAAAAACTTGCTGATTACGTAACACACTTTCCCTTTTTATCCCTAAGATGGTATCATTTGTCAATTATCTATTTTAGTTTCACAGCTGTTCAAATACAGATGTCGCAGCCTCGACAGAACATGAAGAGGAAGGTTTAATAGGAGCTTAAAAATTTTTAGCTTTTAAAAAATTCTGGGTTCTTTATTTGTCATCCATGTCAATCCTTTTCAACCTCTGATAGTTATACTTTTAATCGAGTGAGTTGCTTATGTAAGTTGACTATCTAAAAGAGTTTCTACAGCTGACGTTTCGAGCGTAGACCCTTCATCCTTCCATCCTCTATTTTTCCCTTTCGTTCTTGGTTTATATTCATCCTACATCTTACCAAGGTTATTTTTTTGTGGTTTCTTTCACTCTAAAGGAATTTTAACCCGTCATGGTTACAGAACCAAAATATCTTGAAGTAACATGACTTCCTTAAAACTTCTATTTTAAGTCCACCATAGCGTCATTGATATCGTCTCAAAAAGTTTTTTATCTTTGCCTCTCAATCCCTTTCTGGTTCGTAGAATTTTATCGAGAGATATTTGGGAAGTGAGTTATTCAGGAATTGGTTTGAACACGGTTCTCAGTTAAAGAAACTAAAATAACAGAGTTAAGAATGTGTAAAACTTAACGACAGGAGATGAAGTAATTCCATCTATTTTGAAACTGTTGAGCTGAATGATACTAATTAGTACGTCATGTGTATACTTAGTGTGATACAAAATTAATTTCCGCTTGATGATGTAAACTGATTTGGCCTTTTGTTGGCTTTGGCACCTATCGTGAAACACGGTTGTTTCGAGAAAAAAAAAACTAACAAATTGAATACACTTTTTCCTGCCAAAAAAGAAATACGGGCGTTCTTGATTTATCAAAATTACCTGATAATCAGTGTACAATTTGACCCTCCTCCCTCCCCCACGTTTGTCTTAGAAAAACCACTTAAAAAATTGTTTCAATGCAGTCCTAGTACCTACAACCATTTCTTTTTTTTTCTTTCTGAAACAATATGTATGAAGATGACATGGACTTAAATTTGCTTGATCATGATATTGTCCTTAATTCCTCACAATAAGGGCACATCGTGGTAAAGTTCATCAGGAATACACCAATGTTTAAAACCAAGCGAATCAAAATATTAGAACAAACTGTAGCTTTCTAAAGTTCATCATTTTTGAGGAAGATGTTTTTCGTCTTTTCACGGGCGTGGAACGAGGAAAAATTCGTTATGGGGTCTCAGATTTTTTTTCTTTGTCTCACGCTCGTGACAAGACTGGCGAGGCACAAAGCTCTTATTCTATTCATAGTTTTTGTTCTTAGGCCATTGAGGTCCATGTCTGACGCCAAGAATATAAGATATTGGAGAACAGTTGTAGAAAAACGTTTTGCCCAAGTCAAAGGTCAATTTGGTGTTTCGCCGATGAGTTATTCATCAAAATTTCTTTTAAGGATCATGGATTTGGGGTGTCGTGACCTTGCTCGATACTAAAATATACCCCATACAATCGGTGGTTTTGGTCATTCAGTTTAAATATTGGTAGCAGTCCCGTAAATGTTCCAAGGAATGGAGCCCTCGGGTTCAAGTGTCGTTTTTGAATTATCTTCCAAGGAGTTTTAACAGTAAGCCTCGCTTTGCTTTTAAAAGAATAATTTAAACTACTTGACGAGTAAGATCGCGCAGTTTTTTTTTCGTATTTTTTTCTCCACGGCACAATATAATGAGTCATTTATTATAGAGTGTTTTTCGGACTGAGTGTCATAGGACAAATTACAAAAGTAATCACAACCGCCAAGCAGAGTGAGAGACAATGCCTTGAGGATCCGGAAACCTCATGCGACCGAGTCGTGATTGATTTTATTTTTGCCTCTGATTAGTTAACCTTTTTACTCCCAAGATCTCAATAGTAATTCTCCTTACTGTCTGCCATACAATTCTTATGATGTTAGCTTGGAGAATTTGGTTTTGGATTAACTAATAATCCCCCTGATTGATATTGGTATTAATTCTCATCTCTTGTCTGCATGATATTGTACTGATATTGTAAGGAGAAATTCTGTCTTGGTCACTCATGGGAGTGAAAGGGTTAAGAGAGCGGCGCAAGTTTCCTGGCCCAATTACAGAGCGAAGTAAAGCAAAGACAAAGCAATCCCGGATTACTTGAGATTACTTGAAATTGAAAATTGTCCCCAATCATAAAGACGAGTCCTGTCATGGTAGACTAGCACTGAATAGGTACGGATATGGAGAAGATGAGCAAGCATTTCGAAAGAGAAAAGCGTGCTAAGAAAGGCTAAATTTTTCATGCAGATTGACAAACAACGAGTCAGCCTGTTATTTTAAATTGGCGTTTTTGTGTTTTAATTATTGCTAGGGGTTGCCAAAGCATCTATAAATCTAAACAAATGAGGTATTTCACCGACTAAAAGCCTCATTGCCAAAAATATTTGCCAAGGTCAACTTTCTTAACGGTAAAGGAAAAGTTAAATGCGAATCTCTTCAGATGCCATATCAGCCACAGTGCATCCACGTGGACGGATAGTGCAGAAAGCCAACTGCGTTTAGAGAGATTGGCCACATGTTATTCACGTGCCCTAGTCAGTACTTTATAACCTTGACAACAACAAAAGCGTGAAGTAACAGTGCTGCTCACGTGGGTTTGAACTTTGAACAGTTCCTGATCTGAACCTCAGTAAAACAAACACCGAAAAATCGCCACATTCGGTGTATTAGCGAGGAAAGTTATATTATGAAATTCTCACGTTTTTCACTGACTATCTAGATACATGGATCACATCATGTCATTCTCGAAAATAAAAGAAATCAGATCTGAGTAAGCTGTGGCTCCTGCAGGTTTCATTGCCAATTTTTCTTCACTTTACATTCGCTTTAAACTCGGCGTTAGTAATTCTTCTGTCTTAGTAAGTATGTTGGTGAAGGTTTTTTTTAAAAAGGATTACAGGAGCACAGTAAAGACATTCATGAGTTTGTATCGCTCATTACACTATGAAAAGACCAGAAAAACGGTGTCATAAAAGTTCAAAAGTTAAATAAATATACATTACAAGGGTTAAAAATTCTAAAATAAACATCCTATCGACAATTAAAAATACAAAACTTTTCGCACATTAAAATAACTTAATTCAAAAGTCAGATTTCAAGTAGTGAGGAAGATTTCTGCTTATTCAAAAATTTCCCACGCAAACTGAGCTTCAAACTAGCCACTGAAAGTAAGTGGCGCTAACTGCAATTGAATTTAGGGGAATTACTGATATATTATCACAGAGAGATGTTCAAAATACTTTCTGTCTAAGGTCCATAGCTTTAATAGCAGCAGTTTCTGTTTCTAAACTGAAGAAACGATTTCAAGATATTGAGTAAAACTTTTATATGATAAACAACTTCATGTTAGTGGACTACAATGAGAACTACTGGTTTTACCGGTAATTGTGTTATCCAATAAAGTTATTATTATTATTATTATTATTATTATTATTATTATTATTATTATTATAGTTCCAACATTTTTACCCAAAATCTGATCAGTGAGAATAACAATATTAGAAAATTATAATATATCAAGGATATTTAGGTCTCCAATTCGCAAAAATGTGACTCGAAATCTTTTGGAAAAACTTCAGTTAAAGTCAGCTTTTGTGAGGATTAGTTGGTATGCCATTCTGAACCAAATGAGCTGTTGGTTACTGATCTCGGTAAATGTTGACTATCGTGCTATCTCGCACGTGTTTCAAGTTTGCTTGACAATATTCTCACTCTTAGATCCATATCATCGAAAAAAACCCCTTAAATCTAAGCTAACGCATTTCAGATCAACTCACCAACCGCAGACGCAAGCTTAATACAACTGTGAAGAATAACTGCGTAACATAAACACGTCCTGAAAGCATCCATGGTGTTCTCCAACGGCTGCAAGATCGACAAGCTCAACACCAGCAGTACAGTGTAAATAACTTACAAAAAGATTACACATATCAGCTGTAATAGAATACTGATAAAGCATTTCCTGTTTTCATTGGTGGAAAAAGGTCACGTGTAGAAGAATTTGATCGGTATGGAAAAATGCTCCCTCTTGAGTCCAAGAGGGAAAAAGTAGACATCTTTCCTGGATGTTTTGGATTTTTATGCCAATTTTCTAAGAAGTGTAGCATGTTTGACTTCTCCTCACAATATTACGCACTTGATGCCTTATCCCGAGGGAAACGGTCAGCTTTGTTCTCTGAGAGCTCTAGGGCTTAAGGAGTAACAAAACATTCTTTTGAACTGCAGTACGAGACATTGAGTACTTGACTAGACATAAAAACAATGATTAAAAAACAATCAACAATCGGTAAATTACAAGTAAAACACATCCCTCTTTCTTCAAAGCTACCATCAGACAACTACTTGGGAAATGTAATAATACAAAACATTCACTGCATTCTGTACATTTGCTGATGAATTTGTATAAGAAATGACATCCGGTTTTTCCGGACAGAATGGAATAGTGTTTTTGGTTTTTTTTTTCAACAGACCAGCTTAGATGCCTGATGCTGCACTCAACACTGCACTGCACCGGTATCGCAGAGGTCATGGGTTGAAATCCCGTTCAAGCCTGAATTTTTTTAGTTCTTATTTTCACTACTTATAAATTAGTGTTCATTACTGCAAAGATCACTTTCATATTCATTTCCATATATGATTTTCATATATTTACAATCATGACGCTATTAGTTCCCCTGAATTCCAATATCGATTCTTTTTACTGTTTTGCCATACATTTCGTTCTATTTTAACTCTGAGAATTTGACATGAGATCAATCTATACTTTCAAACTGATTGTTCTCGTTCTTCTCACAATTTTTCTGCTTGAAATACAGTGATATGGTAAGGAGAAATTATTAATTTTTTTTTACTACTGGGGTTGAGACTAGAACTGTAACATGCAAAGTTTGCAACACAGATGTTGGCAAAAATGATTGAACTTCTTATTACTTAACAAAATAACTTCAAAATAACTTCGTTTCACCCTTTTACTTCCAGAAGTGATTAACATGTAATTTCTTCCAATAATATCCATACATTATCCAGCAAACAGTTGATGAGAATGCTCAAACTTATCATGAAGATTTTTTTTTTTTTTGGATTTACCACCAAACTCTTTTAAATAAGTGACACGGAAATACGTAGCTGCTAGAGAGTAGAATTAACAATGAGATCTTGGCAGTGAAAGGGTTAATCTGATTTTGACGTTCTGTTTGTGAATCATAGTTGTGCGCAATCGTTTATTATTGTTGAATGTCATCCTAAATTCGCATGATCGCACGCGTATAACACGAAGACACAGTGGCACAGCGGCAAAATGAGTGCACATGCTCCATTACTCGAGTAATTTGAGCGTTCAATGAGATTTTTCTTGGACACGGGGTTTTGAAAGGGGTTAATCGATGAGCGTTTTGACAGATGCTACGAACTTCGTAGCCATGTTCTGTTTCACACCTGTTACCGAAATACTTTTTTTCGTTGAGTTAGATATGTGACGGAGGAGGTTCGACAGAAACTTTCCTGAATACGGTTACCTTATCTGTTTTGGTTTGGACTTATTCCCGCGAAATGAAGACAGGCGACGGGAATTGTAAAAATGCCGCAATTTTAGCTTGATAGTGTTACTATCGAAATTTTGTCGTTCCCATTCCTTTACAAGCGTAAATTTCTCGCGAGTTACAAGCATGCGTTTGTTTATGCATAGCGGCAATTTTAGAGCGCATGCTCCGATCACTTCACTCGATCACTTTAATCGTCAGGCTGTATCCCTTATTAGAAAGCGATACAAGAAACGTCCTGGTAGTAACTAATCGTTGGTGGATCGTGTAAGAATAACTTTGTTATCAAGATGTATTTCACATGATAAGCTGAATAATACACACATTTTGATCGTTTCCTATCTACAATCTCGAAAACAGACGCATAGATGACGTCACCACTGACAACATTTAATTTTGTTATTATATTGAAAAAAGTGGATTATATGTTGCCGTCGGTTTGGAAAGTAATAGATTACAGATGGCATCTAATTGTGGTAAAAAAAGCAACGACACACTTGGCTGCTCCTCGAATACCTCTTCTTCGTTCTTATCACATTTTGATGTCGTATGTCATCCATCCCTAACAGATGCATGAACACATAGAGCCTATCAGCCAACTTACTGGAAATTTAAATGACAGAGGAAGGTTCTGGGAAACTCTTAAGTAAAGCAAAATTGTATCTGTTTAATTTTACCTCCAGCGAGATAAAAAAAAAAAACAATAATAATAAAGTAAAACGAATTTCAACTCTGTCATCATTTTCAGTCGGTGATCAAAGCTTGCTCATTCATTTTGCCTCCAATGTCGTCATACGCAATCAGGATGCGTAATACTGAATGACAAAAACAATAATAATAGTTGTACTTAAGATAATACTATTCGACAATCTTTGAAGAAAGGAAAAACCAATCATTAATGCAACTCAACTTGATGACGGAAATTAGTCATGATGGAAACTAATTACTCCAATATCAAAATTTTGTTCACGAGATAATTTTCCATAATTTTAGCCTTGTCACTCAAAGAAGGTCAAACACTCGTGATGACATATACGTGTTTTCTTTCTCGATCGAGATATTTCAATTCTAAGAAAATTCTTACAATATCTAATTTAGAACTACTATAGTCTCATTAATACTGTAAAAATAGCAAATATTCTACTATAAAACTCTTTAAACGGAGGTAAAACTTTTCCTTATGATTATTTCAGAACAGTAAATTTCTGTAGCAAAGTTGAAAGATTAGAACTAGATCTCTGCACTATGGATAATTTAGAACTAGTGATTTTTGCACTAAGAAAACATAACAACATTACGCTGATCTACGATATCTAACTATGCTTAAATTGCCTACCCTTTCCCTAGATTTGGTTTGCAAAACCCTTCAGCGTGGCAAATAACATTTTGCAACGAATCTGCTAATTCAGTGATATATTGAAATTACACACATACCTTTTTTTCATGACTACTCTAGCAAACATCTTAAACGCTCTGGGAAATGAAAACCGTAATGGCAAGTTAACGAACTCGTACTGTCCTCACAAATGCTACGTCGCTTTGCTCCTGGCTTTCTTCTTAACTGTAATTTGTTTGATTAAGAGAAAGACCCAGAAACGTAAAACATACAGGAGTTTATGTGTTGTATTGATCTAATAATATTATGATTGTTTTATATTGGAGCCGGCTTCGCAAAGGAGTTTTCTATCTTATATCGAGAGATGGAAAAGCATTGCAGTGCTAAAGCTAAGCTATTTGACGAAATCGAGAGAAGCCTTTGATGTCAAGACATTTTAATTTCTGTATGTTTCCTAGCTTTTCCAAATGTTTTATCTACACAGCGCCACCAATCTAACTTTACAATGCCCGCAACTCGAACTAATAAAGCGTTTCATTGGCTCATCGACTGCAAAACCAACATAATTACAACAATACCGTGAAAAGGCTCGAAAGTGACGTGCAGTTAATTATAACTTGGGTTGTGATGTAATTCCATAATCACGTAATATTGTCACGTTCTACTGAAGAAAGTCAAACGGCTGCGTGTGTCGGCCATAAAAATTCAAGAATGGTCTTTGCCCTAATTTAATTATTGGACGTAAGATATATAAACCGCCCGAGGAGGCGTTGAAATATACGATTTTTACGCATTTAAACCGCGAAGTTGCGGCTGTTTTGAAGTTGATATCGAAATATCTCTCTCATGCACTCGTTTATATCGATTGTATCAATCTGTATGAAATAATTAGGCATTTTAGAGTCCAGTCTCGTTGCTTCCATTAGCGAGACGTGTTGTCATCGAACAAGTGCTTGCTTCAATACAAAATATCGAGAAACTATACCGAGCGTTTTGACCTTCGTAGCTAGTTGCTTGTTTCCTGTCGTGTAAAACTTCCTTAACTGATAGAAAGTAAAGAAAACTATAATGGCGAATTTTGGAGCTTGTTTTTGCTATTCATGTGGATTGAAGGTGACGTTTTTACTCGTCATATCTGCTGTGTGCAATGGTGAGTAGGATATCAATGATTCTATTTTCTGTAAAGTTGACTTGTTTATGATAAACCAGTTCATGCATCCATGTTAATTCTTCCCACACAAGAAGGGAGGTAAGTTTCTAAAGAAACTGTGGTGCTGTGACGGTAGAGGATATTACAAGATAATTTGGTTTTAGCAACTGAGTTGATCATTTAAATTGGCCACCTTTAAGAGTTTGTAAAGCTGACGTTTCGAGCATTAGCCCTTCGTCGAAGCGAATATTCGAACGAAGGACTAACATACAAAATGTCAGCTTTAGAGACTATTTACTTTATCAACTCAGTAAGTAAAAACCAAATTAAACTTTAAAATAGCTTGTTAAAAGATTCTCCGCAGCTCAGTCGGTACAGCATAAGAAACGCGAATTCAGACCTGCCTTGAGTTCGAATCGTCACAGACGACTTACATCTCTCTTTGTCTACAATTATTGACAAATCTCAGTAACATCTTCATCAGTTGTTAGTATTTGTATATAGTTTAAACATTAAAAACAAAATTTTGAGACATGAAATCGGCTAAATAACCGCACAGAGGAAAAATTTACAGAAAGTAGTAAAGACTGTATTAACATGAAAGCTTCGAAAGTTTACTGATGAATTCTTGTTCGCGCGTGTCAAATATTTAAACTGTTGATCGAGTGTGATTCGCGTTTTATCCGCGCTCCGGAACTTTATTCAAACTTCTTTAAAGTTCGTCTCGTTTATAGATGTAATTCTGGTTTTAATAAATACTTATAGATTAATTTAAGTTCTCAGTAAGTCTTAAACTAAAGAAGTAGAATCTCACACACACACACTATAAAACAGAAAAACAAGGATTACTCTTTAAGTGCTTTACACAACATTCCACGAAGAGGGAAAACCACAAACGCAACTTAAAGGAACATGATCAGAAAAAAAAGAAAATAAATAAAAGATTGTAATCGGAGTTAGTCAGCCTTTTAATTTGATGACTCTGGGGTATAATTATTTATAAGTATTTCTTTAACAATTAAAGGATTTGAAATTTCGCAACTTAATTTTAACTGCTTTTTGTTCTATTATAAGGATAATGTTCAACGTTTATGTAGGAGGCAGACTAAATGAATATTTTTCTTTTCAACAACTTGATATAAGACAAGGCTTCAAATTTTGGTAAAACGTATATACAGGATGCTGTTTTTGTATTTGACAAATGTTTTAGAGCTGATATTGTGTGAGCATTTTCTTAGTATTGATTAACGAAGTCAATACTGCGTTAATTGCATAACATTGCATGCCAGTTTTCTTTAAAAAACAAAAACCTTTCAAAATTAATCTTGATATGGTTTTTATCTCGATTTAAATAGCTTCTCTATGGTAGACAACACAACAGAGATAACGAAGAATTTTGAAGAATCCATGACAAAAAAATTGCTTTGGTCTATTGTTTTCATTTTTTTAGCACGAAAAAAATGCTTCATGCATAAAATGTCACAACCAGTGGGTAGTAAGATCGTTTATGGGCGAGATTTAGACAGTCTGTCGACTGCTAAGCAACAATTAATGATTACAGACAGTTTTAATATATTTTTGTATATTTGCTAGCCTATAAAAGTTCACGTATGCAAAATTATCGAGCCCTGAACCATTATAGAACGATTTACCATTTGCTAGAATAATCACACCAATTTGCAAAAACTCTTGAAAACGCGTGCCGCATTAAAGAGGCTTTGCGATTAGTTCATTCATATAAAATTGCAAGACTAAGCAATCTTGCTCAAGATTCCAACGTTTATAGAAGTGATGAAATATGAATATATCATATAAATCGATAACGGGCGAATTAATCCTCAGGAGAAAAACTTATTTTCGAAAAAAACTGAAAAAGAAAGAGGTATATCTTGAAAGAAGAATCAAGGCAAAATATGACACTGGAACCCATGCCACGTACATCCAATTGGACCTTACTGCCAACTGTATTACGAAACCATTCTTAGATCTTGGTAATTTCATGTAAGTCTGGCCATATACTCAATCTTTTTTTTACTTCTTCAATCAGAGGCGCTAATACTCGACGTGAATCTTACACGACAAGAAGTCACAACATTTCTCAGACAGCCGGTGAACCTTGGTTGCTATGCAACTACCACCTCAGCCGGCTCTATACTGGAGTATTATTGGACAAAAGACAACCAAACTGTCACGCAATCTCCAAATGTGCAAGCATTTGATGGCGTCTTGGTTGTAACACCGGAGAAAGATTCTGATTTTGGAACGTACGAGTGTAACGTTACCAACGGAATGTCCAGTGGTTTGTGCAGGATCTCGCTGGTACAAGTAACGAGTACACCGGGTAAGCATAGGGAATAACTTGAATTTTGTATAAAAACAAAAGGGCCTGGAGTGATTGGGAGGAAGAAACCGAAAAATATGGAGCTCTTCTGGGCAACAGCGTATTCGCTATGTGAAGGCTCCATTTATTGTTTGCGTATACCTTAAAAACTAGCTACCGACAAGAACTGGAACGCGAAAAGTTGGAAGGGTTTTTGTAAGGAATACGTAAAGAAAACGAAAGCCAATCGCGATTTAGTCATCCGCGTCTTCCGCGCTTTTATCAGTTTGCCTAGTTTTACTGTGAATTCCCACTGGCTAATTGTGATTACTTTGGTTTGGTTTTTCAACACCCAATCAAAAAATTATCCGAACAAAATATTTTCTTGGCTTTCCAGTACTTGTGTCTAAGATTGTAGTCTCCTAATTCTACAGAAACTGGGATAGTAAGCTCCGACTTTTTGCATCTTATCGTAATCATTCATTTACTTACCAGAGCTTTTTCCAATTAATTGAAAGGTGACCCCACAACTGGCTGTGTGAACGTTTCAGTCCTAATGCCCGTTCTAGCAGTTGCAGTCTTTTCACTCTTGCTCTTCATTCATCTTGTCATCCAAGGCGCAAGAAGGCGATCACGTGATGAAGTGCTGTCCAAGAAAAGTGAGGATAGCAGTCTACATAGTCACGAGCATGTGCGCATGCGCGAAGGAAGCTGTGTCATCGAAGAACCCATTGAGTTGCACGTCAATCGGCGAGTCTCACGAACGGAAGAAAATGAAAGGATCCAAGAAAGCACTGTGACTCAATTTTGACCCCGAAAGACTTTCTCTATTTAGAGCCTGAACTCAAACTTCATTTTTAAAAGAAAAACGTAGAAACACGACCATTGGTGTTGAATCAATTTTGATACAAGGTCAAAGAAGAGTTAAACCCGGCCAAGATGTGAAGTTGTAAAGTTGTGATATTGGTCAAGACAACTACATTCGGCTCTGCAACGATAACGCTTCCTATATGAATGAACATGGAATAACAGGGTAATTTGGCATTATCAACTGAGTTGGTAACGTAAATTGGTCACCGTAAAGAGATTCGAGCTGCCGTTTCGAGCGCTAGCCCTTCGTCAGAGCAAAAGGAGGAATTGTGGAAGGCACACACGATCCAAATTACCAAATTACCCTGTTATACTCTCTCACCGACGCAGCGACACAGTTTCCTTCAAACTTAGCATAGCTTGACAGGAGAGGATGAACGTGAGGCTGAACCCTTAAATAAACCTTAAAGGGAGAAGTATACTCTAGGAAATATTATTTTTTTCATTGCCGCCATTAAAAATGATTTATGATTTACTAAATGCTGCCCTGAAAGGCTCCTAAGAGTAAACGAACCCTTGATTATTGTCACAAATGTTCTATACATTCAACTGCTGAGGCACGTACGCCGCCATTTTATAAAACAACTCAGAAACCTGGCCACACACGCATAGGCACAACAATCTGGTCAAAAACAGCCACCTGCTCCGGTTAAATCTGGAATTCCTTTTCAAACAAAGGTTCATGCAGATTAACGAGAGATGGTAAAACGAGGAGCAAGACTTTGCTACGTAACGGACAAGAGGCCAGGCTACTTTGCCAGCGCCCGCGGTTGAATAGCTTGCACATTTAAAAGTTTGGCTAATCTTTCTAAAATTAACGCGGTCAGCGTCGTAGTTTCATCCTTTCTAATAGTTGAGATGTAGATAAGATGGTTTCTACAGCATACCTATTAAGTCATCATGTTTCTAGATCTCTTCTGTTTTCGGAGATCACAAGAATCCCAGTGCAGCTTAAGAGTTCTCTCCCCCTCCCCTCCCGTATCTTTTCTGAAGTTACTATCCTAAGCGATACAAATCAAGCGGAAACAATCTCAAAAATGATTAAACTTCCACATTTTTTTTAAATTTAAGATCATCGTTACTTTAATATAATATTGCGTCAGTGGATGAATGACAATTGATAAGTCAAGATCTTTTTTACTAGAATATTGTGCACTGGTAAAATGCTTTCCTTGTGTCATGTATATATTATTCTTTTACAAAATTCTTGTACAAAATTAAATAGCTATGCATATTTTTCTTCTACTTCATGGATATGAAAGATTTTTTCATTGATTAAGTTTTACATAGTCTGCCAAAACGATTTCGCTAGAAATTATGGTGGAGGAATGTGTATTCCTGCATCTGCGCAAAATATTGGATCACGTACAAATTTATGAAGAGTGCGAAATTACACGATATGAAAGTTCATATAAAAGGCCTCTCCGTCCTTAAAAGTTATCTGGCGAACAAAATTTAGGAAGGGTATTGCATGAACTCTTCTGTAGAGGGACACCCCTTATCTTACCTTGGGAAACTCTAATAGGGAGCCGGGGAGATGGAACCGACAGAGTGTAAAGGGTACAAGGCAAAACCTCTTAAACTCACAAAATACCTATTTAAAAACGTACAGTGACCGAATAAAGGTGACATGGCTTCATAAGATTTTAAAAAAATCAAATACCATTTTCAGACCTGAATATTTCGAAGGATTGTTCAGACGAACCCCATACTTTAAAAGAGAAACGTAACGGTTTGATTATGTCAAAAAACAAACAAACAAAACAAAACAAAACAAAAAACTTATCTAAAATATTTCAAGGTCTTCATTTACGTTCTGTGAAAATCTCTCCCATCCTTAGTTATCCTGAGTTTTTTCGTTCTTTTCTCACCTCTCTAGTTTTTTTTCACCCAACCAAACCGTTATTGTAAGGTGTCTTTCTATTCAAAGGCTATTGTTAATGGTGTCGTTTCGTAGCTCCTTTCAGATGAATTTTGTTTTCAAATCATACAGCGGTTTAACGTCGGGCATGCGCAAGTGGGGCAATTTGAGCCAGTCGCGTGCCATTTTCCCGCGCAAAACTTTTTTAAAAAGGAAAAAATATTAAGCAACCGATGTCACGCAAGAGTTATGAAAAAATACATCAAATTCTCACGCTAACGTTTAAACTTAATACTAACATTAGTGGGGTATTATCATTAGATGGTTTATCATTTATCATTTTAATTTGAGGTTGACTAAAGATTGTGCACGCTCAAATCACCGGCGTTGTTTATTCCTAATTTTTGAATCAGTTATATGATGTGTGACGGCGTCTCTTTGCGGTTTTAACACTCAAACATGCGCAGACGTTTGACCGCTGTGTTTGTTTAAACGATCGTCGCATGATTCATATACTCTGCCTAACATGCACCCAAACCGGTTTTATCATTTCACAACTGGTTCATCGTCGGCGTCTTCTTTCTCTTCAAAATCCATCCTCTCCATGTAATGACTAACAAGTGGCATTTCAGAGTCAAGACTCTCTCGTCCACTAGCATCGCCATCTGTTTCGTCACCCGGGACGAAGAAATCTGCAAACCTTGGTGTCTCCTCTGCATCAATTGGGATGCGGTTAGGATCTGACAGGACAGGCGCAGTCTCATCGTTTGTTTCGTCACCAGAAACAAAGAAATCTGCGATCCTTGGCGTATTATCCATATCAACTGGGATGAGGTTTAGATTTGAAGGAGTATGCGCAGTCTCAACGTTTGTTTCGTCGGCAGCTCTGATGTCTGCCACGCTCGGAATGTCATGAATTTCCTGCATTTCAATGGTTTCTTGTCTGTTTTTCTCCTGTGTATCTTTTTCGCAAAGAATGTCCGTATGGTTTTTGTCTTTTTCTTCAATATGTTGGTTATTTTCAGAGTGTTCAGTAGGACAGTGTTTCCTAAATCGCTCGCGGAAAGGCTTCTTTTTCTTTACTTCAACGTGTTCTTCACTTTTCTCTTCAACTGGTACAGACTGTTGGGATAGTTGAAGCTGCATGATCGCCTCTTCAGACAACGCCCATTCATCTCTTCGCTTCCAACGAATTAGAAAATGAGCATTCAGTAGAATAGAAACGACAGTCACTGCTAAAACCGGCATGAGAACGGCAATAATACCACAGCCAGCACTGTTTTCCTCCACATGGTCTAAAACATGACAACACAAAAGCGCAAGATCAAAAACGAAAACCAGCTTTATGACGATCATGCAGTGAATAGCACGGAATATAACCTTTAAATTCCTTTTTTGTTCAAGGAAGATGAAAAATGGAAATTGCTCACAAGCTACCCACAAGTACCCACAAGTCGGAAAATTGCCAAAGTTTAGCTGAACACGAATCAATGGCGGGTTTAGTTTCTAAGGAAACTGTGGAATGGAAGGGTGGGGGGGGGGGGAAGGGTCATTACGAGAAAATCTGGTTTTATCAACTGAGTTGATAATGTAAATTGGCCACCATGAAGAGTTTCTAAAGCTGATGTTTCGAGCGTTAGCTTTGTCAGTAAGTTAGTAAAACACGGTCAGCAGTGAAACTCTAGGTGACGCGGTGATCTGGGTTCCAGCCTTAGCCAGGAACGTTGTGTTGCATAACCTTTGATAGGCCTGCGTCTCCTCATTATGATTTGCAATTCGTGTACGTTTTCCTAACATCAGGCCAAAAAAACGCAGAAAAAGCGTCTGTCTCAAAAGCCACTTTACACTTGATGAAAATATTAAACATTGATATATGACCCACTTTCGTGCATTTCACCATCAACTTTACAAACTATTTACTAGGAACATCACTTACTTCTGTTGTTACACCCCGCAGTCAGTGAAATACTGCATTTCGTTACTGTCATGTTATCACTAACGTGACACTCATACGTTCCAAAGTCTGCATCATCCTCAGGAGTTACCACCAGCACGTTTCTATAGACTCGTGTGTTTGAGGATTGTGAGACAGTCAGATTATCTTTCGTCCAAGAAAATGTCAAATGCACTGAGCTCATTTGGTTGACATAGCAACCAAGGTTTACTGGTTCACCAATACAGGTTGTGATTTCCTGACGTGTCAGATTCACGTCTAGGGTTAGTCCTGCAAACCAGATAAGTTAATTAGCTACTAAGCCTTTCCCACAAGCCCTCATTGCTCGCGCTGCAAGACGCTCGTTTCCCCGCTTTCAGGAAGATTTGAGACGGATCGGGGGAGAGGTTTGCCGGGAGTCTGGAACTAATCAAGTGATTAGTGCCAGACCCCTTGCACACCTCTCGCCGACTCGCGTTGCTCAAGGCGAGAGAGGTTAGAATTAACCTCTCTCCGCTCTATCTCATACCTTCTCTCTGGCGAAGTATTGCTCGTGTGAAAGCGTCTATACTAAGAACCTTCTTGCAGGCCACTAAAACACTAAAATGATGAACCTTTAAGCAAATCGTTGATCGTTAATTTACTTATGCAATCAGATAACAGCAAGGATTTCATTGAATTCTCAGATTCGTTCATTACAATTCTACAGTTCGTTACAAATAAACAAGAAAACATAGCTCTAAATGGCTCTACTCTCTCTTCTTGAAATATTAGAACATGATAAATTAATTTATCCATCATTTCTTCCCTTCCTTACTTTTTTAAATAATTTTTATAACTTAAATGTAAATAAAAAACAAATTGTTTTTGTTGTTGTTGTAGTGGTTGAAATAACATTAATCCGTGATAACGATGAAAATAATGTAACTTCACTAGAAATTATTCATTTGACACTTACCTACACAATATCGTCTGTAAGCGATTTATTAGAGTTCTAAAGATTTCTCTGAGAGCTCAAATGATTGTTAAACTCTTAAACATATAGTTTAAAAGTGCTTGCCAAAAATATCAGGTAAAATGACTTGGAAAAATAGCATTTACACCCACTGCATTTCCAGTGTACAAGTTTGTCATAAATAGGGTCTGGTTCAAACATGCAAATGAAAAAATCCGCTAAAAGAACTGTGGTTGTTTTCTTCGTAGTTTGCATGTAAATTGGCAAAGATTCCAAGTTGTTCTTATCAAATGAAAATTGCTCGATTATGTCGTTCATGAATTGGTAATGAGGTCGACTTATTTGTGGCGACAAAAAGTCGAAACAAGTCCGTGAATAAATAATATAAACACGTATTAACTTCTCCCGACGAACACTTGATATTGTATTCAAACGGGTTTGTAAACAGCTTAGGTTGCCTCTCACGTGACGTACTACGTGCGCAGAGAATGATCTAATATTAGTCATGAACAACTCGTAAAGGCTACGAGACTATTAATAGAACATATCTTTGTTCTAATAACCCTTCATACTGCTTTGATAACATAAGAGTGAAAAATACAGCAGATCACATATTTTTTGACATTGATAAACCTGCGATCGTTTACAATAAAGCATCGATCGATATTTGCGTTTCTAATTCGGTTGTGAGGAAACACGATCTGGACGCGAAAATATTTTAAAATTTACCTTTTAAATATAGCTAAAGATCAGTTACAGAAAGAAAAATATTTCTATGCTTACTACTCACCCATTGGAACAGCAAAGTTTACAAAAAGGAGTAATCCTTGCAGTGCACAACGCAGGCACGTTCTATAAACCGCCATGTTGGTTTTTTTTGTAATCCGTGAATTAAGGCAAATGTGTCCTAAAATGCTTTTCAGAACAAAAGGTCCATCATGATGATCAAATTTATCCTTTGTCTTGTCACTTATGCTAAATTAAATAGCTAAAAACGGCCGATTCAGCTGAGTTAAAACAGTTTCGAAACTGACATCCACCATCCTACGAACAACTTACAACAACGTTGCGTGACATACTTATTCGGCCCAGTTTCTCGCGTCGTCATAAGTCACGCTTGACAGGAAGACAATCGCACAAGTTCAAAGCGCTTCCTGTCTCCCGCCATCTCCCGTATGCTCACCAATATAATACTGTTTTTCGTTTTGCCGCAGCTGGACTAAGAGAAATGTTGAAATTTCATTCATAACAACTGACGCCACACGCATCAAAGGCAATGCCAAAACAGCTGTCCAAAGTTGCTTATAACAAAACAATAGGGGACCTTTAGCAAACTATGACAGCGACGGCAACGAGGACTTGGCAAAACAAAAGATCTAATGAACAGAACAATAGCTCAGCACGTGAGTCTTAAAACTGTGAACATTTCCTAACCGTCCTTTGCACAACGACAACGTGAAATCAACAGAATTTGCGTGGTCCGATAAAGAAAACCCCGACGGCAGATTATTTAACTTAACTGGTTTCCATTTGGAACTCAACGCCGCTCTCATAGGTTATGCTGAGGTTAACTTGTGGCGCCATAAGAGATGGTAAGCACATCCAGTCATTCGAGAAATTCCAACTAAAAATATGTATTCATTTTTAATTGACGTCTTCCTTGGCGTTTCCGTCCTAACTGCTAAAGGTCCCTGATCTGAACAATCACACGAGCGTGTGAGCGGGCTAAGACAAACTGTCAGCCCGCTAAAATCTTCAGTTTAGTCTGCAAAATGCGCCACAGTTCCTGGCAGAGTCATACTAATGGATAGGCCTTAGTATTTTGGTTAACTTGGAGTCAAGAAAGATAAGAACAAAGCTTTTGCGTAAACTCAATTTATTTTCTGTGTCATAATTATGACTAGCATCTGCGGTAACCTCCAAAACACATCCATATTTGGCTTCTATTTTTAATGTGTGAAAGTCTTTTTTTTTTTTTTTTAATCAATTAGAGCAAAGATCTCACGCACCTTTTACTAATGTTTAATCAATTATTTTAGCTGGTCAGTTTGTCGAGGAGACATATTACCATATAGACAAGTCTTTGAATCTAACGGTGGCTATAAGTTTGTCGTGAGTGCTCTGTCTTTGAGGTAAGTAACCAAAACTGCTCGAATAATCTATTCGTGTCGATACATTGAAGAAATCAAAGGATTGGGAAAAAAATCAGCGTAGCTTAAACTCGTCTTCAAGACTTACCAAATAATTCAGCGAATTTTTTTCCTTACAAAAATGTGGGAGATGGGAGAGGACCAAAAAATTAATTACCAAAGGAGTAGTTCCAACAAACTCTATAAATATTAGGGTTAACATCAAGACTGTTTTTTTTTTTCTTCTTTTTTCCTTTATTTATTGCTTTATTTCTTTTCTTTTTTTCTTTCGCTTTTTTTTTGGTTCTGCTAAGTAACGAAAATATGCGAGTTTCTAGAATGTAAGATTCAGTACAGGCCAAGGGGCTATAATTACTAACTGAATGCATTGACAACTCGTGATGAATTATGGTTATGATTTCTTTCTACTTGTTGTGTCTCTCGAGAAATTTAAATGCATCGAATTTCAATTTATATGCTAAAAGGGTAGTTTGCAACTTTTTATCAATTATATAGATACCGGCTTTTATGTGGTTTTATTTCGAACCTCAAAATCTCAAACTGATACCACTTTGAGAGTGTTTTGTGCAATCCCAGCTGTTGTCGCCAGACGGAAGCGACTCCATTTTTTTTTCCTTGGAGTGGGGTGGAGCTGGAGGGTGGTGTAAACTAGGTTTATCATTTATTTTCCATCGGAAGGTTATAAGAAACTGCATGGGAAAGTAGGACTTCTAGTCTCCAAGAAGACATTAAATTCTAATGTAAACATTCTTATCATGATCACGATTGTAATAAATTCATGGGCAGGTTTCATTAACAACCCCCCTGAGGATGTTACGCGACTGGTTCAAGTTTATGCTTTCCATTCCTCGTCACGAGCCGATGAGCAAAACGGAGAAGTTCGTTCAGTGGTCATCTTTGGTAGTCTACTGCTTAGGCGGCCTCACATTTATGGCAGTGCCCAAGCTCTATGGCATCATATTGAACGTAGAATACACCGGTCGTTCTGAAGGTTACGTGCGCCTGGTCGGCCTTGGAGTTGTAGAAATTGGATTTCTTTTCATAATCTTGGCACGTTCCACTGTAAGAATACATCGCTATGGAACCATTTTGGCTTCTGTTGTTAGCCGTCTCGTTTGGGTGCCAGCGACGGGGCTCATGTTCATCCTCAGAAATATGGTCCCTTTCACGTTCGCGTCAGTCTTCATGGGCTTAGATGTGTTGCTTTCCCTGAGCACCTTGTTTATGTGGTGCCGAGAAAGGGATGGTTCCTCATTGGGAGACTTCTTAAAAGAGCTCCTGGCTCCATTTCGAGAATGTCACGGGATGAAAGTAGGAGGAACCATTACAGCCGTGTTTTTTGTGGGCCTCATTCAAACAATCTTTTGGTACGTGTTAGCGGTGAGACCCGATTTTGCTCATAAAATGTTTGTTCTCGATGATTTGGATGGGCTCGCTGATGGCTATCTAGCAGCGTTCCTTTATCTGATTTCCATTCATGGCCTGTATCACGTCCTTTGCGCCAATAATTTGAATCATCCCTTCGCTCTAGCCTCAGTTAGCTATCGAGTTCTTTTGGATACTCCAGTCTCTCTTGTCTTGCTTCTTGTTGATCAGATAGAAAGAAATCTCTTTCTCACGATTATGAGCTTCAACATGTTCATCTCCACCATCTTTTTGGCGTTTCTGTCACGTGAAAGACTTACCATTACAAACACCAGAGAAGACCCACCCGATGTGCAAGCTCCCACCGTTACGGAAGACAATTGAACTACCATGACTACTTAGTATGATAAAGGGGGTAAGTTTCTAAAGAAACTGTGGTGCTGTGTCGATGAGAGTATAACAGGGTAATTAAATATTATCAACTGGGTTGATAACGTAAGTTGGTCACCAAAAAGAGTTTCAAAGCTGACGTTCGAGCGTTAGCCTTTCGAAACGTCAACTTTTAAACTCTTTACGGTGGCCAATTTACGTTATCAATTCAGTTGATTATACTGAAATTAGGTAGTATGATAACTCAGTACTTCATGTATTTATTTAAAGAAATATAAGGTTTACAAAACTTCATGTCCTGCAAATAGCTACAATGCTAATCTAGGCAGGACAAGACTTTAACTAAAGGCGTTATTAAATTACATAAGAAAAAAGAAAAGAAGAAATACAAAAACATACAGAAGGAAACACCTTACATATAAATTCAAGTACAAGGGATTTTGTTATTTTAAAAAGACTAAAATTACAACTAGAGGTATATACAATATATCAGGTTAACTTCACAAAATATTCTATTAAAAAATTAACTTTCAAATAATTATCTTCATTACCTAGAACATTAAGGAGTAGTAACTCGAACTTTCGGTCTTTCCTCTCGAATCATTTCATGTATAAATCTACCCTTGACGACTCAAACCGTTTTTGTCAATTTAAGTAAAATCGAAGAAAAAGTATTTCTAGTCATAAGCAAAAACCTGAAGCAAAACATGAAAACTATGTAAGCGAGCAGTGATTTTCAATAACTTGTGTGGGGGGGGGAGAGAGATCGTAGGATTTTAATTGGGAACAAAGGGGGACAGTCGTCTCCAATTAAACTAAGTTTAAAAGAGAGTAACAACTAATTGACTGCTTATGAGGTTGGATCACTAGAATACTACAGAGTCTTGTGGGGGATCTGGTAACTTTTATTGTGACACAACTAAAGTCCTCTGACGCCCCTCCATCCCATCCCACCCCACCCTTCCCCCGTGGCTAAAAAAAGACTGGTCCCTAAATCACTAAGAAGCGAGCGACAACAATTAATTCCATATAGTTTAGTTTACAAATTTATTACAAGAACTGATCAAATTACAAGTTTTATTACATGCTGCCATTAAAAAATGCTTTATATTTAAAACTGTGTTCAGGTGGAACACATTTATTGAATAAAAACCACGTTTGGTTTAGTTCCAGTGACCTTCATCTTAGCACGCCAAAGAAGCAACTGAATTACAAAATAAACTACTGCAGGTCTTAAGTAATTTGACTGCATTTAGCTTCAGTTTGACGAGAGAGGAGCCTGTATAAGATAAAAGATGATATTCATAGATCAACTGAACTCTAAAAACGAGAGAATATGCGAGGTGTCTACTTCAACCTCGATGTCAACTTCAAGGTACACTCTTGACATGATTGGCTCATTAGTCAGATCACTAATGTCGCTCGTGAATACAAAAAAAGATAACATAAAATTCGAAAAAAAAAACACATACCGAGGAGGGAAAGAAAGGAAAGTTGCTGCAGAAATTAAATACACCTTCCGCGCCACTCGATAGCGACCTCCATATTTAGGATATATGACTTTCGCTAAAGAGACTTGACACTTTTGGTTAAAATTTCTTATCCGCCCCATCCTGACACGGACGACGGTCAGGTGTCCGTGAGTGGGGAATGTTGAAGCTTCGAATTGACTGGCGCATGATACTTACAATTTTTGTGTTATTTCTCCTTCGTTTAGCAAAAGCTGCTTTCTCTATTTGGCCACTTGGCTCTTCAGCCTCAGTCAACGCCTTGAGTTGCACCTCCCACTCAAGAAAGTGCCCATCTTCACTTCCTTGCTCAGTTTTATGCTGTCTCAGAGAACTGGTTCTTCTACTCCTTTTTCTGCCCCCTGTTATAATCTCATCGTCTACGATTGAGTCTCTTTGAATTGTCTCATAAAAAGAGCTTACACTGCCTCCCCATACACGATAAGGCTTGTACTCAACTGTAGTAATACTAGTTCTGGTGCGAATGGGAGGTAAAACTTTAACTTCTTTAATAGCAAGAATGCTTGGTTCTTCGGTCTCTACGCATGCGGACGGCTTTGCATCCTTATGGTTTTTCTCTTTGCTTCCGAAGTCATTTTTTTCCTTCTCACAAGACTCACTGTCATCGTGATTCCCTTTTCTGTTCCTTTTCCTAACTGAGGTCAAACAGGGCTGCACTCGGGCAAGAACTTCATCTTGATAACGCGAGCAAGTGCTTTTAAAACGAGAGCAGGTAACTCCCATGTTGAGTAGGAGAAACTTGAAAACCATTGCATCGTAAACAAACACGTCAAACAAACGAATGAGGTCATGGAAATGATCTCTGGCCATTTTGACGTCACCATTCTGGATTGAAAACTTAGCTTCTCTTGTTCCGGCATTTTTTTTTTTTGAAACTTGACTTGCTCCATTTAAGTCGCATTACCGAGATGGGTTGGTCAGCTGTGGGTGTAATTAACGAAAACCATTCAGTGAAAGTAAGCAGAGGATTTCCTTATGTTTAGGCATATTTTATGTTTTTAGCATATGTCATTACTACGTTTCAACAGCTCGCCAAAAGAATATGGGCATTTGGAGTCGAATCTCGGAACTCACTTTAATTTGGAGTCAGATAGTAAGAGGAATTTATTATTACTCGCTAAATGTGTAAATACGAATCCTTCCCAATGATTGGTAAAAAGTCTCCGGCCGTAGATAATTTCGCAGTTTACCTCTGCGCGCGCAGCTTCGGGTTATTCGTACGCCTGCGTGATTTGTGCACGATCTCGAGTCGGTCCAAGCAGTATTTGAGCAAAATATTTCGGTTTTCATATCAAGCACGAAAAAGTCAACGATTTCACCAAAAAAAATTCAATCTATGTGATTTTCTTGAATTTTCATCAACCCTTTGAACACATAACCTGTCACCGTTTTGCAGGACCATTGTGATTCTTATCTAACATCTTTTCGGAAAATTGGCTAAAATGACGGTCTGCATTACGTGATCCACATTTCTACACACGTAGGGTAAATGCGGCGATCTACATATTACCTCACCCGAACACCATCAACAGGGACAGCGGAATAGAAATCCTACATGCTCGGTTGTCGACGATCAAGTAGCACAACAACAAGAGAGCCGTGCGTAAAGGGAACCTAATTCGGAGATGTACCAATCACTGCTGTGGAATTCTAGCCAATCACAGCTAAGCATGAGAGTACATATGTAACGCGCACTCAGTCACCTTTATGAAGTTACAGTGTTCATCTTACTTAAATTAAGTGAAATGTAACCAAGATTCTGACAATTCTAACCTGTTCCAATAAATATAATCGAGTGCCTAAAAACATACACCGTAATGAGGGGAAATGTCCATTATTTCTGAAGCCATCTAAATATTATTTATTAATCGAGAGGGCAAGTCAGTTGGGGTAAATTTTAATTTTGAATTAATTAAACTCGATTGAATTAAAATTGACGAAAGCAATCTGGGGATTTTTTTCGCTATGTGATTGTTTCAGAAAACTCGCACCACTTTCTGAACCAATCCGATGCAAAACTAACACCAAGCACGAATTGGTCGCCCGTGTTTTCATGCGTTCTAAGCGGTTTTCTTGGTTGTTATTTCTTACAAAGTAAAATTTAACCGCAAACCATATTTACAACGAGCGTAGTACTTCAGTGGTTTTACAGACGAACGTAATGTCATCGCCGTGAGGTGATGTCTTTCAGCAAGTTACAGGGAAGATAAACCTTTTACGTTAGCGAAATTCGTTCTTGTTTTGACCGGTTCAGCCTCTGGAAACAAGGATTGAGAACTTGCCGATCCAATCTCAATAGTATGGCTTTCCTTGGGAAACAGGAAGCACAAATTCCATCTTGGAAACCTCAACAAGCGTTCGTTCCTTCACGTTGTCCCTTTTCCGGTTGCTTGGTACACTTCATCCATCAATTCTCTCACGGCAAAATTGTAAAAATGTTTGTTCACCCGTTTAACGTTTTCTAATTCCTCTTCAAGTTCCCGTCGCGACAGTTGTCTCTTTCCTGTTGTTGCAGTTCCCTGCCCTTCAAACTCTGCGACCTGCAGGAGTAGAAAAACTGCAATTAGCGTCATCTTCGGATTTATTCGAGCAATTATCGATTGAGTGTCTGTTATGAATGTAACAGGAGAAGAAGGTGAAGTAGGAAATGTCGTACCTCGGCAAGCAGAGGTAGCGCAACACTGTCCCCAAATCTTTTCCTTATTTCCGAACTACTTTCCTGTTTGAAAATCAAAATAAAAATATTAAGTTCAAAGTCTCATAGCTAACGTAAAGAAATGCATCTAAATCACTGGGTATAATTTACAATCCAGGTCTCAAGTCCATACCTCGCTTATTTTTCCCTTCAGCGTCATAAGAATAGCGTCAGAGTTGGAATCGCCATTACTTGTTCCCGCGGGACCGGCCACGTGTTTTTCACGTGATCGATTCGGTACATGCACGTGCCGTTTTAGAGGCTGGATCGGAGCAAGGGATGATTTTGGAGATGGGTTTTCCAGGTGTAAAGGTTTTGGAATTATCTGAGAGTTGGTCACTGCACCTGTTCACAAAGAATCAAGTATATCAACGTGAAAAATTTAACCCTTTAACTCCCAAGATCTGATTGTTAATTCTCCCCTCTAGCTGCTACACATTTTCTTGTAAATCACCCACGAGAATTTGGTGTCAGATCAAGATAACAACTTCTAGCTGATGAGTATGAGTATTCTCATTACCTGTTTGCTGGATAATGAATAGATATTATAGGGAGAAGCTACACGTTAATCACTTCTGAGAGTGAAATGGTCAAGCTTACCTTTGTGGTTGACAACTCTGAGACACTGCCTACTAGGAACATGCCAAACACGAGCAGTCTGGTCTTGAGAGCCAGACAATAACAGAGTTCCATCCATAGAAACTGCTAAACTGTTGACTTGTTTACTGAATAGAGATAAATTGAATAGTCACTCACACAAAGTTTTCAACATTTTGAACCTAACACTGTGCAGGAGGTGTGTCACATATGAACCTGGTTTGGGAACAGCCAGGGTCACTGTAGAGTCTCTGTGGCTCAGTGGTAGAGAAAAAGAGTGAAAAATCTGAACATTTGTGGTTCCTCTCCTAATGGAAACTCATATCACTTTTCTTTGACCTATGCTTGTAACAAGACAAAAAACACTTTTCTGAACAACAGTCACTAAAATTATTATTTTTGGTTACCATCAAACAAGACAAAAAAAATATTCCTTTACAAGAAAGATGAGCCATCTAAAAATTGCCTTGCTCTCCAACGTATTGATTCATAGCTCAGTTGGTCCACCTTCCCGCATATTGGGCTTGAGATTAAGAGAGTAAAGGTCAAGTTTGGCTAAAATCGTCCATTCAAGTTCTGAGAACCTAGAAAATATTAACCCTTTAAAACCGATGAGTGACCAAGACAGAATTTCTCCTTACAATATTAATGCAATATCAAGCAGAAAAGTGATGAGGATAAAGAAAAATATCAATTAGGGGATGATCAGTTGATGCAATACCAAAATCTCTGGACTACCATCTTAAGAATTGTATGGCAGATGGTAAGGAGAATTACTCATGAGATCTTGGGAGTACACAGGTTAAAATAGTTATTGGATCATCAGATGCTTGAGAATATTACCTATGACCATTGAAGATGAGGGCTTCTTCTTTCTCCAAGTGAATGTTATTCTTCATCCCCTGTGTTTCAAGATGGAAAAATATAAGGTGGTACTGAACAAATGGAATGAAAGATGAAATCAGCCCATAATCTTGATGTTGTAATTAGAAGCTGATAGGGGCCAGGAAACCCTCAGCTGTCGGACCATTCTGTTTCAGCATCAGCAAAATCATGAAGGTTGTTCAATGCATGACTTGCAGTTTTTAGTTTATAAAAAGGAAAGTAAGGCTACTCTGAAAAATTACTTGATGCTTACCCTTCTAAAAAGCTCTACTTGGTAGATGTTGCCATCTGTTCCTCCTGCAAAGCAGTTCTGTTCCGCAGCATCCATTGTCACAGCTGCTACTCCAACATCAAACACAAATGAACATAAAAGTTCACCAGAACTCAGGCTGTACAACTATGAAAAAAAAAAAAAAAAAAAAATGGGACAAGTGTGGAAGACTTCATGGCCAATAGTCATGGAAGATGGGCTCTGGATAAGGAGGTCTGGGTTTAAGGCTTTAAACCCTAATGTCAGTATGCATATTCTCCATACAGTTCTCTAAAAATTTCCTGTGATATTGACAAGGAGAATTTGTTTAATGATCCAGAATTTTTTAAGTTTTCTATCATTTCCATTTTTCTCATGACACTGCACAGCCTTAATGCCTGCAGGTTTTTTTTGCTAGTCTTAACGGCTAGCTTCAACACTCGTTGCAAAGAAACTGTGACAAGCTCAAGTAAATGCACCATGTAGCTAGTCTCTTATCCAAACATTTTTCCTTTTTTTTGTGGCAAATTGCAGTTATTTAGATCACACCACTTATATCCGTCACTCATCAATCTCAGTTAAAAATTTAAATTTTAGTCATAAACCAATACACCAGTGACATACATTCAACCAAGGCTGATAATACCATTGCTATCACTTACCTTACAAGTTTGATCAAGGGATGCAGTGATCACATGACCTCTCATGCCCCCACATCCACAATGGATATCAGTGACAGGAAGGGCATGATCAGACCATGTGTACCTTGGAGTTCGTATTTCATCTGAAGTTCCTATACTGTTTGATGAACCAGACAAAATCCTGAAAAAGATCATAAAAATTCAACAAAATGTAAAAGTATTAATAATATTTCATTTTTAAATGTGAAGATGCCTGTGTCATATTCTTCAAAATTGCATTTTTCAGCCTTTTTCCCCAACCCTCCTGAAAAATGCGTCTTGCACGCTGCCATTAAAGATCTTTTTCAAGCAGCAAAAGAACTTTTTTTTTTCTGTGGGGAATTTACTATTGAAATATTTGAAATTAAAGATATCTGAAATTGAAGACGTCTGTCAAGGTACATGTATGTGGGGCTTAAGCAACTACTGGTACATTAAGTTATACAAAATTATCTGAACTGAAATTATAAGCAATGTATTGAAGACAGTGTAGCAGATTTCCAAAAACATCTTGCAAGTGAAATGGTTAAGGTTCTGTAGGAAGAAGTTCTAGAGACTCTATATTTGAGAACAAAAGTTTCCAAGAGCTTACTTTGCCATTTTCCACACCATCACTAAATTATCATCACCAGATGATAAGAAATGAGATCCATCATCTGTGAATTTCAGACATGAGACTCGCTGGAAGTGTCTTGAAAGTAACCCAAGTAAATTGCCACTTGCAACCTTTGAAAGAAAAGAACTGAATAAAACCTTTCATGATAATCTCAGGGACACAGTAGCCAAATGGTAAGTGGGCTGAACTCCAAGACTTGGTCAGTTTGAGACCTGGCTACATCATTGTATCTTGTACTATGGAAAACACTTTACTCTCAAAGAGCATCTCTCCACCTAGGAGTAAAACATGTACTGAAAAATTGTCAGGGAAGCCAGCTTAAATAGTGGGGGTAACCTTGTGATGGACTGGCACCCCATCCAGGGAGGAGTGGTGAAACTTCTGATCACTTCATGCTATGGATGAGCCATGGCTTTATAAGTCACTAGGCTTGAGTACAGACTTTTTTATCATGTTTTGAGATTCTAAAGACTAACCTGTTTTCTAAAATGCTTTTAACTGTATGTTGATAATACAATAGTGTATACATCTTTAATCCAATAATTATAATTGTAGCTTAAGAACACTGTTAATGAACTAGTCATGAATTAAGTTCTTTTTTTTTGTTACTTTTTTTTTAAATTTCTTTTTCACACTGAATGACTCAAACATACCTGCCAAATATAAATTTTCTCACCACAAGCCACCACACAGTAGCTACCATCAGGAGAGCATGTTATGGCTGTCACTTTACCAGGGCAGATTAATTTTGTGAGAACTGACTCCTAATATGAAAGGAAATAAAAAAGGAGTGTATAGGAGTATGGGGGGGGGGGCACTTCAAGTAAAATTTTCAACTCATTACTGGGTTCTCAGCTGCAATAAACTGAGATCAGGAAGGAATAGTCAAACAAAATCTCAGAAACCAAACCAGAAACCAGGTAAGTTTAAATCTAGCTCTAAAATGCCTTAACCCTTAAACCCCTAACAGTGATCAGCATCTCACTTCTCATTACAAAACCACCCCTAAATCACACATTAAGATCATGAGAATATGGGAAATGATCACCAACAATAGCAGCTATTGATTGTTAAACAAATTCTCCTTGTTAGCACCTTTGGAAATGTACAGAGAACAGTAATGAGAATATGCATGCTGGTGTTGGGGTGTAGAGGGTTAAGTCCGTGATAGCTAACATTCATTTTGAATTCACAAATCACTGGATCCTTATTTGAAAAGCACCAGTTACATTTGAATTATACACAAAAAAGATCAAATTATCTATGCCTGTAATATAAAAACAACAAGGCAATGAATCCTTTCACGTATGGTAAAAATGCAACCACAATCTTCTGGAAATTTTTAAAACACCTCATTTTTTTTCCTTAAATTTAGCAACAAAGACACCAACCTTAGCTATGTTCCACGTGTGGATTATAGGTTTATTTGACTGTGATGCCATGATATAATCTTTACCGAGAAGTGAAACGCATCTCGCTGGGCAACTTCCTCCTTTGTAAGCTTTCAGTTGCATACCTGAGTTTAAATCCCATAAGGATACACAGAAGTTATCTCCAGATGATTCTGTTGTCAGTGCTACCTCGAAGTCCGCCATCTTGGATTTCTTCATTACGAGCCGACAGTCATAAAAAAATCAGCGGTGTCCTCAAACTCATGTCTTCTGTTGAGGAGAAATTAGGAGATTAAAAATAACAAGATGGCTTCCGTGGAGCTTTCACAAGTTTATGTGCCTGTAGCGAATTACTGTGTCCAGATGATGAACTCTCTTAACGAGTTCCGGAAACACAATATCTTGTGCGAAGTAGTGATTGTGGTTAATGGAAAACAATTTTTCGCTCATCGGAATGTTTTGGCGGCAAGTAGTCCCTATTTCCGGGAGATGTTTTCGAGTAACATGCGTGAGCATTTGGAAAACAAGCCAGTGATTCTGGAAAACATCACTGCAGAAATAATGGAAGAGTTGTTAAATTTTATCTACACCGGAAGCATCAAGATTACTCCCTTTAACGTCAAGGATTTTGTTTCCGCTTCAAATTATCTCTTGATGACGAACTTGAAGGAAACTTGTATATCATTTATGAAAGCCATGTTAAATCCCTCGAATTGCCTGGGTATCGAAGCAGCTGCATTTAAATTCAATTGTACTGCTCTACGAAGCACAGCTAGTCAATACGTTTACGATAATTTTGTGGCTGTCTCGCAAACGGATGAATTTAAGTTGCTCTCTGCCGACCGCTTAGCAGAATATCTCGGCAGTGATGACATTCGAGTCGAACGCGAAGAACAAGTATTCGAATGTCTGATGCAATGGATAAACCATGATATAGAAGTTCGTAGAGGCTTTTTTAAAATACTTTCACAACATGTTCGTTTCCCGCTCATGTCTCCCTATTACTTAGCGGATCATGTTGAAACTGAAGAGATCGTACTTTCATCTCCGGAATGCACATCGTTGATTCTAGAAGCAAAGAACTACCACATGCTTCCAGATCGCAGACACCTGATCAAAGGTTCTAGAACCAAACCTAGAAGATCTATGGGGGTAATTTCTGTTATATTTGCTGCCGGAGGAATTCAAGGATCGACAGTAATGAGGGACACTTTTGGGTTTTTCCCTGCAGCAAATAGATGGAGTCCTTTAGCGCACATGATCATCGCGCGATGTAGACACGGATTAGCAGTTACTGGAGACATGGTGTATGCCGTGGGTGGTCAGTCACGAGAAGGTATGTGTGATGAATAGAGTTTTAACGAGTACATGTAAGGGTTAGATGTCATATTTTCATGTAGGTAATGAGGTCGGGTGAAAGTAAGAGAATAATGTTATTTGAACAGCGTGAAAAATATGTAAATTTATTTTTTTGCTGTTGTTGTTGTTCATAACTACGGCTTTTTGTAAGTTATTTGGAGTTAATCCTGAGAAGGACCATTGGGGGAGAAGTCAATTGAGTTATTGTTATTACTATTATTGTTATTATTGCTAATATCATTATTATTATTATAATATTTATTAGCATTAGTATCATTATTATTCATGGTTTTAGTAGAGGTTACAACCTGATTTTGTGCAATTTGGTGTAAACAAGAATGAGAAAGTTTTTCAAGAAGAACAAAATTGCCAGGCAAGTGCAATTTGTAGTCTTGAAAAATTTACAAGTGTTTATTTGTACCAAATTACATGAGAAATCAATCACAAGTTATTACTTATTAATGATTTGCACGATAAGAGCATCACAGAAAGTCAAACAGATGAAATTTTGACAGTGTAGTCCTGTCACAACTTTGCAAGGTTGGTCATTACTGTTTTAGAATTGAGATCAAGTTTTCCCATGAAAACTTAAATTTTCAAAACTTTGTCCTTGGTCATATGATAAAATACATATTGACTAAGTTAGGTAGGGCTGGACAGGAAATTAATTGGCTCTCAATCGTGATACACAGCCTCATTGGGCCTGGTCTGTGTGTCATGACCTCAAGCCAAATATTCATGTCTAGCCCTCCCACTTAGTCAATAAGTACATATTATAGGCAGCAGTAGTCAGCACCAGTTACCAGTTTTTATTTAAACTCTTTGTATAATATGAAAGTGTTATACAGCAATATTTTTTGCCTACAGGTGCTGCCCAGAGTTCTCTGAACTCAGTGGAAAGATATGATCCAAGAACAAACACATGGACAATGGTTGCACCCATGAATATGAGGCGCAGTCTGCTCAATGTTGCAGTACTTGATGGTGAGTATTATTTTTCTCTTATGCCTAGTTAACCCTTTACACCCTAACATCAGTATGCATATTCTCCACACTGTTCTTTATACATTTCCTAAGGTGCTGACAAGGAGAATTTGTTTGCCAATCAAAAGTTTCCTTCCCTGGTGACCACTTCCTTTCTTCTCATGACCTTAATGTGTGATCCAGGAGTAATATTGTTGGGAGAAATTAGATGCTAGTCACTCTAAGGGTTTAAAGGGTTAAATACGAAGCAGCAGTACACAGGCATTCTTTCTATATTCACCCTTAACACCTTAACATTAGTATGCATATTCTCTTTACTGTTTTCCATACATTCCTTAAGGTGTTGACTTGGAGAATTTGTTTACCAATCAAGAGCTTCCTTAGTTAGTTGGTGATCATTTCCTTTATCCTTGTGACCTTATTGTGTGATTCAAGGGAGACATTGTAAGGAGAAATTAGATGCTGGTCAAAGAGGGGTTGGCTATCAGTCAGAGGACATACTTAGGGTAGCATGAAAACTGGATTATTTTTCATCACAGCAACTTGTTGCATAAGTTCAAAGTTCAAACCAACTTACCTTGTTACCAAGGCTGTTACTAGTAGAAGAGAAAAGGGAACAGTTGCCTAAAAAAATGCAACATTTTTTTTTTTATTCCATCTTTTTGTGGAGTGTTTGACAGATAGTCTGAACTTTGTAAAAATTACCTGTAAACTTTTCAAATCCAATTCCATCATCTTTATTAAACAGCAAAAAAAATGTTTTGACCTATAAAGACAAGTGTACATTTGCATGAGGTCGTAGTTTCACTCTTTTATTTTTTTCTTCACATTAGGAAATATGTATGCTGTGGGTGGCTGTGATGAGAGTAACTTCCGACTCAACAGTGTGGAACGTTACCACCCAGCAACAAACACTTGGTCATTTACAGCACCCATGACCACTTGTCGTAGCAGTCCGTGTGTGTTGACATGCCGTGTACTGTATGTGATTGGTGGAGTAAGCTATGTTGGAATGTCACTTAACACTGGAGAGTATCTTGACCCCATGACAAACACGTGGAGGGCAATTGCCCCCATGCATTACAAGCGAGCGAGCGCATCAGGAGCAGCAACAAATGGAAAGATCTACATCATTGGTGAGCCATGTTTACTTAGTGTGTAAGAGTGATAGGCATCTAATTTCTCCTAATAGTTTTACCCCTGAATCAAACATTAAGGTTATGAGAGTGACGGAAATGATCACAAACTCAAGAAGCTCTTGATTGTTAGATAAGTTTTCCCTGTAGGTACCACAGGAAATGTATAAAAATGGTGTGGAGAACTTGTATACTGATGTCAGGTTGTGAAGGGTTAGGATCAAATATTGTGAGATGTCATTTAAAAATTCAGTTCAACGCAATTTCATATTAATTTTTTAAGGTGGCTGGGACGGTTCTGTTCACCTGAATAGTGGTGAGGTGTATGACCCTGATATAGACCAGTGGTCCTTGATTGAACCTGCTAGCACTGCCAGATGGGATGCTGGGATAGCTGTAGAGAGTGACAAAATCTTCATTGTTGGGGGATGTGACAGGAATGCACTTTGCACTTTGGAAACAGAGTGCTATGACCCTGAGAAAGACAAATGGAGTAAGGTGGCATCCCTGCCAGTTGCAACACATGGAATTAAGTGTTGTACCATCCAGCTTCCACATAAATTTGCATAGCTATCTCAGTATGTGCAGTCTGTCACTCAATCCTGTAACTTGTAAGATCTGATTAGTATTTTATTTCTCCTTCCTGGCAGCTGTATGCTTCTTGGTAAATTTTTTAAGGGAATTTGACATTGTATCAAGATGGTACTTTTGCGAACAAAAAGGTTAAAAACTACACAAGGCATGTACAGAAGTAGGTGTACATGAAGGATATGATATATTTCACTGAGGCAAATTGTTATCTCAGCAATGACAATGGTTGATTGGCCAGTAGAAAATGCATAACTATGTTGTATGTTCAGGTGAGGGTAGGCAAGGGGTTGTTACGTGTGAAGGAAGGGGCCCCTCCACTTATCTCCTCCTTGACCTCCTTTCTACTTTGGCCTCACAATTAGCTCTTTTCCCCACAATTAAAAATGCATCTCTTCTGCTACAACATATGCACTTATGTGAAAATTGAACAATAATGACCTGAGACTTGGTTCTCAACCCTGATTGGATAGATTTGATACCATTAACCTATGGAGTTGAAATGTTAGCTATGAATAACAGTTGTTTGTGGGACACAAGTTGTTCATACTCATTTTATTACGGGGTGTCCAATTTACTGAAAATTGATGTAGCATGTTGATTTGGAACACGTCTGATATTTGTAGATCCATAGAAATGTTATTTACTAGAGATATTTGGAGTCTTTTGCAAACAGCATAATCAAAGGCATAGCCAGCCTATAGGCCGGCAGGCCAGGCTTTCATTTTTCTGTCTGCTTGCTTGACTTTTGTAATTTGACTCTTTCAAATATTGAGACAAAAATTGAACTTTCTCAGAAACTGGCCTACAATGTACAAGTTAAAAAGCTGGCTACACCCTTTATAACTGTGTAAGGGAGAATGGTTTTAATTTTATTTCCATTAGAGAAGAAAAGAATTAATGCAGGTTGTTTTATGAAGGAAGCCCAAGTAAAAATTTAAGCATATTGAGCTTTTTCCAATGGCGAGCAGCAAATTTTAACCCTTTAACTCCCAGAAGTTATTAACATGTAACTTCTCCTTATAAAATCCATTTATCATCTAGCAAAGAGGTAACAAGAATACTTAAACTTATCAGGCAGCTGTTATTTTCTTGATTTAACACCAAATTCTTGTCACTTATTTAAAAGGAAATGTGTAGCAGCTAGAGGGGAGAATTAACAATAGGATCTTGGGAGTGAAAGGGTTAAGTGCTGACACATAGGAAACTGAGGCTCCTCTACAAGATCCTTTAATTTTGTCATTTCTCACTCATTTTTAAAACTTCCTTAAAACTTCCTTTCCCCCAAACAGTTAACTTCAACAGAAAGGTTTGATAGATAAAACTCAATGTTGTATTTAGGCTGGGAAGCAGGGGTGGAAGGGGAAAAGGAATTCCACTTCAACCAGATAAGAAAAAAAAAATGTGAGTTAACCCTTTAACTCCCATAAGTGACCAAGACAGAATTTCTCCACAATATCAATACAATATCAAGCAGACGAGTGATGAGAATAAAGACAAATGTTAATTAGGGGATGATTGTACATCCAATACCAAATTCCCCAAACTAATATCACAAGAACTATATGACAGACAGTAAGGAGAATTGCTAATGAGATCTTGGAGAGTTAAAGGGTTAAGACTTTTAAAACTCAATGTTGACCATGACGTTCATAATTTCTGGAATAACATAATTTTAAAAAAAACCCATGGAATTTCACTGTTTGTTAAATTATACATTTAACAATTGGTTCATACGTCAGCGTGCGTTCATCGAGATATGAAGCACGCGGGAAGTTTGGAGAGCACGAAAGATGCGTAAGAGTTGCTCAAAGCGTAGCTTCTAGCTTCTTGAGTGCTCTCTAAACTTCCTAAGTGCTTCATGTCTCGATGAACGCACAGCTGACGTGTGAACCAATTGTTTTATAACATTTTCAACCCGATGGAAAATTTTTTTCTCGAGGGATCTGTTTTCTGACGTCATGAGCGTGCACTATAGGGATATGAAGCACGCTCGCGCAATTGAATTTGATCGGACAAATTTACTAGCTATGTTATAATATTTGATGATACCATTCAATATTGATTACTTTTAAAAGATACATGTATATTACTACGTATGTAACTATCTTGTATAGCTACTTTTTGATATTTTTCACGTCTCAGCGGATTGTTAATATTGTTCAAAGATATAAGTTAATTGGAGTTAAACTAAATGATGAGTTCAAGTGATAATCCAGTCAATATGAGAAATTGAAAAATGAGAGGGTTCCAAGTTCACCATTCGTGATTTAACTTACAATATGCCATCAAGTAAAGTCTGTACCCGAGCCTGTTGGCCCACCAGGCCGGAGGTAATCCTGGTTTCCACCTAGCATGTTTGGTGGATGGTTAGAAGAGGCCCAGTATTTGTAGTTTAGCCCCAAATTTATTGGTCTTCTCCCTCGAAACGATGTACCTCGGAACGCATATTTTTTACCATGCGTTTTCTTTTTTCTGAGTGAAATTAAAGAAGTGCGACAGTGTGTTCCACCAATTTTATTTTAGATGGCATAGTGTTTATCGTAAGTCTGGTGACCCGCCTAAAAAGTCATTCTAGCAGTTTTGTTTTTTCTTCTTTTTCGTTCTTCTTGAGGCAAAAAAATACGGCTTGGTTGACGACAAACAGGACTAATAATACAGCTTCACCTGATGCAAACAACCGGAATGCCTCTACGGCGCCAAATGCATCGATGAAAAAGCCGCACAAGGCAGTTCCAATGCCGCAACCCACGCCGAGAAACAAAGAGTTAACCCCTCCTACGGAGATAAAGAAATACCATTAGTGTCGGTTCAAAAATAAACTGTGTAGGGCCAAACATTATTTATTAGTCAGCTAATTTGCATAAAAAATTTTTGCGGCGCGAAGCCTGTCGGGGTAACAGAGGATTCTGGGATTTTCAGGGGGAACGAAGAGGGGATCAATCGTTGCCAACAAAGTTTAAAATTTGGCTTTCTTTTTCGCCGAACAAAGAGTGTAAAGACAAAGTCTTCATTTTTCTAACTGTGGGGCTTTAACTCATTCGTTTCCAAGCCCCTGTTAACCTTTCTGAACAAGACATTGGGAACCTGGTACGTAAGGTTGAATCCTCTCTTTTTCTCACCTTGCACTGTATCCATCAGATGACTGGGTGTTACTTCACCAAAGTAACTGATCAGGCCTGTAAAACCAGTTACATAAGCGGTGTAGCCAATAGTCTCAAAGAGAAGCATGAGCCATGGGTTTTTCATGAGAGACATTCCCACAAACCAAATGAAGAACAGCATCATGGAGAACACAGTGATTCCAGAGTAACCAGTCTTCTTCACACACATGCCTGTCAAGCCCAGGAACACCACACTTACCGCAGAGCTAGTCAGCCGAGAGAAACCAAACACCAGCGTGGCGATGGTAACGTCTAAGGTCTTGGTGTACCAGAACCCAAACGTTAGCACAACTCCATCAAAACAGCCAATCAAGAACGTCATGACGATCAAGACGCAATTTTGATATCGAGAGAAGAACTCAAATAAAGTCAAAGGCTTTCCGTTACCATTTCCTTCGGTGTTGTCGCTGTGCTTGATCGTTTGATCTCCCAGCTGCGTTACAGATACTAACGAAGCCATAGCCATGACAGAAATGACAGCGAAGACAATAGCAAAGTTGTCCTGATACTCGCCACAAATCACATAATGGTAATGAGTGACAAATACAGCTGTGATGGGAGCAGCAATCATGTGCCCAATTGGACCCCAGAGACGAATCTTGCCAAAATCGCGGCTATTTTCCCCGAGGTAGTCCACAATTTCAGAATTAGCCAGACTAAATGCAGGAGACGCGAGGAGTTCCCCAACGAATACAATAAACACAAATATGAGAAATATGGTGTTGATGTCTTGCGGGTTTTTTTCTAAGATAAGGACATGATCGCCAACCAGAGATGCTTGTCTTGAAGTGCGCCTCTTTATCGGTGGTAGAGAACGTCTTGTGCTAAATTGTTCCAGGAATTCAGGGGTTTTTTCTACCTCACGGAAAAGCGATTGCATATCGTGGGTTCGGTTACGATGATTCGTATTCTCGTTCGCTTTACTCTCGACATGAGACTTGATCCACTCGTCGTTAGGATGGAAGGAATTTTTGCCCTCCTGTGGAGTGATTATGCGACGCTTGTTTTCCTCCAGGCTCTTTCCCGATTCCACCAAGCACTTATCGTGCGTTCTTCTTGGAATCAACGACACTAGTGGCGTAATAGCCGTGGATAGAATGCTCATCATCAGCAACGCACGGCGAATCTTCCACTTACTTGCCATTTTTCCAAAGATGACCCCGCCGAGGGAGTATGCCACGCCCCAAACGGCTCGTAAAATGCCGATCTGAGTCGGAGACAAGCCAAGCTGTTGCCAGTAGACTGGCATAAAGAACATTTTAAAGCTAAAGCATGTCTCGAAGAAGAAGTAAAACGAACTTAATGCAATCCTACTTCTGTGCTGCAAACAAAATTCCGAGATGCAATTTGGCTTTTTTCCGGGTTCTTGTGAAGGGGTACTTGACATTTTTCTTTCTCTCTTTGCTAAATGCCTGAGACATAGTAAAAAAAAACAAACAAGCAACTTAAACAATGCTTGTCAATTTTGAAGCAGATGGCCATTCTATGACTGAGCTGTAACTTGGGAAGGTCAATCAACAGTCATTTTCGTACATTTAGCTTATCCAAAAGAGCTTTTTAAAAAAAACGTTTAGTTTGCGAAGTTTAGCTAAATGTGTTACGTTTTCATTATTGTTGTTATGTTCGTATTAGTCGCGATTAAAGAATGGGGCGAGAGAATCTGCTACTGCTGCAAGTGTCAATGTAGAGCACGGCTGTTCCAAGACAAAACTGAGGATCGTCGGTAACAGCAACAAACTGACTTATTTCCACGTAGTTGAGTTCTCGACTTTACAGCACTAAGCTTCTTCACAATTCTCTGTTTTTTTTATGAAACTATCGCTCTTATATACATAAAGTCCAAGGATCTAGAAACTTCTCTAAGGAGCTAAATTTAGTAGATTAACACGGTTTCTAAATCTGAATAATTACATAAGTGATAGAACGTTCCAGAATGTTCTTATACAAGAAGGTCACGGCTGGATGACTTCAGATTCTAGATTTTTCTATAGAATGTTCTAAGACTTGACTTAGGCAATTTCTCGTAACAGCTATGTTCTGGCACTTCGACTTTTATCGACAAACGTTAACACGTAAAGTTTGAGTTTAGGGTTAGTTCGAGCGAATGAGTGTTCGAGTAAGCTGATAGTAAATGACTGGAGGAGTGGCGTAAAATCCACGGGAAATCGGATCTTGTTTGCGCGGTGTTCAAGTTAGCGGGGTTCCACTGTGTTCTACATTCAGATCTACCACGAGTTGTAAGAAAAACAATCGGCATCCATCATACAAAACGTCGCACAATGAATAACAAGCGATAATGAGGAGTTTCCGTACATTTGACTTGTATATGCTTAAAATGTTTTATGCTTTCGTGATATGTGATTATTGTTAATCACTGGTACTTAAATTGCTCCAAAAATAGACATTGTTTTGTCTTCTAAGAGGTGTCCGCCAGTTTCTCTTTGAATACATTAACTATGTGACCTAAACTGATTGAAAAGACTTACCGTCTAAAATGTCTTCGCTTCGATTTCGCTTATCAAACTTTTTTCTTCCCACGTTTAGGAAACTAATCATTTTTACGATTCGATCTAATCTCTATTGAGCGTAGAGCTGAACACCCGCGGCTAGGTTCAAAGATCATGATTTTCAAATGCCCCACTTGAAAATCATAATCTTTGAACCTAAACAGGTTTGTAAAATTGCCACTTGCCAAAAACGTCGAATATATAGAACTGCCTTTGAACGTTTCTTTCAATCAAAAATAATGAAGTGGGCAACATTCAACTGATTATAAATTCAGTGCGGGAGATCAGAAGAATAAGTTTTGTACACCTTTAATCACCTTACAGAAAGAGGTGTTGAACGTGCTAAATTCAAAATTAAGAGTCATCGGAAGTTCGACATGAAAGTAAACGAAAAATGAGCCTTAATTTCATTCAGTTCATGTTAAATTCGTGACAGGAGAATATGCCATAATCATAATAATATTGATAATCGCAAACAGCTTGATACAAACTTTTGTTAAGGATCTTACGCTGTGAATATATATTAAACGTCCCTAAAGAACTAAGTTCAACGTGCATTTGATTTTCTAGTTGAAATTCGTTAACTCCGGTCACAATTTGGCTTAAAACGCAGTATAAAAAACAGTGGTCACAGCTTCGATTGTCATTCTGATCCTCAAAAACAGTCTTGTTGTGTTCTACACATGCATCGCGATTGTAAGACCTTAAGAGCCGTGCATTGCTAAAATCAGCCACCGCATATTCTGGACGATAGTTTTTCAAACAAGAGAAATGACGTCTATTTGACTAACATAAGGGAAATTCTCATCTCAACCTGTTATTCTTAAAACTAATAACTTCGTGACTTGATTAAATGGGTCGTCTACAACGGTAAACATCTCAAATACAAGGGCTCCTGGTTACACTGAGAATGAAACTCACCTTGGCACTTACAGAGTTATTACTTTAGAACGTAAGGATGAAAAACGTCGCTAACCGGCTGAGTGATTCGGGAAAAAACGTGCTTATTATACTTGCAAAGCACTCAAAAGAAAGTAGTACGTGTACGTCGTATCAAATTAGATTTTGAAATGCCTCAGGAAGTTTGTTGCTATATAGAGCGATGAGCTCATTTGTCTTGTGGGAGGGGGAAGGACGTCCCAGCATGTGCCAATTGTGTTACAAAATGATACCTCTTTGTGTCGAACTTAGACAAATATTAATGTGTATGGTCGTATTTAATTTTTAGAGGCTCTTGCTGGAACATTTGGTGCTATTAGCTGTGCGAGACGCTTTGACAACATCTGGAAAGCAATTATTAATGGGCTGACACATACCACAGTAGAGGAAGTTCGTTGCCTCCCTACGCGCCAGAGGGCGTACAGGGGCGTGAGTGGGAAAATGAATTCAGTCCTCAAACACACGTTTCACCGCTTGGTCTTTCTATTGCAGCTCCATCGCTCAAGAATCTTTCAATACCTGAAGCTAGTTGGTATTTCAAATTGGCCATCGACACACTCTGGTCGGCCAACAATTTAGGTTGAAATAAAGATCTTCTCGATTATAAGGGTAAAAGAAAAATTATAACATAGCTAGTAAATTTGTCTAATCAAATTCAACTACGCAAGCGTGCTTCATATTCCTATTGTGCACGCTCACGACGTCAGCAAACAAATCCCTCGCGAAAAAAAATTTTCCATCGGGTTGAAAATGTTATAAAACCATTGGTTCATACATCAGCTGTGCCTTCATCGAGATATGAAGCACTTGGGAAGTTTGGAGAGCACTTGCTCTCGGCTACGCCTCGAGCAACTCTTACGCATCTTTCATGCTCTCCAAACTTCCAGCGTGCTTCATATCTCGAGTACCGCACGCTGACGTATGAACCAATTGTTAATTGTTTCCTTGGGGCGCTGTAGGAGGTCTTCGTGTGAAATTCGAGGTGGTTCGTCTTCAGTCGCTCATCCCCAACGGGCCTTTAAAATTCGAGCCTGAATCCAAGTTTTTAGCTTTTTAAGCTTCAAGAACTCAAGAAACAGATGAATTGTTGAAAATGAATGGGCGCAGTGGATAAATTTTCACATGCCTTGCAAATACTGTTTACATGCCTTCCACATAGCAAATTTTACATGCATATTAAGTTTTCATATGCATATAATCAGTCACCCCGTTTGCTGGAAGCTAGTTTTCAAAATGTAGATAAATGAACGACAAAAGGGAACTCTGATCTCAAAGGATTATTTTAGAATTGGTCAATTCTGGACTTAAAATTCATGGGTTTATCATGACGGTCGGCCGCTTAGGTACGAGGGCTCCTTGTTACAGAACTAAGCTTACCTTGGAATTTTCAAAGTTATTTCTAGAGAATATACGGATGAATTTTATTAATATGACGAGGCACCTGCTGCGGGAATGTGTACAGAACATATCGAGAACTTGCATTGGAGAGTCGGCCAAAAATGCGGTGATTATCATTTAAAAACATTTGAAGGAAAGTGGTACGTGTCGTTAGTATTAATTTTTTCAGATGCAGTAGGAGTTTAAGTTGGCGTAATGTTAACGTAAAGCTGCTACAAAGTTCTGCTCACGCAGCTTTACGCCACATTTGCATTATGTAAAGGCAAGCTTTACGTAGTTTTTACACTTTGACGTAAAACTAGAGTAATGAGACTTCCATAAGATGTGTAAAGCGAGTGTAAAGTAGAGATTTACGCTAGCTTTACCTGTAAGCGTAAATGTAGAGTATAAGCGTCTTTAAGCCAACTTTACGCTTGCCGTAGAGTCAACTTTATTCTTGAGTGTAAGGGAGCTGTATAAATTGCTCATATATCGTGAAAACTCAAATCCTATGGTGCAGAGACTAAACATTCAGCTTTACTTTATACGACTTAAGGAAAACATAAAAGCAAAGCTGATTACCCGGTTGCCCACTTTTAAAGTGTGATTAAAAAGTTGTTTGTCAATCCATCAAACAGTCTAACTGCTGTGTTCACAATTTTGTATATTTGCCATAAAAACATGCTCTCATGCATGCATGTAAATAATTTAACATTTGATCATTTCTTAAGGATAACATTTAAGATATTATTTGTAATCTTTGTTGTACTTGAAAGAAAACTACAGAAAATGAAAACCTTGTTCTAATAATATCAATTTATACAATAAATGAGAGGGAAATAAGTTAAAAAATCTGAAAACATTGTATTTATATAATTTGAAATATGACAACTTGGAACCAATTGAAAACAATAAGATAACTGAAACATTGAAAATTAAACCTTTGTTCTGACATCAGCAGTGAAGATGTGTGTACATGTACAATTGAAATTTTTGCTCTAATCCTACTTGAAATGTTGTTAACAGAAAAAAAAACTAAAACCTTGTTCTAATATTTCTACCTAAAGAAAGCGTAATCAAGAAGTTATCTCTATAACATTGTTCCAGTATCACTTAAAAACTGCATTAACATTATCATTGGAAATTGAAAATCACTACAGAAATTAGTGTTACAGAAAATTGAACACTTTGTTCCGACAAAATATATGTAGGCAAACCTGTGATGAAGCAATACAACTGCCTGAGAAACTCAACCACATTTATAACTGTTCTAGAATACATAGGCGGTCATCGAGAGCAAAACTATGAAAAGGTGATTTTCGTAGTGATTTTCCACACAAGTTGCGGTTGCCAGAGTGATGGGAGTAACAACTGCCTCTCTAGGTGACTGCCCATTCCAGGCCTTTAACGGGCCAGCATCGTGTTGATGGCCTTGCATGGGCGTGTCTTGTCACCAGATTCACCCTTGTTCTTGGATGAAGGCTCCTGATGTAAACATCATCAAGGGCTTTCTTGACCTGTGACTGTCTTGACCTTTTCACCGGTGACTTTTTCACATGATACCCGGTAGGGTGCGTTTCTCCATTTCCATCCTCAGAAAAGTCACTCACCCGAGCTAGTGTAGGTTGCAAAGCATGTTTCTGAGGGATGCGAGTCTCAACCGAGTTTTCAAGGCAATCATGCTGAGAAAGAACACAAAAGTTAGCAATTGTCCTATCAAACTAGAGATACACGCAAACTTTAAATTGAACGTAAATCTGGCTCTTCAGCTTTAAGTTACCTTGACGTAAGCTCTACGTCCAATGACGTTAATCTACCTTAACGCGCCTTAACGAGCATTAGAAAACTGATTAAAGCCCAACGAACTTTACGCAACTTCAATTACCGTAAATCTCTTTTTTATAATTGGCTATCTTATTCGCAGTCTCATGATTCTTGTGTTAATAGAAAAAACTCTTAAGCTCATTTACCCCGTGGGTGGAGTGGTTTTGACTCAGTGTCGTAAAACCATAGCCTGAGTAACCGCAAAGTAACAATCAAATTAAAGAGAATCCCAAAAAGTGCACGAGATACATATTGGGAACAATCGAATGACACTAACGTAACAATCCAGTGAACATAAAATGTGCGTGGTACTAACGTAACAATTTTGTGAACGACAGTCCTAAAATGCGCGTTTAATGACATAACTTTCCAATAAAAGAGAATCCCAAAAGTACACGAGATGCTGAAGTAACAAGGGAATGTAACTCAATCCTAAAATGTGTGTGAGCATTGCGTCACTTTCAAATGAAGGAGTATCCTTAGGATGCACGAGATACTAACACAACAATTCAATAAAAGAGAATCCCTAAGTTCGCGAGATATTTACATGATAATCCAGTTAAAGAAAATCCTTACATCATACCCTGATCATACTGTGCAACTGAAATGTTACCACCTCCGCGTACCCAGAACGGAAGTTCTGGGTACGAGACTCCTAGAGAATCCTAAGGTTTACGTGTTACTAACATAAAGAGCCGATGAAAGAGAATCGCAAATGTGCGCAAGATACTAACATAACATTTATTGCTCATAATAAAAAAACAGGAAAACTAAATGTTAATTGTAACTCATAGAAATATATCTTCCTAGTAGTATCAACCGTCGATGGCCTTGAAAATGAACAGTCCTTGGTTCAAAACAAACTTGAACACCTTTCTAAGATGACGCTTGGTGAAGCATACACCACAATAATAGAGCCAGTCGCTTAGGATAACCCGGATGTGTGGCGACCGCGGTGGTTTGGCGCGCGTTTGAATGGAGTGTCGATGATTCCCGCCATTGTTGTTAAATTTATCATGGCTGTGGGTGAGAATTTCAACAATTTCTCAACTTCCTTTGTTCCGTGATGGGTTAAAAGTCACTCAAAAGGTTCTTTGGTTATTTCTACGCCTTGTGTGGCAAATGCAAGCTTTTGTTTTGTGTTGAAGGCTTTGTCTCGATAGCATGGATACAAGCGTGCCTATCGCAACACAAGCTGGCATCACGAGCCTCAGCGATCGTAAGTTTTTTTTTTAATTTTAATCGCAGAAATAATCTATTTTACGGCTCTTTTTTCAATGAATAACATAAGAATTCAAGTGATATAACTGAATCAAGGGAACATTGAATTCAATTCAGTGTTTATTCAACATTCAATTTCTTTTTGACATGAGGCGCAGTCTGCTCGATGTTGCAGTACTTGACGGTGAGTATTATTTTCCCTTATGCCCAGTTAACCCTTTACACCCTAACATCAATATGCATATTCTCCATACTGTTCTTTATACATTTCTTAAGGTGCTGACAAGGAGAATTTGTTTTCCAATCAAAAGGCTCCTCCCTGGTGACCATTTTCTTTTTTCTCATGACCTTAATGTGTGAATCAGGAGTAATATTGTGGGGAGAAATTAGATGCTAGTCACTCTTAGGGTTCAAAGGATTAAATACAAAGCAGCAGTACCCAGGTGTTCGTTTTATATTCACTCTTTACATCTTAACATTAGTATGCATATTCTCTTTACTGTTTTCCATATATTCCTTAAGGTGTTGACTTGGAGAATTTGTTTACCAATCAAGAGCTTCCTTAGTTAGTTGGTGATCATTTCCTTTATCCTTGTGACCTTATTGTGTGATTCAAGGGTGACATTGTGAGGAGAAATTAGATGCTGGTCAAAGAGGGGTTGGCTATCAGTCAGAGGACATAGATAGGGTAGCATGAAAACTGGATTATTTTCATTACTGTGACTTGTTGCACAAGTTCAAAGCTCAAACCAACTCACTTTGTTGTTGATGGGTAAGAAAAAAAAGTGTGAGTTAACCATTTAACTCTCATATGTGACCAAGACTGAATTTCTCCTTACAATAGCAAGCAGATGAGTGATGAGAATAAAGAAAAATGTTAACTAGAGAGTTATTAGTTGATCCACTACCAAATTCTCCAAACTAATATCATAAGAACTATAGAACAAACAGTATGGGGAATTGCTAGTGAGAACTTGGGAGTTAAAGGGTTAAGACTTTTACTATTCAATTTTTGTCTGTGAAATTCATAATTTCTGTAATTTCAGAATTTGAAAAAAAATGGAAATTCACTGTTAAATTATGCATTATCAGATGATACCATACAATATTACTTACTTTTAAAAGATACCTGTATATTACTACGTATGTGACTACCTTGTCTAGCTAGCTTTTAAAATTTTCCACATCTCAGCAGATTGTTAATAATGTTCAAAGATATAATTTAATAGGAGTTAAATTAAATGATTAGTTCAAGTGATAATCCGGTCAAAATGAGAAATTGAAAAACGAGTGGGTTCCCCGTTCACCATTCGTGATTTAACTTACAATATGCCATCAAGTAAAGTCTGTACCCGAGCCTGTTGGCCCACCAGGCCGGAGTTAATCCTGGTTTCCACGTAGCATGTTTGGTGGATGGTTAGAAGAGGCCCGGTAGTCTTTAGTTTAGCCCCAAAACTATCGGTCTTCTCCCTCGAAACGATATACCTCAGAACGCATATTTTTCATCGAGCGTTTTCTTCTTTCTGAGTGAAATCATGATTAAAGAAGTGAGACAGCGTGGTCCACCAATTTTAGTTTAGATGGCGTAGTGTTTACTGTAAGTCCTGTGAGCCGCAGAAAAAGTTATTCCAACAGCTTTCTTTTTTCTTCTTTTTCGTTCTTCTTGAGGCAAAAATATGTAACTTGGTTGACGACAAACAGCACTAATAGTACAGCTTCACCTGAAGCAAAAACCCGGAATGCCCCTTCGGCGCCAAATGCATCGATGAAAAAGCCACACATGGCAGTTCCAATGCCGCAACCCACGCCGAAAAACAAAGAGTTAACTCCTCCTACAGAGATAAAGAAATGCCTTTAGTGTAAGTTTAAACATTATTTATTAGCCGGCTAATCTGCATAACATTTTCTTCCGGAGCAAAGCTCGTCGGAGTGACAGAGGTTTCTGGGATTTTCAGGGGGGCGCATGGGACAACAATCGTCGCCAACAAAGTATGAAATTTGGCTTTCTTTTTTGCCGAAAAAAGAGTGTAAAGACAAGGTCAGTAGGGTTTTAGCTTATTTGTTTACAAGTCCCTGCTCCCCTTCCTGAACAAGATCGTGGGAACCTGGTAACGAGGTTGAATCCTCTTTTGTTCTCACCTTGCACTGTGTCCATCAGATGACTGGGTGTTACTTCACCAAAGTAACTGATCAGGCCTGTAAAACCAGTTACATAAGCGGTGTAGCCAATAGTCTCGTAGAGAAGCATGAGCCATGGGTTTTTCATGAGAGACATTCCCACCAACCAAATGAAAAACAGCATCATGGAGAACACAGTGATTCCAGAGTAACCAGTCTTCTTCACACACATGCCTGTCAAGCCCAGGAACACCACACTAACCGCAGAGCTAGTCATCCGTGAGAAACCAAACACCAAAGTGGTGATGGTAACGTCTAAGGTCTTGGTGTACCAGAACCCAAACGTTGACACAACTCCATCTAAACAGCCAATCAAGAACGTCATGAAGATGAAGACGAAATTTTGGTATCGAGAGAAGAACTCAAATAAAGTCAAAGGCTTTCCGTTGGCATTTCCTTCGGTGTTGTCGCTGTGCTTGATCGTTTGATCTCCTAGCTGCGTTACAGATATCAACGAAGCCATGGCCATAATAGAAGTGACAGCGAAGACAATAGCAAAGTTGTCTTGATACTCGCCACAAATCACGTAATGGTAATGAGTGACAAATACAGCTGTGGTGGGAGCAGCAATCATGTGCCCAATTGGACCCCAGAGACGGATCTTGCAAAAATCGAGGCCATTTTCCCCGAGGTAGTCCACAATTTCAGAATTAGCCAAACTAAATGCTGGAGAAGCGAGGAGTTCCCCAACGAACACAATAAACAAAAATATGAAAAATATGGTGTTGATGTCTTGCGGGTTTTTTTCTAAGATAAGGACATGATCGTCAACCAGAGGTGTCTTCCTGGGAGTGCGCCTCTTTATCGGTGGTAGAGAACGTCTTGAGGTAAAATGTTCCAGGATTTCAGAGTTTCTCTCCTCCTGACGGAAAAGGGATTGCAAAGCGTGGGTTTGGGTTCGATGATTCGCATTCTCGCTCGCTTTACTCTCGACGTGAGACTTGATCCACTCAATGTGAGGATGGAAGGATTTTTGCCCTCTTGTGGAGTGATAATGCGACTCTTGTTTTCATCCAGGTTCTTTCCCGATTCCACCAAGCACTTATCGTGTGTTCTTCTTGGAATTAATGACACCAGTGGTATAATAGCCGTGGATAGAATGCTCATCATCAGCAACGCACGTCGAATCTTCCACTTACTTGCTATTTTTCCAAAGATGACCCCGCCGAGGGAGTATGCCACGCCCCAAACGGCTCGTAAGATGCCGATCTGAGTCGGAGACAAGCCAAGCTGTTGCCAGTAGACTGGCATTAAGTATAATTTAAAGCTAAAGCATGTCTCGAAGAAGAAGTAAAACGAACTTAATGCAATCCTAGTTCTGTGCTGCGAACAAAATTCAGAAATGCAATTTGACTTTTTCCCGGGTTCTTGTGAAGGAGTACTTGACATTTTTCTTTCTCTCTTTGCTAAATGCCTGAGACAAAGTAAAAACAAACAAATAAGGAAGTTAGACAATGCTTGTCAACGTTGAAACAGATGGCCATTCTTCCAACTTCTCTGGTTGGACTTTCCACGTTAAGTCTACAAAATTCCCTCGTATGAATGAATAAATCACTTTATTTCATTAAAATGAAATAATCAGCTTGGCAGTTGTGCAATCAAAACAAAATGTAGTGCAAACGGTATATGAAAACTATGAAAACATGTACAATGAGTATAATTATTAATAACAGGTTAAAACTCTGAAAATATGTTCAGTTATTATCCATGAGTTTGATAACGGTTAAGGTGTGATGAAATATATTTTGCAATTGCTGAGTTTAATTAGAAGACCAGGTTGAATTTGTTTGAGTTATAAGCCGCTGATTTCTTTCTCATTTGACTGTTTTGTATCGTTACCCCAGGCCTCTGACCACGTCTAACAACGAACGCTTTACGTGGTGTAAAAGGAGAGAATGGGTACCAAATAGGTTATGAAAATAAGACGAAAATTCCTCTAACAAGTTAATTGGTTTTGCGGAATTTTCGAACACTCCTTGTTAAGTTAATACTTTCTTTATATCCTTTCTTAAAAACGCAATACAACGTGCTAGCTCATCTCTCTAGGAAAGTGTTGGTCTTCAGCTTATAAAGGTGACAGTTATAACCAGCTGTCAATATTGACCAACGTCACTATTTCTCACTTAATTAGCCTGCGAATCATGTTGAATTACGTAACAGTTTACTAAGTACGTACCTACGGTTTCTTGTTTCTCTCCAAAACGACTTTCTGCATAAAATTTCATACTTTTGCGGGTAATATCGGCCGAAACAAAAACAAGATTGATGATATAAACGTTATAAAGGACCCACTGCGTAGATCAGAATAATACTTGAAAAAATAACTAAAGAGAAAATAGCCCTTGAAATTTGCCACCTAACAACAGAACATAAGGAGAGTTCAAGGAAGAAAGGGCGTACCCAAGGTACCGCCCCCAAAAGAACAACCTGCTGTTCAGGTAAGTCAACTGATTATAAATTCAGTGCAGTGGATCAAAAAACAAGTTGTTTACACATTTAATCACCATACAGAAAGAAGTGTTGAACGTGCTCAATTGAAAATTAAGAATTATTTTCTTGATCGGGAGTTGGAATTCAAATCAATCTAAAAACAAGCCTTCATTGCATGCTTTCATGCTAAATTTGTGATAGGAGAAAACGCCATAAACAAAATAATATTGATAATCGCTAACAGCTTGCTACAAACTTTTGTTAAGGATCTTACGCCGTGAAAATACATCAAGCGTCCCTAAAGAACTAAGTTCGACACGTATTTGATTTCTAGTTGAGATTCGTTAACTCCGATCAAAATTTGACTTAAAACGCAGTATGGAAAACAGTGGTCACAGTAATCCGTGTACCTTAGTGCCAACCGATTTTCAATTGAATGGGAAAATGAAACACAAATTTTATTTTCATTTTTCGTTTTTCTTTGCAGCAAAAAAACGAAATAATAATTGGACTTCCATGTTCGTTTTTCGTATTTTCCCAGCCGGGAAGGAAACGGAATTCGAATTCACTTTATGCTCTCCGTTTTCTTTTTTGTAACTTTTGAAAAAACGGATTTTAATTTTCTTTTTTGTTTTTCGTTTTCGTATGGAATTTGGAAAACGGATCACAAGTCGTTTTTCGTTTTTCGTTTTCGGCCAATGGTAGTGAAACTGACAATCTTTGTTTGAGCGGGAATATTTAAGAAACTAAGATGGCGGCGCTAGAAAATGTCTTAAATAAAGACTTTGTCCGGCGGTTTCTCATCGAACAGGAACATACTTACGAGGAGCTTGTCACTGAAATCAAGGCTCGATATCCGAATCTAAAGGGTTGTAGTTTACGAAGCGTTAAAAGGTTTTGTAATCACCAAGGAATAAGGAAAAGAATGCCAGATTCAGATGAAGCGCTTAAGTTAAGTGCCGCTCTCGCCAAGAGCGCTCCTCTCGACTTCCCGTCGGAAAAAAGTTTTCTTTTATTTTTTGCCCATGAAAAGGGTTTAGGACACATGTTTCAAAGATAGTTTAGTTGTTCTCCAATTTTTTTTTTTTTGTGTCGCCACAAGCCAAAAATAATTTTTGGCTAGACCACCCGTGTGGACAGCGATCGAAAGTGTAAATTTCAGAGATTTTTTCCAGCGCGCAGCGACTGCTATGATATAGCCCACGGAATTCTATCTTACTACAAATTACAAGGTGCCTTCATTTAGTTCACAGACAAAATATGGAAACTTCAGCTGAAATATTTTTCATACAAGTGTGATCAGAGGAGAGCCATCCCTTCGACCGTAATTTGCATATCAAAATTCACCAATTTGAACGAAAGGGCCACAAGCCAAAAATGATTTTTGGCTTGTGGCGACTCAAAAAAGAGAATTGGAGAGCAACCAAACTATCTTTGAAACATGTGTCCTTAACCCTTTTCATGGGCAAAAAATAAAAGAAAACGTTTTTCCGACGTGAAGTCGAGAGGAGCGCTCTTAGCGAAAGTGCTTCATCTAAAACTGGCATTCTTTTCTTTATTCCTTGGTGATTACAAAATCTTTTAACGCTTCGTAAACTACAGCCCTTTAGATTCGGATGTCGAGCCTTAAATTCAGTGACAAGCTCCTCGTAAGTATGTTTCTGTTCGATAAGAAACCGCCGGACAAAGTCTTTATCTAAGACGTTTTCTAACGCCGCTGGATAAAACGTCTAGGACGAATTTCATTTACCAGACGAATTTAATTCGTTTTAGACGTCGTGCTCATCAAATTTAATTGCTTGTGGGACCTTGAATTAAATTCGACAGTAGGGCGGCGTATAAACTAGGCCTTAATTTCCTAATTATTCCCGCTTAAACAAAGATTGTCAGTTTCAATGCAATAAACCGAAGACAAAACACTAAAAACGAAACGTAATCCGTTTTCACAATTCCATACGAAAACGAACAACGAAAACCAAAAGAAAATTAAAATCCGTTTTTTTTTTTTTGAGCTACAGAAAAAGAAAAACGGAGAGCATTAAGTGAATTCGAATTCCGTTTCCTTTCCGACGGGGAAAAATGAAAAACGAAAATAAAACTCCAATTTGGTTTTTTTGCTGCGAAGAAAAACGAAAATAAAATTTGAGTTTCATTTTCCTATACGACTGAAAATCAGTTGGCACTAAGGTACACGGATTGAAGTCCAATTTCGTTACTTTGCTGCAAAGAAAAACGAGAAACGAAAATAAACTTTGTGTTTCCTTTTTCCTATATAATTGAAAATCGGTTGGCACTAAGGTACACGAATTCAGTTTCGATCGTCAACAGTGTTGTTGTGTTCTACACATGCATCGCGACTGTAAGCCCTTAAGAGCCTTACAATGCCAAAATCAGTCACCTCATATTCCGGACGCTAGTTTTTTAAACAAGAGATATGACGTCTCTTTGACCATAAGCTAAAACTAATACCTTCATGAGTTTATTAAATGGGTTGTCTATAACGATAAACAGCTTAAATACAAGGGCTCCTGCTTACACAGAGAATGAAACTCACCTTGGCACCCACAGAGTTATTACTTTAGAGCGTAAGGATGAAAAACATCGCCAACTGAGTGAGTCGGGAAAAACGTCCTTTTTATGCTTACAAAGCATTCATAAGCAATGAGCTCATGTGTCTGGGAGGGGGGCCGGGGGGGCGTCCCAGCACGTACCAAGCGTATTACAAAATGATATCTCTTTGTGTTGAACTGAGACAAAATTTTTCCGCGTATGGTCGTATATTTGATTTTTAGAGGTTCTTGCTGGGAAATGTAGTGCTATTAGCTGTGCGATCATGCGAGAGGCTTTAACAACATCTGGAAAGCAATTCTTAACCTTGGTTGACACATACCGCAGTAGAGGAAGGTCGTTGTCCCCCCTACGCGCCAGAAGGCGTACAGTGGCGTGAGTCAGAAAATTAATTCAGTCCTCAAACACGCGCTTCACCGCTTGGTCTTTCTATTGCAGCTCCATCGCTCAAGAATCATTCAATACCTGAAGCTAATTGGTCTATCAAATTAGCCATCGACACATTGGTCGGCCAACAATTTAGGTTGAAATAAAGATCTTCTCGATTATAATGATAAAACGATTAAGAAAAATTGTTCCCTGGGGGCGCTACAGGAGGTCTTCTTGTGAAATTCGTACTGGTTCGTCTTCAGTCGCTCATCGCCATCGGGCCTTTAAAATTAGAGTATGAATCCAAGTTTTAACTTTTTAAGCTTCAAGAACTCAAGAAACAGGTGAATTGTTGAAAATGAATGGGCGCAGTGGATAAATTTTCACACGCCTAGCAAATACTGTTTACTTGCCTTCCATATGGCTAGTTTTACATGCATTTTAAATTTTTATGTGCATGTAATCAGTCACCCCGTTTTTCGGAAGGTAGTTTTCAAAATATAGATAAATTACCTCTCCCTAAACGTCAAAAGGGAACTCTCGTCTCAACGTATTATTCTAAAGTTGGTCATTTCTGGACTTAAATTGCATGGGTTTATCATGACGGTCGGCCGCTTAGGTACGAGGGCTCCTGCTTGCAGAACGAACGTTTCCTTGGAATTTTCAGAGTTACTTCTAGAGAATCTATGGATGAATTTTATTAATAGGGCAAGGCATCCGTTGCGGAAATATGTACAAAATATATCGAGAACCTGGAGAGTCAGATAAAAACACGGTGATTATCTTTTAAAAACACTTGAAGGAAAGTGGTACGTGTCGTTCATATTAATTTTTCAAATGCCGTAGGAGTTAGAGTTGGCGTAATGTTAGCGTAAAGCTTCTACTTAACGCAGCTTTACGCCACATTGACATTATGTAAAGGCAGCTTTACGTAGTCTTCCCGCGCTTTGACGTAAAGCTCGAGTAATGAGACTTCCTTAAGAGGCGTAAAGCTAGTGAAGAGAATAAAGTAGAGATTTACGCCAGCTTTACCTATACGCGTAAATATAAAGGATAAGCGTCTTTAAGCCAAATTTACGCTTGGCATAAAGTCAACTTTGTTCTTGAGTGTAAAGCTTGAGTAATGAGACTTCCTTAAGAGGCGTAAAGCTACTGTAGAGATTAAAGTAGAGATTTAAGCCAGCTTTACCTATGCGCGTAAATATAGAGGATACGCGTCTTTAAGCCAACTTTACGCTTGGCGTAAAGTCAACTTTGTTCTTGCGTGTAAGGGAGCTGTATAAACTGCTCACATATTGTGAAAACTCAAATCCCACTGGTAAAGAAACTAAACATTCAGCTTTACTTTATGTGACTATATGATTATATGATAAAAGCAAAGCTGATTAACTGGTTGCCCACTTTTAAAGTCTGATTAAAAAGTTGTTTGTCAATCCATCAATCAATCAAACTACTGTGTTAACAATCTTGTATATTTGTCATAAAAACGTGCTCTCATCCATGCATGTAAATAATTTAACTTTTGATCATTCCTTAAGGATAACATTTAAGATATTTGTTGTTTGTCGTACTTGAATCATTTTTCTGAAATAAAACCACAGAAAATGAAAACCTCGTTCTAATATTATCAATTTATACAATAAATGAGAGGGAAATAAGTTAAAAAATTTTGAAAACATAGTTCTTGTATAATTTGAAATATGATAACTTGGAACCAATTGAAAACAATAAAATTACTGAAACATTGAAAATTGAAACTTTGTTCTGACATCAGTAGTCAAGATGCGTGTCATGTACAATTGAAAATTTTGTTCTAATCTTACTTGAAATATTGTCAACAGGAAAAACTAAAACCTTGTTCTAATATTTCTATTTAAAGTAAGCGTAATCAAGAAATAATTTTTATAACATTGTTTCAGTATCACTTAACTGCATTAACACTATCATCGGAAATTGAAAATTTGGTTTCATCTTATTACAGAAAAGTTGTGTTGACCGGAAATAACCTTCTGATTAACAACAACTGAATAAATATGAACGAAACTAATCTAAATGTTTATTATACCGTTCAGACTATTCCACGAAATCTCATAAAATTGATGAACTGTTGAAACAGTTCGCGATCGACCACGAGCACTGTCCTTTTTTTGGAGTTAGTATGTTTCTTTTTGGAAGTCTTGGGGGTTAAACTGGCACTTGGCATCGAGGACGGAGATGCAGTTGAAGGCAGTGCACTCGGGGATGGGATCGTCACTACTGGATAATGTGTCCCGTGGGGGGGGGGGAACCAAATATTGTTTTGCGGGTGTCGTTGGACTGATGGGGCAGCTATTGTTGGAGAAGTAGTGCCGGTAGATGGAGTTAGGTTTCGGATAGTAGGGAAATTACGGGTGCCGAGGAATGAGGCGGCCATTGTTGTGGGACTGGTATTTGTCGAAGGATGATGGGCCGGGTGGCGGCTGAGAGTTAAGGGATGGAGTTGTAGTGGGTAACAACTGCCTCTCCAGATGACTGACACGCATACTTTATATTGAACGTAAATCTGACTCTTCAGCCTTGAGCTACCTTGACGCAAGCTTCACATCTGATGACGTTAATCTACCTCAATGCGCCTGTACAAGCATTATACTTGAAAACTGACTTGCTAAATGAACTTTACGCAGATTTACGAAACTTTAATTAACCGTAAATCTCTTTTTCATAATTGGCTGTCTCATTCGCACTCTCTAGATTCTTGTGTTAATAGAAAGAATTCTTAAGCTCATTTACCCCGTGGGTGGAGCGGTTTTGACTCAGTGTCGTAAAACGACAGCTTAAGTAACCGTAAAGTAACAATCAAATTAAATAGAATCCTAAGAAGTGCACGAAATACACACGGAACAATCGAATGAAAAAAATTCTAGAGTGCGCGAGACACTAACGTAACAATCAAATGAAAGTGAATTCCAAAAGTGTGCGAGAAACTAACGTAACAATGAAATGAAAAAAATCCTAGAATTGCACGAGACACTAACGTAACAATCAAATGAAAGTGAATTCCAAAAGTGTGCGAGAAACTAACGTAACAATGAAATGAAAAAAATCCTAGAATTGCACGATAGTCCTAGAATTGTGGGTGGTACTAACGTAACAATCCAATGAAAGACAGTCCTAAAATGCGCGTGATAGTAACATAACTTTTGAATGAAAGATAATAACATAACTTTCGAATGAAAGAGAATCCCAAAAGTGCACGAGATACCAAAGTAACAATGGAATATCACCCTATCCTAAAATATGCGTGATAATTTCGTCACCTTCAAACGAATGAGTATAAGATGCATGAGATACTAACACAACAATTCAATAAAAGAGAATAGATATTACGTGATAATCCAATGAAAGAAAATCCTTATCTCATACCCTGATCATACTGTGCAACTGAAATTTTACCACCTCCGCGTACCCAGAACGGAAGTTCTTGGTACGAGACTAAGAGAATCCTAGGGTGTACGTATTACTAACATAACCAGCCGATGAAAGAGAATCGCATAAGTGCCCAAGATACTAACATAACATTTATTGCTCTTAAAAATTAAAAAAAAAACAGAAAAAGCAAATGTTAATTTTAACTCATAGAAATATATCTTTCTAGTAAATGTCAACCGTCTAAGGCCCTGAAATTCAACTGTCAACCGTCAAAGGCCTTGAAAATGAACAGTCATTGGTTCAAAACCTTTCTTACATGACGCTTGGTGAGGCATATACCACAATAATAGAGTTAGTCATTTAGGATAACCCGGATGCGTGGCGGCCGCGGTGATTTGGCGCGCGTTTGAATGGAGTGTTGAGTATTCCCGCTATTGTCGTTAAATTTATCATGGCTGTGGGTGAGAATTTTTACAACTTGTCAACTTCCTTCTTTCCGTGATGGGTTAAAAGTCATTCAAAAGGTTCTTTGGTTATTTCTTCGCCTTGTGTGGCAAGCTTTTGTTTTGTGTTGAAGGCTTTGTCACGATAGCATGGATACAAGCGTGCCTATCGCTACACTAGCTGGCATCACGAGCTTCACCGATTGTAAGTTTTTTTGGGAATTTTTTTTGCAGAAATTATCTATTTTACTGTTCTTTTTTTTCAATTTGTAACATGATAATTCAAGTGGTATATGTGAGTCAAGGGAACGTTGAAAGAAGATGGACGAATGAGTCGGAAATCTCAAATTTTCGCTTAATTTCTTTTTAACATGAGGCGCATTATGCCCAGTTAACCCTTTACACCCTAACATCAGTATGCATATTCTCCATACTGCTCTCTATACATTTCTTACGGTGCTGACAAGGAGAATTTGTTTTCCAATCATAAGGTTCCTTCCCTGGTGACCATTTCCTTTCTTCACATGACCTTAATGTGTGAATCAGGAGTGATATTGTTGGGAGAAATTAGATGCTAGTCACTCTAAGGGTTTAAAGGATTAAATACGAAGCAACAGTACACAGGTGTTCCTTTTATATTCACTCTTTACACCTTAACATTAGTATGCATATTCTCTATGCTGTTTTTCATACATTTCCTAAGGTGTTGGCTCGGAGAATTTGTTTACCAATCAAGAGCTTCCTTAGTTGGAGATCATTTCCTTTATCCTTGTGACCTTATTGTGTGATTCAAGGGTGACTTTGTAAGGAGAAATTAGATGTTAGTCAAAGAGGGGTTGGCTATCAGTCAGAGGACATACATAGGGTAGTGTGAAAACTGGATTATTTTCATTACTGCAACTTGTTGCATAAGTTCAAAGTTCAAACCAACTAACCTTGTTACCAAGGCTGTTACTTGTGGAAGAGAAAAGGGAAAAGTTACATTAAAAAAATGCAGCATTTTTTTTAATTCCATCTTTTTGTGGAGTGTTAGACAGATAGTCTGAACTTTGTAAAAATTACTTTTAAACTTTTCAAATCCAATTCCCTCATCTTTATTAAACAGCAAACAAAAGGTTTTGACCAATAAAGACAAATGTATATTTGCATGTAGTTGTAGTTTTCACCTTTAATTTTCCTCTTCACATTAGGAAATATGTATGCTGTGGGTGGCTGTGATGAGAGTAACTTCTAACTCAACAGTGTGGAACATTACTACCCATCAACAAACACTTGGTCATTTACAGCACCCATGACCACTTGTTGCAGCAATCTGTGTGTGTCAAGTTGCCGTGTGCTGTATGTGATTGGTGGAGTGAGCTATGTTGGAATGTTGCTTAACACTAGAGAGTATCTTGACCCCATGACAAGCATGGAGCAGTGCTTTCAATAAGATTTGAAGAAGGTGGCTACCTTGGTAAAGCACCTGCTGGAGAATAATGTATGAAACAATTTTCCTCTTGTTATTCCATTACTGCCATTTAGAATAAACTGGCTTCGAACAAAGTTTTCGGGGTTCAACTTCTGTAGATGATTATTAAATATTCCTCTCCTTTGTAATAATTGATTACCTGATTGTTTTATTTCTGATCAAAATCTTCCATATGCTGCCATGCAAGCCTGCTCCCTGAGTTTCAAGCAAAAAATCCTCTGTAAGGACATATGGTTACTGGTTACAGAAATTTGAGTTAGTATGTTCTTAGAAACTCATTCTCTTTTTTGCTGGAAATGTATGAAATGTATGCTGGAATAGATGAAAAGAAAATATTAATCATTTTTAATCAAAACTTGTTTATAAGGAAAGAAGATCTTTAGGTGTTTAAGATCACACTTTGTGAGTTTCCTTGAAAGTTTCTAAAGTATACTTGATGATTCACAAAAGAATACCCATTGGTGCTCCAGCAGGTGCCAGGTCTTATTGAAAGCACTGATGGAGGGCAATTGCCCTTATACATTACAAGCAAGTGAGTGCATCAGGAGCAGCAACAAATGGGAAGATCTATGTCATTGGTAAGCTATGTTTACTTAGTGTCTGCATGTGCAGCTCTTGGTCAGCTGTTAAGCCATTTAATCCTTTAGAGTAATAGGAATCTAATTTCTCCAATAGTATTACCCATAAATCGAATGGTAAGGTTATAAGAATGAAGGAAATGATCACAAACTCAGGAAGCTCTTGATTGTTTGACAAGGTCTCCCTGTAGGTACCACAGGAAATGTATAAAAATGGTGTGGAGAACTTGCATACTGGTGTTAGGATGTGAGGGGTTAGGATTGAAGTATTGTGAGATGTCATTTAAAAATTCATGCAATTCAATGTGATTTCATTTCAATTTTTTAAGGTGGCTGGGATGGTTCTGTTCATCTAAACAGTGGTGAGGTGTATGACCCTGATATAGACCGGTGGTCCATGATTGAACCTGCTAGCACTGCCAGATGGGATGGTGGGATAGCTGTAGAGAGTGACAAAATCTACTTTGTTGGGGGATGTAACAGGAATGCATTTTGCACTTTGGAAATAGAGTGCCATGACCCTGAGAAAGACAATTGGAGTAAGGTAGCATCCCTGCTAGTTGTGATGCATGGAATTCGGTGTTGTACCATTCAGCTTCCGCACGAGGCATGCACAGAAGTAGATATACATGAAGGATATGATATATTCGTTGAGGCGAATTGTTATTTCAGCAATGACAATTTGATTGGCCGGCAGAAAATGAATAATTTTGTTGTATAATCAGGTAAGGGTAGGCAAGTGATTGTTATGTGCTAGAGAAGGGGCCCCTTCACTTTTCTTCTCACTGTCCCTGTCCCTGAAAAGCTGGATATGCCCTTGATAATTGTGTAAGAGAGAATCATTTTTGAATTTAATTTCCATTTGAGAAAAAAAGAAGTAATGCAGATAGTTTTATGGAGGCAGCCCTGGTAAAAATTTAAGCATACTGAGCTTTTTCCAATGGTGAGCAGCAAATTTTAAGTGCTGACACATAAGAAATTAAGGCTCTATAAGATCCTTTAATTTTTTTTTATTCCTCACTTATTTTTAAAACTTCCTTTACCCCAAACAGTTTATTTCAATTGAAAAGTTAGAGAAAACTCAATGTTGTATTTAGGGTGGGAGGCAAGGGTGGTAGGGGGAGGGGAAAATTCCACCTTAACCAGATAAGAAAAAGAAATGCGAGTTAACCCGTTAACGCTCATAAGTGACCAAGACAGAATTTCTCCTCCAATATCAATGCAATATCAAGCAGACTAGTGATGAGAATAAAGAAAAATTTTCATTAGGGAATTATTAGTTTGATCCAATACCAAATTCTCCAAACTAACATCACAAGAACTATATGGCAGACAGTAAGGAGAATTGCTGATGAGATCGTTAAGACTTTTACTACTCAGTGTTGTCTGTGAAGTTCATAATTTTTGGAAAAATAGATTTGGAAAAAAACCATGGAATTTCACTGTTTGTTAAATTATGCATTATTTGATGAATCCATTCGATATTACTTACTTTTAAAAGATACACGTATATCACTAAGTACCTCTCCTGTATAGCTACTTTTTGATATTTTCCACATCTCAGCAGGTTGTTAATATTGTTCAAAGATATAATTTAATAGGAGTTAAATTAAATGATGAGTTTAAGTGATAATCCAGTCCAAATGAAAAATTGAAAAATAAGTGGGTTCCAAGTTCACCATTCGTGATTTAACTTACAATATGCCATCATGTAAAGTCTGTACCCGAGCCTGTTGGCCCACCAGGCCGGAGTTAATCCTGGTTTCCACGTAGCATGTTTGGTGGATGGTTAGAAGAGGCCCGGTAGTCTGTAGTTTAGCTCCAAAACTATCGGTCATCTCCCTCGAAACGATGTACCTCAGAACGCATATTTTTCAGCGAGTGTTTCCTTTTTTTTGAGTGAAATTAAAGAAGTGCGACAGCGTGATCCACCAATTTTATTTTAGATGACATAGTGTTTACTGTAAGTCCTGTGACCGGCATAAAAAGTTATTCCAACAGCTTTCTTTTTTCTTCTTTTTCGTTCTTCTTCAGACAAAAATATGTAACTTGGTTGACGACAAACAGCACTAATAGTACAGCTTCACCTGAAGCAAACACCCGGAATGCCCCTTCGGCGCCAAATGCATCGATGAAAAAGCCACACATGGCAGTTCCAATTCCGCAACCCACGCCGAAAAACAAAGAGTTAACTCCTCCTACAGAGATAAAGAAATGCCTTTAGTGTAGGTTTAAACATTATTTATTAGCCGGCTAATCTGCATAACATTTTCTTCCGGAGCAAAGCTCGTCGGAGTGACAGGTTTCTGGGATTTTCAGGGGGGCGCAGGGGGCAACAATCGTCGCCAACAAAGTATGAAATTTGGCTTTCTTTTTTGCCGAAAAAAGAGTGTAAAGACAAGGTCAGTAGGGTTTTAGCTTATTTGTTTACAAGTCCCTGCTCCCCTTCCTGAACAAGATCGTGGGAACCTGGTAACGAGGTTGAATCCTCTTTTGTTCTCACCTTGCACTGTGTCCATCAGGTGACTGGGTGTTTCTTCACCAAAGTAACTGATCACACCTGTAAAACCAGTTACATAAGCGGTGTAGCCAATAGTCTCAAAGAGAAGCATGAGCCATGGGTTTTTCAGGAGAGACATTCCCACAAACCAAATGAAAAACAGCGTCATGGAGAACACAGTGATTCCAGAGTAACCAGTCTTCTTCACACACATGCCTGTCAAGCCCAGGAACACCACACTAACCGCAGAGCTAGTCATCCGTGAGAAACCAAACACCAAAGTGGCGATGGTAACGTCTAAGGTCTTGGTGTACCAGAACCCAAACGTTGACACAACTCCATCAAAACAGCCAATCAAGAACGTCATGAAGATGAAGACGAAATTTTGGTAGCGGGAGAAGAACTCAAATAAAGTGAAAGGCTTTCCGTTGCCATTTCCTTCGGTGTTGTCGCTGTGCTTGATCGTTTGATCTCCCAGCTGCGTTACAGATATCAACGAAGCCATCGCCATGATAGAAGTGACAGCGAAGACAATAGCAAAGTTGTCTTGATACTCGCCACAAATCACATAATGGTAATGAGTGACAAATACAGCTGTGGTGGGAGCAGCAATCATGTGCCCAATTGGGCCCCAGAGACGGATCTTGCCAAAATCGCGGCTATTTTTCCCAAGGTAGTCCACAATTTCAGAATTAGCCAAACTAAATGCTGGAGAAGCGAGGAGTTCCCCAACGAAAACAATAAACAAAAATATGAAAAATATGGTGTTGATGTCTTGCGGGTTTTTTTCTAAGATAAGGACATGATCGCTAACCAGAGGTGTCTTCCTGGGAGTGCGGCTCTTTATCGGTGGTAGAGAACGTCTTGAGGTAAAATGTTCCAGGATTTCAGAGTTTCTTTCCTCCTGACGGAAAAGGGATTGCAAAGCGTGGGTTTGGGTTCGATGATTCGCATTCTCGCTCGCTTTACTCTCGACGTGAGACTTGATCCACTCAATGTGAGGATGGAAGGAATTTTTGCCCTCTTGTGGAGTGATAATGCGACTCTTGTTTTCATCCAGGTTCTTTCCCAATTTCACCAAGCACTTATCGTGTGTTCTTCTTGGAATTAATGACACTAGTGGTATAATAGCCGTGGATAGAATGCTCATCATCAGCAACGCACGTCGAATCTTCCACTTACTTGCTATTTTTCCAAAGATGACCCCGCCGAGGGAGTATGCCACGCCCCAAACGGCTCGTAAGATGCCGATTTGAGTCGGAGACAAGCCAAGCTGTTGCCAGTAGAGTGGCATTAAGTATAATTTAAAGCTAAAGCATGTCTCGAAGAAGAAGTAAAACGAACTTAATGCAATCCTAGTTCTGTGCTGCGAACAAAATTCCGAAATGCAATTTGACTTTTTTCTGGGTTCTTGTGAAGGAATACTTGACATTTTTCTTTTTCTCTTTGCTAAATGCCTGAGACAAAGTAAAAACAAACAAACAAGGAAGTTAAACAATGCTTGTCAACGTTGAAACAGATGGCCATTCTTCCAACTTCTCTGGTTTGGACTTTCCACGCTAAGTCTACAAAATTCCCTCGTATGAATGAATAAATCACTTTATTTCATTAAAATGAAATAATCAGCTTGGCAGTTGTGCAATCAAAACAAAATGTAGTGCAAACTATGAAAACATGTACAATGAGTATAATTATTAATAACAGGTTAAAACTCTGAAAATATGTTCAGTTATTATCCATGAATTTGATAACGGTTAAGGTGTGATGTAATATATTTTGCAATTGCTGAGTTTAATTAGAAGACCAGGTTGAATTTGTTTGAGTTATAAGCCGCTGATTTCTTTCTCATTTGACTGTTTTGTGTCATTACCCCAGGCCTCTGACCACGTCCAACAACGAACGCTTTACGTGGTGTAAAAGGGAGAGAACGGGTACCAAATAGGTTATCAAAATAAGACGAAAATTCCTCTAACAAGTTAGTTGGTTTGCGGAATTTTCGAACACTCCTTGTTAAGTTAATTCTTTATATCCTTTCTTAAAAACGCAATACAACGTGCTAGCTCATCTCTTTAGAAAAGTGTTGGTCTTCAGCTTATAAAGGTGACAGTTATAACCAGCTGTCAATATTGACCAACGTCATTATTTCTCACTTAATTAGCCTACGAATCATGTTGAATTACGTAACAGTTTACTAAGTATGTACCTACGGTTAAAATTTCATACTTTTGCGAGTAATATCGGCCGAAACAAAAACAAGACTGATGATATAAACGTTATAAAGGACCCACTGCGTAGATCAGAATAACACTTGAAAAGATAACTAAAGAGAAAATAGCCCTTGAAATTTGCCACCTAACAACAGAACATACGGAGAGTTCGAGGAAGAAAGGGCGTACCCAAGGTACCGCCCCCAAAAGAACAACCTGATGTTCAGGTAAGTCAACTTATTATAAATTCAGGTCAGTGGATCAAAAAACAAGTTGTTTACACATTTAATTACCATACAGAAAGAAGTGTTGAACGTGCTCAATTGAAAATTAAGAATTATTTTCTTGATCGGGAGTTGGAATTCAAATCAATCTAAAAACAAGCCTTCATTGCATGCTTTCATGTTAAATTTGTGATAGGAGAAAACGTCATAAACAAAATAATATTGATAATCGCTAACAGCTTGATACAAACTTTTGTTAAGGATCTTAAAACTGGCATTCTTTTCTTTATTCCGTGGTGATTACAAAATCTTTTAACGCTTCGTAAACTACAGCCCTTTAGATTCGGATGTCGAGCCTTAAATTCAGTGACAAGCTCCTCGTAAGTATGTTTCTGTTCGATAAGAAACCGCCAGACAAAGTCTTTATCTAAGACTAAGGTACACGAATTCACAGTTTCGATCGTCAACAGTGTTGTTGTGTTCTACACATGCATCGCGACTGTAAGTCCTTAAGAGCCTTACAATGCCAAAATCAGTCACCTCATATTCCGGACGCTAGTTTTTTAAACAAGAGATATGACGGCTCCTTGCCAACATAAGCGGAATTCTCATCTCGACTTGTCATTCTTGAAACTAATACCTTCATGAGTTGATTAAATGGGTTGTTTATAACGATAAACAGCTTAAATACAAAGGCTCCTGCTTACACAGAATGAAACTCACCTTGGCACCCACAGAGTTATTACTTTAGAGCGTAAGGATGAAAGACATCGCCAACTGAGTGAGTTGGGAAAAACGTCCTTATTATGCTTACAAAGCATTCATAAGCAATGAGCTCATGTGTCTGGGAGGGGGGGCGTCCCAGCACGTACCAAGCGTATTACAAAATGATATCTCTGTGTTGAACTGAGACAAAATTTTTCCGCGTATGGTCGTATATTTGATTTTTAGAGGTTCTTGCTGGGAAATGTAGTGCTATTAGCTGTGCGATCATGCGAGAGGCTTTAACAACATCTGGAAAGCAATTCTTAACCTTGGTTGACACATACCGCAGTAGAGGAAGGTCGTTGTCCCCCCTACGCGCCAGAAAGCGTACAGTGGCGTGAGTCAGAAAATTAATTCAGTCCTCAAACACGCGCTTCACCGCTTGGTCTTTCTATTGCAGCTCCATTGCTCAAGAATCATCCAATACCTGAAGCTAATTGGTCTATCAAATTAGCCATCGACACATTGGTCGGCCAGCAATTTAGGTTGAAATAAAGATCTTCTCGATTATAATGATAAAACGATTAAGAAAAATTGTTCCCTGGGGGCGCTACAGGAGGTCTTCCTTAAGGTCTTAAAATTCGAGCGTGAATCCAAGTTTTTAACTTTTTAAGCTTCAAGAACTCAAGAAACAGGTGAATTGTTGAAAATGAATGGGCGCAGTGGATAAATTTTCACACGCCTTGCAAATACTGTTTACTTGCCTTCCATATGGCTAGTTTTACATGCATTTTAAATTTTTATGTGCATGTAATCAGTCAACCCGTTTTTCGGAAGCTAGTTTTCAAAGTATAGAAAAATTACCTCTCCCTAAACGTCAAAAGGGAACTCTCATCTCAACGTATTATTCTAAAGTTGGTCATTTTTGGACTTAAATTGCATGGGTTTATCATAACGGTCGGCCGCTTAGGTACGAGGGCTCCTGCTTGCAGAACGAACGTTTCCTTGGAATTTTCAGAGTTACTTCTAGAGAATCTATGGATGAATTTTATTAATATGGCAAGGCACCCGCTGCGGGAATATGTACAAAATATATCGAGAACCTGGAGAGTCAGATAAAAACACGGTGATTATCTTTTAAAAACACTTGAAGGAAAGTGGTACGTGTCGTTCATATTAATTTTTCAGATGCCATAGGAGTTAGAGTTGGCGTGATGTTAGCGTAAAGCTTCTACTTAACGCAGCTTTACGCCACATTGACATTATGTAAAGGCAGCTTTACGTAGTCTTCCCGCGCTTTGACGTAAAGCTAGAGTGATGAGACTTCCTTAAGAGGCGTAAAGCTAGTGTAGAGATTAAAGTAGAGATTTACGCCAGCTTTACCTATACGCGTAAATATGAAGGATAAGCGTCTTTAAGCCAAATTTACGCTTGGCATAAAGTCAACTTTGTTCTTGAGTGTAAAGCTTGAGTAATGAGACTTCCTTAAGAGGTGTAAAGCTACTGTAGAGATTAAAGTAGAGATTTAAGCCAGCTTTACCTATGCGCGTAAATATAGAGGATACGCGTCTTTAAGCCAACTTTACGCTTGGCGTAAAGTCAACTTTGTTCTTGAGTGTAAGGGAGCCCTATAAACTGCTCACATATTGTGAAAACTCAAATCCCACTGGTAAAGAAACTAAACATTCAGCTTTACTTTATATGACTATATGATTATATGATAAAAGCAAAGCTGATTAGTTGGTTGCCCACTTTTAAAGTCTGATTAAAAAGTTGTTTGTCAATCCATCAATCAATCAAACTACTGTGTTAACAATCTTGTATATTTGTCATAAAAACGTGCTCTCATCCATGCATGTAAATAATTTAACTTTTGATCATTCCTTAAGGATAACATTTAAGATATTATTTGTTGTTTGTCGTACTTGAATCATTTTTCTGAAATAAAACCACAGAAAATGAAAACCTCGTTCTAATATTATCAATTTATACAATAAATGAGAGGGAAATAAGTTAAAAAATTTTGAAAACATAGTTCTTATATAATTTGAAATATGACAACTTGGAACCAATTGAAAACAATAAGATAACTGAAACACTGAAAATTGAAACTTTGTTCTGACATCAGTAGTCAAGATGCGTGTCATGTACAATTGAAAATTTTGTTCTAATCTTACTTGAAATATTGTCAACAGGAAAAACTAAAACCTTGTTCTAATATTTCTATTTAAAGTAAGCGTAATCAACCAAACATTTTTATAACATTGTTTCAGTATCACTTAACTGCATTAACACTATCATCGGAAATTGAAAATTTGGTTTCATCTTATTACAGAAAAGTTGTGTTGACCGGAAATAACCTTCTGATTAACAACAACTGAATAAATATGAACGAAACTAATCTAAATGTTTATTATACCGTTCAGACTATTCCACAAAATCTCATAAAATTGATGAACTATGGAAACAGTTCGCGATCGTCTACGAGCACTGTCCTTTTTTTGGAGTTAGTATGTTTCTTTTTGGAAGTCTTGGGGGTTAAACTGGCACTTGGCATCAAGGACGGAAATGCAGTTGAAGGCAGTGCACTCGGGTATGGGGTCGTCACTACTGGATGATGTGTCCCGTGGGGGGGGGGGAAACCAAATATTGTTTTGCGGGTGTCGTTGGACTGATGGGGCAGCTATTGTTGGAGAGGTAGTGCCGGTAGATGGAGTTAGGTTTCGGATAGTAGGGAAATTATTGATGTTGAAAGAAGGGTGCCGAGGAATGAGGCGGCCATTGTTGTGGGACTGGTATTTGTAGAAGGATGATGGGCCGGGTGGCGGCCGAGAGTTAAGGGATGGAGTTATAGTGGGTAACAACTGCCTCTCCAGATGACTGCCCATTCCAGAGCTTTAATGGGCCGGTATCGACTGGATAGCCTTTCATGGGTCTGTCTTGTCACCAGATTTAACCTTGCTCTTGGATGAAGGCTCTTGATGTAAACATCATCAAGGGCTTTCTTGACCTTTGACTGTCTTGACCTTTTCACCGGTGACTTTTTCACAAGATACCTAGTAAGGTGCCTCTCTCCATTTTCATCCTCAGAAAAGTCAGACTCACCCGAGCTAGTGTAGGTTAAGCATCCTACGGCCAGCCCCACCATGGCCTTTTCCTCCTCAGACTAAAGCATGTTTCTAAGGGATGCGAGTCTCTTCTGAATTTTCTAGGCAATCAGAGAAAGAACACAAAAGTCAGCAATTGTACCATCAAAGTAAAGATACACGCACACTTTATATTGAACGTAAATCTGACTCTTCAGCCTTGAGCTACCTTGACGCAAGCTTCACATCTGATGACGTTAATCTACCTCAATGCGCCTGTACAAGCATTGTACTTGAAAACTGACTTGCTAAATGAACTTTACTCAGATTTACGAAACTTTAATTTACCGTAAATCTCTTTTTCATAATTGGCTGTCTCATTCGCACTCTTTAGATTCTTGTGTTAATAGAAAGAATTCTTAAGCTCATTTACCCCGTGGGTGGAGCGGTTTTGACTCAGTGTCGTAAAACGACAGCTTAAGTTACCGTAAAGTAACAATCAAATTAAATAGAATCCTAAGAAGTGCACGAAATACACACGGAACAATCGAATGAAAAAAATTCTAGAGTGCACGAGACACTAACGTAACAATCAAATGAAAGTGAATTCCAAAAGTGTGCGAGAAACTAACGTAACAATGAAATGAAAAAAATCCTAGAATTGCACGAGACACTAACGCAACAATCTAGTGAAAGATAGTCCTAAAATGTGCGTGGTACTAACGTAACAATCCAATGAAAGACAGTCCTAAAATGCGCGTGATAGTAACATAACTTTTGAATGAAAGATAATAACATAACTTTCGAATGAAAGAGAATCCCAAAAGTGCACGAGATACCAAAGTAACAATGGAATATCACCCTATCTTAAAATATGCGTGATAATTTCGTGACTTTCAAATGAAGGAGTATAAGATGCACGATATACTAACACAACAATTCAATAAAAGAGAATAGATATTACGTGATAATCCAATGAAAGAAAATCCTTATCTCATACCCTGATCATACTGTGCAACTGAAATTTTACCACCTCCGCGTACCCAGAACTTCCGTTCTGGGTACGAGACTAAGAGAATCCTAGGGTGTGCGTGTTACTAACATAACCAGCCGATGAAAGAGAATCGCATAAGTGCGCAAGATACTAACATAACATTTATTGCTCTTAAAAATTAAAAAAAAAACAGAAAAACTAAATGTTAATTTTAACTCATAGAAATATATCTTTCTAGTAAATGTCAACCGTCTAAGGCCCTGAAATTTAACTGTCAACCGTCAAAGGCCTTGAAAATGAACAGTCATTGGTTCAAAACCTTTCTTACATGACGCTTGGTGAGGCATATACCACAATAATAGAGTTAGTCATTTAGGATAACGCGGATGCGTGGCGGCCGCGGTGATTTGGCGCGCGTCTGAATGGAGTGTTGAGTATTCCCGTTATTGTCGTTAAATTTATCATGGCTGTTGGTGAGAATTTTTACAACTTGTCAACTTCCTTCTTTCCGTGATGGGTTAAAAGTCATTCAAAAGGTTCTTTGATTTCTACGCCTTGTGTGGCAAGCTTTTGTTTTATGTTGAAGGCTTTGTCTTGATAGCATAAATACAAGCGTGCCTATCGCTACGCTAGCTGGCATCACGAGCTTCACCAATTGTAAGTTTTTTTGGGAATTTTTTTTGCAGAAATTATCTATTTTACTTTTTTTTTTTTTCAATTTGTAACATGATAATTCAATTGGTATATGTGAGTCAAGGGAACGTGGAAAGAAGATGGACGAATGAGTCGGAAATCTCAAATTTTCGCTTAATTTCTTTTTAACATGAGGCGCATTATGCCCAGTTAACCCTTTACACCCTAACATCAGTATGCATATTCTCCATACTGCTCTCTATACATTTCTTACGGTGCTGACAAGGAGAATTTGTTTTCCAACCGAAAGGTTCCTTCCCTGGTGACCATTTTCTTTCTTCACATGACCTTAATGTGTGATTCAGGAGTGATATTGTTGGGAGAAATTAGATGCTAGTCACTCCAAGGGTTTAAAGGATTAAATACGAAGCCGCAGTACACAGGTGTTCCTTTTATATTCACTCTTTACACCTTTACATTAGTATGCATATTCTCTATACTGTTTTTCATACGTTTCCTAAGGTGTTGGCTTGGAGAATTTGTTTACCAATCCAGAGCTTCCTTAGTTAGTTGGTGACCATTTCCTTTATCCTTGTGACCTTATTGTGTGATTCAAGGGTGACTTTGTAAGGAGAAATTAGATGCTAGTCAAAGAGGGGTTGGCTATCAGTCAGAGGACATAGATAGGGTAGTGTGAAAACTGGATTATTTTCATTACTGCGACTTGTTGCATAATTTCAAAGTTCAAACCAACTAACCTTGTTACCAACACACTTTTACACACTTTATTTTTCTTTTTCTTACAAAATAATTTAGATTATGTTGACCCGCAGATAGCAAATTTGCTATTCGAGGCAGGTCAATCATCAACAGACATTATTTACAATATATAAAGAAAATTAAAAACTAAATAGTTAGATATTGTTAAATTATAAAGAGAAGCATAACTGGTAAATACATCGATAGTTGTTCAATAAAGTATAGAAGCAAATAAATTAGTACTGAAAGCAATCGGATTAATTTGTTTTAATTATGCAGTCCTTAAGTTTAGAGGAGATCTTTTCAACATCAAGATAAGAATCTTCATTATCTAGTATCTGAAATAAAGACGTTTTTAACCAAGGTTTTCAACCAAGGATGTTACTTGTGGAAGAGAAAAGGGAAAAGTTACATTAAAAAAATGCAGCATTTTTTTTAATTCCATCTTTTTGTGGAGTGTTAGACAGATAGTCTGAACTTTGTAAAAATTACTTTTAAACTTTTCAAATCCAATTCCCTCATCTTTATTAAACAGCAAACAAAAGGTTTTGACCCATAAAGACAAATGTACATTTGCATGTGGTTGTAGTTTTCACCTTTAATTTTCTGCTTCACATTAGGAAATATGTATGCTGTGGGTGGCTGTGATGAGAGTAACTTCTAACTCAACAGTGTGGAACATTACTACCCATCAACAAACACTTGGTCATTTACAGCACCCATGACCACTTGTTGCAGCAGTCTGTGTGTGTCAAGTTGCCATGTGCTGTATGTGATTGGTGGAGTGAGCTATGTTGGAATGTTGCTTAACACTAGAGAGTATCTTGACCCCATGACAAGCACATGGAGCAGTGCTTTCAATAAGATTTGAAGAAGGTGGCTACCTTAGTAAAGCACCTGCTGGAGAATAATGTATGAAACAATTTTCCTCTTGTTATTCCATTACTGCCATTTAGAATAAACTGGCTTCAAACAGAGTTTTCGGGGTTCAACTTCCATAGATGATTATTAAATATTCCTCTCCTTTGTAATAATTGATTACCAGATTGTTTTAATTCTGATCAAAATCTTCCATATGCTGCCATGCAAGCCTGCTCCCTGAGTTTCAAGCAAAAAATCCTCTGTAAGGACATATGGTTACTGGTTATAGAAATTTGAGTTAGTATGTTCTTAGAAATTCATACTTGTTTTCGCTGGAAATGTATGCTGGAATAGATGAAAAGAAAATATTAATCATTTTTAATCAAAACTTGTTTAGAAGGAAAGAAGATCTTTAGGTGTTTAAGATCACACTTTGTGAGTTTCCTCGAAAGTTTCTAAAGTATACTTGACGATTCACAACAGAATACCCATTGGTGCTCCAGCAGGTGCCAGGTCTTATTGAAAGCACTGATGGAGGGCAATTGCCCTTATACATTACAAGCAAGTGAGTGCATCAGGAGCAGCAACAAATGGGAAGATCTATGTCATTGGTAAGCTATGTTTACTTAGTGTCTGCATGTGCAGCTCTTGGTCAGCTGTTAACTCATTTAATCCCTTAAAGTAATAGGAATCTAATTTCTCCAATAGTATTACCCATAAATCGAATGGTAAGGTTATAAGAATGAAGGAAATGATCACAAACTCAAGAAGCTCTTGATTGTTAGACAAGTTCTCCCTGTAAGTACCATAGGAAATGTATAAAAATGGTGTGGAGAACTTGCATACTGGTGTTAGGATGTGAGGGGTTAGGATTAAAGTATTGTGAGATGTCATTTAAAAATTCATGCAATTCAATGTGATTTCATTTCAATTTTTTAAGGTGGCTGGGATGGTTCTGTTCATCTAAACAGTGGTGAGGTGTATGACCCTGATATAGACCGGTGGTCCATGATTGAAACTGCTAGCACTGCCAGATGGGATAGTGGGATAGCTGTAGAGAGTGACAAAATCTACTTTGTTGGGGGATGTAACAGGAATGCATTTTGCACTTTGAAAATAGAGTGCCATGACCCTGAGAAAGGCAATTGGAGTAAGGTAGCATCCCTGCTAGTTGTGATGCATGGAATTTGGTGTTGTACCATTCAGCTTCCGCACGAGGCATGCACAGAAGTAGATATACATGAAGGATATGATATATTCGTTGAGGCGAATTGTTATCTCAGCAATGACAATTTGATTGGCCGGCAGAAAATGAATAATTTTATTGTATAATCAGGTAAGGGTAGGCAAGTGATTGTTATGTGCTAGAGAAGGGGCCCCTTCACTTTTTCTCCTGTCCCTGTCCCTGTCCCTGTAACTGTGTAAAAAGAATTTTTGGATTTATTTCCAATTGATAATGCAGATAGTTTTAGTTTATGAAAGAGAGAAAATCATTTTTGAATGGTAGGGGGGAAAATTTCCACCTTAACCAGATAAGAAAAAAAAGAAGTTAATGCAAGACATATTTTTTATCAATACAATTCAAGTAGACAAGATGAGAATAAAGAAAAATTTTCATCAATGTTACCAAATTCTCCAAATTCACAAGGGTGGGAGACAGTAAGGAGAATTGGATGAGATCGGGAGGGACTTTTAATACTCAGTGTTGTCTGTTAAGTTCATAAGAAAATAAGAATTGAAAAAAAAACCATGGAAACTGTTTGTTAAATTAAATTTGATGAATCCATTCGATAACTTACTTTTAAAAGATACACG